GCAACAACAGTGAGACTTGGAGAGGTGTGGTTGGGAGGAATGCCCCCCCCCCCCCCCCCCCCATCTGAATTTGAGCTATGTTTTGTTATTGAACTTCTTTGCTAGTCATGGATTGTCCATAACAATACCATATTCGGTCATAAAGGTGTCCTTATGTGCTTTTGGCACCAGGATACCTTAGGCCGCAGCTCGATTATCGACATTGTTGTCGTCTCATCTGATTTGCAGCCGCATGTCTTGGACACTCGAGTGAAGAGAGGGGTGGAGCTGTCACCTGACCACTACCTGGTGGTGAGTTGGCTCCGATGGTGGGGGAGGATTCCGGTCAGTCTTGGCAGGCCCAACGTATTGTGAGGTTCTGCTTGGAACATCTGGCAGAGTCACCTATCAGAAGGAGCTTCAATTTACACCTCTGACAGAACTCCCATAGTGTTAAGAGGAAGGTGGGAGACATTGAGTCTGAATGGGCCCTCCAATGTTGAGGCGGCCGACCAAAACTGTGGCCGCAGGGTCATCTGTGACTGCAGAGGCGGAAACCCCGAACCCGCTGGTAGACACCGGAGGTTACGGAAGCTGTCAAGCTGAAGAAAGATGTCTTATCAGTTCTTTTTGGACTGTGGGACTCCAGAGGCAGGTGACAGGTACCGGCAGTCCAAGAGGAATGCAGCTTGGGTGGTTGCTGAGGAAAAAACCCAGGCATGGGATGAGTTCAGTGAGACCGTGGAGCAAGACTTTTGCATGGCTTCAAGGAGATTCTGGTCCACCATCCGGCACCTCAGGAGGGGAAAGCAGTGCACTACCAACACTGTTTATAGTGGGGACGGTGTGCTACTGACCTCATCTCGGAACGTTGTGGACCGGTGGGCAGAATACTTCAAAGACCTCCTCAGTGCCATTGGCACATCTTCCATTGAGGAAGCAGAGTCTGGGAACTTTGGGTTAGACTCTCCAATTTCTGGGGGCTGAGGTCGTCAAAAAGCTCCTCAGTGGCAAGGCTCCAGGGGTGGATGAGATCTGCCTAGAGCTCCTTAAGGCTCTGAATGTTGTGGGGCTCTGTTGGCTGACGCGGCTCTGCAATATCGCATGGACATCAGGGGCAGTCCCACTGGACTGGCAGACCGGGGTGGTGGTCCCCTTATTTAAAAAGGTGGGCCTTAGGGTGTGTTCCACCTACAGGGGGAACCACACTCCTGATGCCTCCCTGGTGAGGTCTATTCAAGGGTTCTGGAGGGGAAGATCCATCAGATTGTCAAACCTTGGATTTAGGAGGAGCAATGTGGTTTTCGTCCTGGCCATGGAACACTGGACCAGTTCTATACCCTTAGGGGGATCCTGGAGGGTGCATGGGAGTTTGCCCAACCAATCTACATGTGTTTTGTGGATTTGGAGAAGGCGTACGACTGCGACCCTCGGGGGGCCCTGTGCGGGGTACTTCAGGAGTATGGGGTACCAGGCCCTCTGATACGGGCTGTTAGGTCCCTGTATGACTGGTGTCAGCACTTGGTCCACATTGCCGGCAGTAAGTCGAGCTTGTTCCTTGTGTGACTTAGAGTCCGCCAAGGCTGCCCTTTGTCACAGATTCTGTTCATAACTTTCATGGACAGGATTTCTAAGCACAGCCAAGGTGTTGAGGAAATCCATTTTAGTGGCATGAGGATTGGGTGTCTGCTTTTTGCAGATGATGTGGTCCTGTTGGCTACATCGAAACATGATCTCTGGCTTTTGCTGGAGCGGTTCGCAGCTGAGTGTGAAGCAGCCAGGATGAGAATCAGCTCTTCTAAATCCAAGACCATGGTCTTGAGTCAGAAAAGGGTAAAATGCCTTCTCTGGGTCAGGGATGAGAACCTGACTCAAGTGAAGTTTAAGTATCTCTGGGTCTTGTTCACGAGTGAGCGAAAGCTGGAGTGCAAAATAGATAGGCGGATTAGTGCTGCAACTGCAGTGATGCAGGCATTGTACTGGTTTGTCGTGGTGAAATAAGAGCTTCGCCTTCCAGCTCAGCTCTTGATTTACTAGTTGATATGTTCCAACCCTCACCTATGGTCACGAGCTTTGGGTAATGACTGAAATAACGAGATTCGGACACAAGCGGCCAAAATTAGTTTTCTCCGTAGGGAGGCTAGGCTCTTCTTTAGAGAAGGTAGAGATAGAGAGTGAACAGCTCGGTCATCCGGGAGGGGCTTGGAGTAAATCCGCTGCTCTTTCGCATTGAGAGGAGCCAAATAAGGTGGCCCGGGTATCTGATTATGATGTTTCCTGGATGCCTCCCTGGTGAGGCTTTCCAGGCACGTCCAACAGGGTAGAGTCTATGGCGTCAGATGGGTGCCAAAACCCACGCATGCACGGGTCCACATCGCGCGTGCGAACGGGACTCGCGCGTGGAAGTTAGAACTTCACGAGTGAAAATATACATGGCGAGAGGTCATTTGTACACTGAGAGGGAGCAAATTGTGTCTGTGAGCGCACAAGGATGTGCAAAAGTGACAAACTTGCGTGTGCGCGTTGGTCAACTTTTATAAGGTTAAAGCCATCTAGCTTATGTACACTTTTTAAAACACTGCCCAGCAAACATTCGGACATTTAATGGCAGTTGAATGGTCATAACTGTAAAAGATATCACTGGAATAAAAAAAAACCTTAAATGTTAACTGTTGTCCTTGCCTGGATTCGTACCCAAATCCTCCAATTGAAAGTCATCGGCTCTACCAGCTGAGCTATGACAGTTCATACTGAAGATTGAATCAAATTTGTTGTTCCGCTACCGCCATGGTGCTCCGAGAGGAAGTCAATGGGCCAATGAGGTGGAGGGTAAGGAGCGGAAAAAACTTACCAATTAGAAGACAGAAAAGATCAGCCACAGGTCACACCTCCAGAGTGCCAAAACTCCCAACGGCACCCATCTGACGCCATAAGAGACCTAAAGGAAGACCCAGGACACGCTGGAGGGACAATGTCTCTCGGCTGGCCAGGGAACACCTTGGGATTCCCCCGGAAGAGCTTGCCCAAGTGACTGGGGAGAGGGAAGTCTGGGCCTCTTGACCCGACTCTGGATAATCGGAAGGAATGGATGGATGGATAGAAGTATAACAAATGTGCGATCCAGACCATAAGGCAAAGCTAATTAGAAAATTGCACTTTTAGCCCCATTGACTTGCATTCATTTTTTCGTTCTTCCAGGGACACATAAGCCAATCAGACAGGAAGGAGAGTTAGGCTCCCTGTGGGATTCTGCAATTGCTGGCTGCAGTCCAGGACAGACTCCTGTCCTCTCGGTTCTTTCTGTTCTCAGGGACGTCTGGAACACATTTCAACCTTATTGACATTACTCTGTTACAGATTATGCTTCCATCTTGCATTTTGCATAACACCTCCCATCAGAGGGTTTTGTTATTGAGCGAGAAAAAGCAAACAGAGACACAAACAGTCTGCACCATGTTTGTGTTTGATGTGGGTGACTGGGTGCGTTTCACCGTCTGGTTGGTTAAATTATCCTGGTTGACCTGCTGCAGCTGAGGAGACAGAAGGGTAGAGGCCAAGCTGGCAGCAGCTCAGCAGTGGAAATTCACACCTGGCCTCCGGTGTAAAGAAAACTAAATCACTTGAAGATATTAGTCCTGCAGATTCTTTGTTGCACCCTAAGAATGGCTTACAGCTCATTCAATCGGTTTGAAAGTTGCTTTAAGTGTCATAAAACTCATAATTATGTCAGTCTTACAGCCGAAGCTAAAGGTCTCTGACTTCCAGAGGAGTTCCCATGTGTATACATGTTTTTGAATTTAATAAAGCATTCAAACGACGTGTGTGAAGCTTTATGGTGTTCTTGATTTGTCATGGCACAAAATTTAACCAATTGAAATTTCCTTTCCTCTAAAGCCAGTTATGATTTGGACAAGTCTGTGTTCAACACAGAGGATTTGTTTTTCTTTTTATTACGTCAAACTACTTTTGGATTTGCTTTGCTTGTGATGTGACTTACTGTAAAGCATCCAGGAATTAAACTGTAGCAGATTATAGTCTGGTCTTTATAACAGGAATGAATCTAAAGCTACAGTATCTGGCAGCAGTTTCACCCGGATTCAGTCAAAAATACTTGAGTTTTTTACGTAATTTTTGATGCTTTAACCTGTAAAACCACAGTTCTCTAATGTTTTAATATCAGTTTATTGGACATACCTCTTACAATCATCTCTGATTAAATTGTTTCAAATAAAAAAACAATGATTATAAGTCACAGATGGGTTTTAAAACGCATAAATACCCCCCAAAAAGCAATAATGAGGGGCAACTGATAGAGAATACATAAGAATACATCAGAAAGCACAAGGAATTATGGGAATATTCATCACAAAGTTCATCGTTTCTAACACTACCTACATAACAGATGATGCTGTTGTCGCTATAAACTAAAATCAAAATCACGGTCAGTTTTTTTAAGTCATTATTAAAACATCAAAGGGTCAGATGATTTCACAATGCCGCTGGTCACTTTACAACAAAATTTTGTTATTTGAATCAGTTTCACGTCTGTAGAACCCCAATATTGAAAAAAAAAATCATTTTTATGTCTTGTTGACCAACTGCCCTGATCAAAGCGTTTCTACAAAAACACCACATTCACCCAAATAACCTTTTTGCTATTTGTTTCACCTTTTTGCTGCTCAGTTTGACAGAAACATCTTGCAGTCTGCTTCAAATAAATGAAGCTGCTGGACTGAGTTTGTCTTTTTTTATAAACCCATGAGGTCATTTTGCAGCATTTTCCCTCAACTTTTTCCCAACATGTCCAGACATGAATGTAATCAGTCTTTCTTAAACCATATAGCTGCAAGAATCAAACTCTCTTTCTTTGTTGCTAAATTGTAGCATTATTTTATATAGATGTCTATCCATCTGTTTTATTTTCAATCAGCTGCCTCTTTGGCTGGTTTTCATACTTGGCACGCGTTTCATTCTGCAGCATTTCTGGATTGATTTCTAACTGTCTCTTCTGGTCTCAACAGCCTGTCCACCTGGCACTTATAAACCAGAAGCAACACCTGGAGGATTGAGCACCTGCCTGTCATGTCCCGACACACAGCACACCTCCCAGCCTGGCAGCACATCTCTCGATGACTGCGTCTGCAAACCGGGCTATCAGCCAATAGGCATGACCTGTCAGGGTAAATGAAACTTTCTTTACTTACTAAAACTATCTCTCTCTCTCTCTCTCTCTCTCTCACACACACACACACACACACACACACACACACACACACACACACACACACACACACACAGTGTAAATTACATGACACTTTTAGGAGACTCTTCGGCACTGCTACTCTAAACACCGAGGGCCTCGTGTGGTTTTTCCCAGGAGAAAGTTTATGCTGCAGCAAGTGTTTCTCGCTCAGCAACTACAGAATATTACTCCTCACGAGCCCTGATGAAATACGACCAACAAAAAAAGACGAGCTCTCATTTATATCTGTCATTTGTAATGAAAAAAGAAAAGACTACGGATATCTGGTAGGTAAGCTCAGTGAAGAAGACTGAGCTTCCCAAGTGATCACCTCGGTTCCATCAATCACCAAATGAAACGCAAAAGTAACATTTTAAAACTCTGAGTTTAAAACAGATTTTCACTGACAGGATACAAATTTTACATCTCTTCCAAAATGGTTTGTAAGATTTCTATTTCCTTGTGAAAGTGTCCAAATTCAGGGACAGCCTCCTTATAAGGACACGTCCTACCCGGTCCACATAGTTTGTGTTTGCCTCATCGACCACGAACTCTGGAAGTCATCAGCTGTGAATTTGGACAGTTTAATCATCATATTTATTCCAACCTTTATCCCAGCACATGTCTTGTTGCCTAGCAACCATGACGGCACTAATCAGAAGTTAAAACAGAAATTATTGGTAATACATGAAGAATTACGGGACTCGCCAAATGAGCTTGTTTACAGGGATTTTAGGTCAAATATTTTTAAACAACAAATATGCAAATGAAAATGTCTAAACACAAAACTGCCCTATACGCATTAATTTTGTACTGCCAGGACATTAAAATATTACCTTTTAAAATAGTAATTCTTTCCTTTGTTGTCCGCTATTATTACTAAAACAAAAATCTCCTGTCAGGCCTGCAATGAATCTTGGGATATCCATGGCCAGAAAGGATGCCCTGGACGTATTCTTGAACTTTGGGGAAAATAAATAGGTATTTTAGACGGCTTTGTCGCTTCGCATCTGTCTTAAAATCTCTGAAGGATACAACCCCTCAATTTTGGCACAGCCGGACACTTACTATTGTGAAATTTGAATGTTTGAATAATTTGCAAGACAAATTTTCCTTGAAATTAGTTGCAGACTGATCACAAGTGTCAGGAGTGTTTAAATTTGTTTCTGAATGTGCAAAGTGCAATTAATGTGAGACAACTTAAGGGAGGGGTTGGTGATTGAATTAAACTAGGGCTGGGACTTTAATGCATTAATTATGATTAATTAATTAGAAAAAAATGACGCGTTAAAAAATTAACGCATTTAATCACAGCTTGCATTTTGAGCAAGGCGGAACCTTTGTCATTGCATGATTTCCTCGTAGACCGAATATCACTGACGCACACAACAATGCACAGTGCTAATGGCTACTAAAAGGGAATAAAAACATAAAGAAGTTGCCTTGCTTGGACTGATGCAGGATTTAGGAAACACGTCCGCCTCTTTTCTTAACTTGGAAAAAAAAAAACTTCCAGACAACAACGGAGTCCATATCGCGGACATTTTTCAGAGATCGTCTCTGCTGCAGCTGCCCGGTGGCACCGGAAACTTTACAAAAGCTGCGGTAAGCTATATTTTTAACATTTACGTAACAGTGCAGCGCTGAAAGCACCAGACAGAATAATTTGCCCTAACAGTAGTTTATGAAAGTAGTCAGACAAACGAGAGGCACCTGGCTGCCACTGGGAGAACGCTCCGTGTTCTCACTACTCTGTAAACAATCACAAACAACGTGTCTTACAGTTGAAAACAGAAGTTTAAGTTAAAACAGAAACACTCTAAAAATGTGATTAATTTAGATTAATTAATTACAAAGCATCTAATTAATTAGATAAAAAATTTTAATCAAGTCTTCGTCTTCCTTCGCTTATCCGGGTCCGGGTCGCAGGGGCAGCATCCCAACTAGGGAGCTCCAGACCGTCCTCTCCCCGGCCTCCTCCACCAGCTCCTCCGGCACGACCCCAAGGCGTTCCCGGACCAGACTGGAGATGATGTAACCTCTCCAACGTGTCCTGGGTCGACACGGGGGCTTCCTGCCGGCAGGACATGCCCAAAACACCTCCCCAGGGAGGCGTCCAGAAGGCATCCCGAATGTCCGAGCTCCTCACCCTATCTCTAAGGCTGAGCCCGGCCACCCTACGGAGGAAACTCATTTTGGCCGCTTTTATCCGTGATCTCGTTCTTTCGGTCATTACCCAAAGCTCATGACCACAGGTGAGGATTGGGATGTAGATCCACCGGTAAATCGAGAGCCTTGCTTTCTGGCTCAGCATCCTCTTCACCACGACAGATCGGTTCAGCGTCCGCATCACTGCAGACGCTGAACCAATCCGCCTGTCGATTTCCTGATCCCTCCAACCCTCACTCGTGAACAAGACCCCGAGATACTTAAACTCCTCCACTTGAGGTAGGACCTCTCTCCCGACCCAGAGTTGGCAAGCCACCCTTTTCCGGTCGAGAACCATGGTCTCAGATTTGGAGGTGCTGATCCTCATTCCAGCCGTTTCACACTCGGCCGCAAACCTGCCCAGCAAGAGCTGAAGGTCAGAGCTGGATGAAGCTAGGAGGACCACATCATCCGCAAAAAGCAGAGACGAGATTCTCCTGCCACCAGACTGGACACACTCCACACCACGGCTGCACCTAGAAATTCTGTCCATAAAGGTAATGAACAGAACCGGTGACAAACTGCAGTCCTGGCGGAGTCCAACCCTCACTGGGAACAGGTCCGACTTACTACCGGCTATGCGGACCAAACTCATGCTCCTCTGGTAAAGGAACTGAATGGCCCTTAATAGAAAGCCGCCCACCCCATACTCCTGGAGCATCCCCCACAGGGTGCCCCTGGGGACACGGTCATAAGCCTTCTCCAAATCCACTAAACACATGTGGATTTGTTGGGCAAACTCCCATGCCCCCTCCATCACCCTTGCAAGGGTATAGAGCTGGTCCACAGTTCCACAGCCAGGATGAAAACCACATTGCTCGTCCTCAATCTGAGATTCAACTAATCGAGTCACGGCCCTAAATTAAACCAAAGGGAGGGACATAATTAAGACGCTTTGTACAACTCTAGCAATTTGTTTACCTACCCAGTAAGGAATAAAACCCATTATGAAACAGCACAGTGATTCTGTGTGATTCCAACCAAACACATGTTTATATTCTCAGGTTTTTGTGTCACAGCCCAGTGAAATTGTGGCCTAAGTAAAAGAAAATAAGGCTGGTTACCCCCACTTTCAGCCTTTCATCCCTGATTTGGTCTGATTTTCAGTAATAGTCAGTACACGTACTCGTTAAAGAAGACTTCTCAGTCAGTACAAACAGAAACTTGATGAGTTGAGACTGTGGCTGATTTATAAACAGTTGTTCCTCTGAAGTATGAGATAAGAATGCTCATATCTGGAAATCTGCTTCCAGTAAGTTTCACTGAACCTGATCTTCTCTTAAGGAATGAGCCAGAGAGTTTCCACTCCTCCATTCATCTGAAACAATGTGAATCAATCACCACTTTAACTCCCTCTGGGTAGATTAAAGAGGGCAGCTTCATATGTCATTTTCTGTGAGTCTTAAGCCTTATTTTGACAGTAACCATATAATTTTATGGCTATCACAAACAGAGTCAGAATTTCCTTCAGCCGTTGTGTGTGTTCATTAAAATGTTTATTACAGATTTATTTTTGGTTTAATAGCAAGATTCTTCATTTCTAATTCAGTTAAAGTAATGATATCCCTCCCAACTTTAAAAATTCTGCTGCTTGGGTGTACCACTGCATGCTCTTCCCTTCTATGATGTCACCTGATTTTCTCTTGCAGTGGTATACTGTCCAGTGTTGTCGCCTCCAGAAAATGGCTTTTTTGTCCAAAACGTGTGTAACAACCACTTCGATGCAGCCTGTGGATTGCGATGCCAGCCGGGCTTTGAGCTCTATGGAACCAGCATCAGACTGTGCCAAGCTGACGCCACATGGTCAGGGACACCAGCAAGCTGCAGAGGTGAAGAACGCTCCTAGTTTCTGATGGTCGTAATTGTTTTTTTTTTCACAATCACAACTGTTGAGTGCATATTAAAGTAATTCTTGGCATTTTTTTAATGAAATTATGTTTTGTGGGGCTTTAGTGTACTTGTAGTAGACAGCAATTAGAACAACCTCAGTTTAGAGAAACAGCGATGAATTCTGATACAGAACACAAGCTAAAGGGGACCAATTATGTGAAAACCACCTTTTGCATTCCTTTGTGCTGCCATGTGGGGCTCTGCTGCCGCTATAAACAATCCAAACATGAAACAAAATCTTCCTATTCTTCCCGTTCACTTTCTGTCAGTGCCTAAAACAAGCCGTTTCAAAAAGTTTCTGATGTCACGAGATTGCTGCTGGAGGAGCAGCAGCTCTACTCCAAGCCCCTCTCAGATATTGGAGCTTCTCAGGTTATAGCAGCCTCAGTGGGTAGGGGTGGGCGTGGCTAGCAGTATCCTTTTTTCTTAAAGTTACAGACCCCTAAAATGGCTCATTCAGGAATGCACTCAAAATGTCAAGGTTAAAACTGCTGAGATCGGTTTATGTGAGAGGTTTCCTGCAAAGAACATATTTAGTATCAAACATAGAACTGTTGTAACTTGAGAAAAAAGACATAAAATGTCCTCTTTAATGTCTAGTTCTTCCATTTAAACAGCTCAAACCAAAACATTTTTGTTTCAGTGGTTCCGAAGTTGGGTTCAGGGCCCCACTGTGGGTTTTGAAACACTCCATTTAGATATACCAAATAAAACCAGTTCCCAATAGAACATTTTTACTTTAATTTAAATAAAAGTTGAAAGAAATCAAGAGTGGGCAATCCTGGTCCATTGAGAATCACTATCTGGCATGTTTTTGTTGTTTTCATGCTTCAACACATCGGATTTTAATTGGTAGGTGATCAACAGGCTTCTGCTGAGCTTTATGAGCTCCTGAACTGGTGAATCAATAATAAATGCTATAATGCTATAAATGATTGTATGTAGTACAATAAAAGTTATATTTGTTAGCATTATGTTGCTGTTTATTTACTTTGTTAACAGTGTTTACATAAACAACAATCATGAGTGTAATTCTGTGGGTCAGAAACTGAAACGTGTGGGAACCACCCATCCATGCATCCATTTTCAGCCTCTTATCCAGAGTTGGGTTGCAGAGGGCAGCAGCCTAAGCAGAGAGACCCAGAATTCCCTCTCCCCAGCCACTTGGACCAGCTCCTCTGGGGGAATCCTAAGGCGTTCCCTGACCAGCCGTGAGACATATTCTCTCAAGCGTGTCCTGGGTCTTCCTTTAGGTCTTCTCCCGGTTGGATGTGTCCAGAAAACCTCACCACGGAGGTGTCCAGGAAGCTCCCTGACCAGATGCCCGAGCCACCTCAACTGGCTGTTCTTGATGTAGAGGAGCAGCGGGTCTACTCCAAGCCCCTCCCGCACGACCACGCTCCCCCCCCACCATTTTTTCCAAGGGAGAACCCAGCCACCCTGCAAAGAAAACTCATATCGGCCGCTTGTATTCACAATCTCATTCCTTCAGTCACTACCCAAAGGGGCTACAGGTGAGGGTAGGAACGTAGATCGACCGGTATATCGAGAGCTTTGCAACTCAGCTCTCTATTCACCACAACAGATTGGTACAACGCCCGCATCACTGGGACAGGACCTCATCTCTGGCCCTGAGAAGGGAACCACCACACCACTGTTTTTAAATCAGATAGTTACTACAGCTGTGTGTGAAAACATGTTTTATTTCACTTGAACCTGTTTTAACCCATTGTAAATAATTGTAAAATGCCAAAGTGACATTGTATTATTAGATGGCTGAGAAGAATATGCTCTTAAATGTGCTCCAACCTGACCAGCTTTAAGCTTGAGTCCTTGAGATTCTCCAAAACTAAATCGCTTTGACTGTGATCTGCTGCAGGGAAGACACTTACTGTAGTACCCATGGCCTCTACATTGAATCCCACATGTAAAAAAAATCCACAAACCATCAAAGCAAGCCTTTTCTATCTGTGCAGTACTAACTGAAGCTGTCGACCTGAAGGATGTGAGCTGATGTTTCCTGCTGATTTGAAGCAAGTGGGAGTCAGAGTGTGTAAACCTGTAAAGACTGAGCTCACACACATGTTGTGAGACAGAGCTACAAGCCAACGTTTTACCACCATTTACCAGAGAAGGTGCTGAGAGGAAGGAAGGGAGTAAAGGGGAATTTAAACAAAGACAGCCCATGATGGAGAAGGCAACAGGAGGAAAGGATGAAAGTGAAGGCTGGATTAATTGGGAGCTGTGTGCAGGCGTCTACAAAAGCTGAACGGAAAAAAGAAGTGGAGGGAGCTCCAGAGGTCAAGGGATTAATGAGGAAAGTGCTAGTTTTAACAGCAAGTCAGCAGCAGCATGACTCATAGAAATACCAAGACACTGAATATTTAAGGGTGTGTTTTGAAGATTTATGGATGTGGCTTTGAGTATATATTTTCTAAGTGTGTGTCTGCTTGTTCGTGCTCCTCTAAAAGTCTCGTCTTTGCCACATACTGTAGGACCTCCCAGCTTGTTGGACCCTGAGGGAGAGGGTCTCATCTGTCTGTCTATGGGTGGCGATGAGAAATAACACACCACACACCCTCTGCTAGACCTCAGCATAACTCAAAGCAGACACACATCAGGAGTTTTCCCCTTTTTTATTTCATAGGGACTTTCACAGTTTTGATTAAATGATAGGTTCCAATTTACAGCCAACGATTATTCCTCCCTGATTTGGGATTTAAACACAGTACCTGGGTTTATGGCTGTCACAATATTATTACAGGCCACAGATTTTCTGTCTGTGTTGTAGAATTTATTAAACCTTATCAAACAAACAGATGTGAACCAACAAACCAAAACACGGATCAAGTTAAATGGAACAATAAACATAGCAGGTTTTGTTCCCCTTCCCCTGGTTTGGATTTCTCGCGTTTATTGTCTTCTTTCTGTTTCAGTCCGCTCCTGCCCGCCTCTCTCTCGGCCTCAGCATGGCTTCCTGCGGTGCAGCGATGGTGGCGTGTCCTACAGGGCAGAGTGTCAGGTGGGCTGTGAGCGTGGATACAGCCTAGAAGGAAACTCCACACTCGCCTGTCAGGCCAATTCCCAGTGGAGTGGGCCTGTGCCTCGGTGTGTGGGTAAGCACCATCTCACTTTGAGTTAACTTTTAAAAATGTTTAGTAACATAAATTATATTTCTTTTTCTACATAAAATTAATCACTGTAATTAAATTTATAATTCATTGTGATAAAAGTTGTAAAAATTACAACAAAATTTCAGACAGAAAAAATCAACCTATGACGCTAACTTAAACATGTTGTCTTTGTCCTTGTAGGAACTTTTCTGAATAGCTATTCTTATCCAGTTAACATATAGCAGAGCTAATATTTTACATAGCAAAGGTAGAAAACCATTTGTACTTGATATTTCTGCACACAGTGGTCTTGTATACCTCTTTGTCTTTTCATGCCACTTTTCCACAAAGATGATCTTAACTAAAAAAAATTATGGCATTAGAGTCATTTTAGCCAAATCTTTTGTGCGATCTTGCCATTTGACTTGAGTGCAATGTGTATGTGTTGTCAGTAGGAGTTTGTATTGGCTTGAATGTGGTGATACAGTATATAAATCACAATACAGGGGAGATGATACGATAGGGCTGAACGATCTGTTGTTTTTGGACCGAAATTGCGATTTCAAACATCACGATCACGTGACCGTCAAAGCTACGGTTTTAGCGGTTTTGACTGATCCAGGATCAGTTTTGTAACTTTTTTTTACATCCGGGTTTTTCCCCCTGTGTTATGGTGGCTGCAAAAGCCAGCGCGGGGGGGATCCAGACCCAGAGATGAGCCCAACTCCACAGCTGACAGAGCTGCATGTTCAACTTATTTTCCCTGTTTTATGTTCCCTCACACAGCGCTGCTAGAGCCCATAATAATGGCACCGTAGGTGAGCCCGGGACACAGAGAGAGAGAATGTAGTTGAGTAGGGGAGAGAGAGAGACTCCTCCCACATCAGCAGGTTCAGGCTGATTTCTAAAGCTTGGTTTATGCTTCATCAGCACGAGTGCGGAGTCGCACACTTTAGTTGACTTGAAAGCTCAACTTCTCTTTTAAAAATGATTTGAATGTTTCTGACGTTAGCTCAAACAAGCTGAGGTGTCAGAATCTCACGGAGCTGACGTTTTAGTGAGGAAAAACTATTAGACGGCTTCGAAAAACGTGCAGCCAGCCTTGGTAATGCAGGGAAAACTGCATTTTTTGTTATTTAATACATTAAAAAGCTGTTTCTACCTACAGATTTCCTCCATGCATTTTTGGAGTAGAACATGTTTTTATAAAGCTTCTCTAGATAAAATCACAAGTTGCTTCACAAACACATTAAAAATTTAAAAAAATAATAATAATGGGAGAAAATATTGATAGCTTTAACTGTTTTTATTGTATGATTAAAAAGTAAATATTAATGTGAATGATTTGTTGTACTAGATTAGAATCTAGACCATCTTTTCACTTAATCTACAGGATGGCTTGGCAGGCTAATGTTTGTTTAACCTTTGTTTTCAGAAAATCGTGAATTGAACCGAAATCGCAATTTCTGCCAAAAGAATTGCACTTCAGTCTTTTCCTAAAATCGTACAGCCCTATGATACGATATGTTTCACAATACAGGGGGACGATACAAATTTTATGATATTACATGTGAGACGATACGATGTGTTTCACAACAATTCAGTCTGAAATAAATAAACTATAGATTAACCATATAGTCCCAGAACTACGAAAGGGTAAGTGAAAATCTTTGCATTGTTTTAATAACCCAAACACCTCCAATTTTCTAAAACTGGACAATATAATTATTGGCTGTCATGAAAAAGATGTTGTTGACTAAAGTCAAGCAACAATCAAATTGTCTCAGAGAAAAAGTACAAAATCTGTTTGAGAAAGAAGCAGAAACACAAAGTTTACTGAAAAGGTGATTTTCATGACAGCCGGGTGGGACTTTACAGTGAAACGCCTGAAGGACTTCAGAACTTGCTGGTTTACCAGACTTCCCTATCGGGCTGAAACTTTTCAAAGATGCTTTAAATAGCTGCTTTTCCACTATAGGAGTTCTGGGACTTGTCTAGGAGCGGGGAGGTGACAGGGGAAATACGATGGCTTGGTCCACTCAGCCGTTGTGTCTCCATGCAAAATCGACCCTTTCAGGACTTTGCTAAGACGTCAGCACATCGTGACCATTGCTGCAGTGAGTGACATCACTGATCAGCACCAAAGGCATCCACATTTAAAAAGTTTGAATCTGTCAAAGTACGCCATAATTTAACTCGTTAATTCAACATGAGTTAACCCCAAGTCCTGCTTAGCGACTCTACCAGGCCATTCTGAGCAGTTACTGTTACAGGTTGGTACACTTTTAGCTCTAAATCCAAAGTGCTTTGGTTCCCTTTCTTGTGAGGTTAAAGTCAGGTTATTTTCAGTTGTTGAATTTTCTTTTATTTCATTTGCAGCCCAGATTTTTCTCTGACCCAGAATAAGAAGTTTCTCTCTCTTTTCTTGTAATTTTTTTATTTTGCTGAATCTTATCCATCTCACAAAACAACAAAAGACCCCAAAATAACTCCCGATGTGTGTGTTTGTCCCGTAATCATGTGGTAATATACGTAAACACATGCATTGTGGTTTAACATATGGTGTGTATTTGCTTTCCTATTTAGTGTAAGATACATCTGTGTTCTCACAGGGGAGTTGTAGCCAGCACACATGCGTTCCGACTTACTCACACACTTCAAAACTGATGGTTAAGTTAAAATAGTTACACACACTCATGCCCACCACAAAGAGCACTCAGGTCAGGCACACAAACACACAAAAAAGGGACAGTGTGAGAGTGTTTCGCCACAAACCTCCAACCTCACCGCTCCGGCCCTCTCTTACTCACTGCCAGCCAACCGGCTCGCTGTGCTATTTAAGAAACACCAACCCCGCTTATCAACGTGCACCATCAACTGAGCCGAGTGCAGCTTTCCCAGAAAACTCTGACTTCAGCTGAAGTGGGCCGCTGTTAGGGTCGTTCTAGTGTTTGTTTGTGCTTTGATGAAAGAGAATCTCCTCGTCTGGCCCCAAAGGATGCTGAGATTTTTTTAAATTTAATTAAAGGTGCCAACACTTGAGCATTGAAGGTCCTTTCTGGCTTCATCTGTCACAGAAAAAATTCAAATTATACATCAAAGCCTGCCGCTGCTCACAGTTAAAGGATTTTTTTCAACAAGTTGTTTTTTTCTAACAAAATATTTATTGTTTCAGTGCCATTTTTGCTACAGAAATCATCATTATTACCGTATTTTCCGGACTATAAGTCGCACTTTTTTTCATAGTCTGGCTGGTCCTGCAACTTATACTCCGTAGCGACTTATATACCAAATTATGTATACCGCGCTGCTGCGGACTGGCTCCGGACCAGGAATAAGCTCCTCTGCCCCACCATCACCTGCTGGAGACCGTGGCGCGCTGCTGCGCCCTGGTTGTTTATTCTGTTATTGTTACCAGTACTTGTCTTGCCATGTGAAATGGTTGGTCTCAGATTTTGTAAGAAAAATAAAAAAATTCCCCCCAAAATGCAACTTAAATATGTTTTTTTCTTCATCATTATACATTTTATGGTTGGTGTGATTTATACTCCGGAGCGACTTATAGTCTGGAAAATACGGTACTTGTTTATGTTAAAACCAAACTGAAGTGCATTCTATTCTATTTACAGAGAAAAGGACTAAACAGATGTGCCTCTGCAGACATTTGTAATGCTACAAAATATCAAAATATTCCCTGTCTCCACAGAGGTGCGATGTCCCCCCATTGTGAACCTGAAGAACATCTTGGTGTCGCCCCCTGTCTGCGTGAAAAGGGCTGTGTCTCTGGGCTTCATCTGCCATTTGACATGTCGTCAAGGTTACAGTCTCCAAGGCAACAGGAGGGCGGTGTGCCTGAGTAACGGGAACTGGACCGCTAACGTCCATAAAGCTGTCTGTGCAGGTATAGGCACTGTCCTCTCCTCTAAAAGAGGGCATTGAGCTGTTATTTATTTTTGCACCGAGGTCAAAAGGTCATGTTTGAAACAGGAAAAAGACAATTTACCTAGAAAAAGAGAAGAAGATTTAAAAGAAAATATAAATATACACTCATTTATTTCTAGTCATTGTCTTTGCTCTGTAAGTGATACTGACGTTGTTTAGACGCAGACCATGTCTGAGCTCTCATGTCCCCCAGCTCTCTCTGGAGATCATTAAAATGGACTGCCGCTCTCCAGATGCTCTGCAGGAGAAACAGGTGGTGCAGCTCTGCCTGGATGTCCTCGGTCCCCTCGTTTTCTCACAGAGAGGGTTTGCTAATAAAGGAACTGCTGTCATTAAACAGAGAGAGAGGTGCCACATAGATGAAAATAAATGGGAGGTAATGTAGACTGGGAGCAGAGAAAGCATGAGTCATCTGTAGGTGTTAGGCAAAGGAGGGATTGCATTTTATCTCTTCTTTAAAATGTTTAAGGAAAAAGACAACAACAGCTGATGAAAAGTGATGATAAATAGAGGAGGGGTGCAGAATAGACACTAAGTTCTGTGACAACCGAAGTCTGATTCTGTTTTAGAGGAAAACAGAACGGACTGGATGTGCTAGTGTGGAGTAAAGATGGATGCCAAAGTAGATAGATCATCAGGTCCAGATGAGAGCAGCTCTCTTACGCAACCGTCATGAATACTTTTGAAGGTGGATTCAACTGTTTAAAGGAGACCTAGAATGTAAACCAGCATTTTCCTTGTTGCTGAATAAAGACAGCTTGGGTGGTCAAAAGTAGCATGACAAAAGGTCAAAGTGTGACCTGTGGACTTCTGGATGGAAGCAAGGCAGGAAGCAGTATTATTTACTGGCGCCCAAGCGGCCTAACTACCCCTGAAATTGACATGTTAAAACATAATTAACGATAATTAAAATAGTATGCCGGGGGTAATAAAAGGAAGACAAGAGGAACTTAGCCAAAAAATGCGGAGAAAGAGGTTTTTCCACCTAAAGAAGCTGACGGCGCTAGCAAGCTAAAACCACACATAGCTATGGAGGCAATCGAAGCTAACATTCTCACGGAGCTGAAAGGAGTTCAAGCTAACTTGAAAAAAGAAATAACTGAGCGGACTGGGCTGGTGAAATCAGAAATGGCAGAGTTTAGAAAAGACATGGGAAGACGACTTGACGAGATCACAGCGGACATGGAGGAGGTCACAAACAGGATCGAGGACGTCGAGCAGAGGGTGGCCCACATGGAGGAGTTTACCGCAGATGCCAAGGACGTCCTCGGCTATACTCTCCAGCTGCAAGAGGACCTCCAGTCACGTATATCCGACCTGGAAGCTCGCTTACGCTGGAACAACATATGTATTCATGGCATAGCAGAGGGAGAGGAAGTGGGCAACATGTCTGAGTTCATCGAGACCTTCATAAAGAAAGAACTCTCTCTAACGGACAGTAATCTGGGCATACAGCGCTGTCACCGTTCCCTGGACCCCAAACCACCACCGGGAGCTAACCCTAGATCCATTGTGACACCTTTCTTGGAGTATAAGTGTGTGGGGCCGGGAAACAGGTATTTTAAACTCCAACAAAATTTGATATTCTTTACAGAGGCTCAAAGTTTCAGATTGCTGATTAACTGCATTCTAGGTCTCCTTTGAAGCTTAAATCAAATCAAATCAAAATTTATTTATGAAGCGCTTTTCATACAAATGCAGCTCAAAGCGCTTTACGATATTAAAAACAACCAGACAGCAGTCGGTTTCCCACCCCTCCCACACAGATTCACATAAGAGATCCACTTTGTATCTCCCTCCTCCCATCCTCAATCCCGTCCCAAGCAGATGCAAACTCCCGCACACGCACACACACACACACACACACACACACACACACACACACACACACACACACACGTGTAATAGAGAATGGGCAGCTGGCTGAGTGCAGATGTAGTAGACACAAAGAAGATGAAAACGCCATCAAAGGAGCCAACTGCACCGGGAGCACCAAGATTGGCAGCAATAGCCTTGGCAAGAGTAGACATGGGAAGCACCCAGGCCGCCACAGCCCACCACTGCCCCCGGGGCAGCCAGCCCCCACAGAGGAAACACTAGTTTACTAATGAGACTAAGATAACAAGTTAAGAAACAAATTAAACATAAACAGCTGATAAATAAAAATCTAAATAAAACACAGTGATAAAAGATAACCAAGTAGAAAACATATAATTAAATTTATAAAATATTGTACAACAAAGTATTAAGACTGGTTAAAACATTCTAGCTTCTTGTTATTCTGAGAAAAAGTGACCTTTAAGAGTCACAGGGTTCCTACATTTCTGAGTCCAGCGGCAGAACTAGAACATCTGAAAGCAAACCCAAAGTCAAAACGTCTTTATTGTTTTGTAACTGCTTTTCTTACCAAAAGGTTATGAATTGATTGATTGCACTTTGGATTGTAGGATGTTTATAAAATTGAAAGAAAACCCCTCAACTGTCTTATCAAGAACAACCCATGCTATTGTAAAGAATGGGTCGTTTACATCTTACTTATGAACCATAAACGGTGAGATTCCATAGAAATATGAAATCTCAATCTGATGGATCTTTGAATATTTTAACCAGAAGATCAGAACTTTTTATTGCAGGAATTAAGCAACACTTCTTATTAGCTCCAAGGAAAGAGAGAGAGTCAGGTTTAAAATAGTTAAGAAATGTATTTCTACACAATTTAAACAAGACTAACTTTAACACTCTGTGTACTGATGGACTAAGGTGGAGTGAGACATGATGAATGATGATGGTGTGTGTGTGGAGTGTTATTCAGAACCAGCGGATCCGGAGAAGCATTTAGTTCTGAGTGGGAATGAATGTTTCGCTCTAAACTTTAGTAGGAGATTTATAATACACATGAAACGCCATCTGTCGGTCTACAAACCCCAGGGGAAGCCTCCGTTAGATCCAGAATGTCGAGGTCCTCTTGGACCCTCCTTGGTACCGAAGCTGGTAGAAAAGCAGCGGTGCCGACCAAACTAGTCTTGGAATGCTTCCAGGTCACGACAGGTTATCACTGGCGTCAGCGAGACCCTGAAGGGGTCTTGAGGTTCAGCTTTTATTCTGAAGGAACCGTTGCGGTCAGGTGTAACTTGCAACAGATTTTATCCAGCTTGTCTGAGGTTCTTTTGGCTGAAGAGGAAGTCCGGAGACTCCTCTAAAACACTTTAAACTAAAGAAAAGGTGACTTGAAATAGTTTTTATAATTGTCATATTTTGGTTTACTGGCGAATCAGAATTTGACATGCAAAAGAGGGTTTATACAAACACCACACATCACCACGCCTAGCCAGAAACAAAGGTTCTGATTGGGTCAGACAAAAGGAAATGTGTCGTGTGGCTTTAACATTACGTGTCCTTAGTGTCTAGTTCAAATGTCCAAGATTATAATTACTTGTAAAATACTACTGATCACAGGATTATAATATCAAGTAATAACATTGTCATTTCACAGATTGATTGAACATTGGGCTCACATTATTATTGGTAATTAACAAAGTTGTTGATTATGTATTTATCAAAATAGTTCTTCGTCTTTGCTTGGTAACAGAGGTGAAGCAGTTTAAATGAGCAGAGTGCATGAAAGACCTTGGCCACTATCTCATGTAGATTAGGCTGTCAGAGACTTTATGTCTCTGCATGAGCAGACACAGCAGATCATGACCTTTAGGTCAAAAACAGGATATTCATGACGCTACATATCCCCCCTTTTCAAGGGCATGGTGGTCCAGGCAGAGACCACCTGACGTTGAACAAACCAGAGGCCAGAAGGACTCCGTCGAGAAAGCAAGGTGTAATTTCCCAGGCAGAGGCCAAAAGTGGTGAGGAAGAAACCCCACACCGAAGGACAGTCACGGATAATTCCTTTGGAAGCGGTTAAATCAACAGTCAGTAGATCATTAATATATCCACAAGGGAACAATTCAAGCAGCAGCAGAATTTTGTATCTCCACGTGGAGGGAATAATTCAAACAGTAATTTGATCCTTGTAATTGCACTTAGCGTAATCCAGAGTAGGAGGAAGACGAGCAGGTAACAGATCAGGTCTCAGCGAACGAAGTATCCCAGCAACCATAGCCACAATCAACGGACGTCCAGGTCCAACGAGCCGGAACATCAAGCAGCAAAGTCCGATGATGAATCATAGAACCACCCCCAGGAATCGAGGAACATCGGCGAAATTCAGCAGAGGAGAGAGAGCACAACATAGGGCACTTCATTGTAGACACAAATGGCGTTTGATGCAAATCAACAAATAAAAAGAAACCTGTCAGTATGTGTACCTGTATGTACTATGTGAAGCAAATTATGTGAACAGAGCCCAAGTGAAGAAATGGATGCTATGTGTACTGGAAAAGTGGTGTAAAAGAACAAAGTAACAAAACCCTATAATATATGTAAAGGAAAAAATACGCCACTAAGCAAAAATGTTATCAAGATTAGGGCAAAAATGGTTGTAGCCCATAACTGGTAAATCAACAAGTTAATCAAAAAGTTATCAACCTTAATCAACTGTAAATAACAATATATAAGTAGATATATGAGTGAAAAAGGGCACTAAAATGTAAATCAGTGAAGTTAGTAATCAACCTATATGTGAATGTACCCCATAAGGAATTGAGATTATAGTGAAAATAAAAACAAATTTGGATAACACAACAGTATGTGGAATAAACCCTTTTACTGTTAAAACTTATCACCTGACTTCAGGAACCCACAGTATGACCATCTAAAATCACCCAAGTCTGCACGTCATGTATAAACAGGAAGGACAACCATGCACACACACACAAACAAACTTGTGTAACCTGAAACAGGGGACCATGGGACTGACGACGGAAAATAGAGATCACCCCGCTTTTGATGCAATGGGTGTTGGGTTATCAGAGTCTTGGGTTGTAATATTATCCAGATTAGTGGAACCCTTGTGCGGTTTGATTTGGTTCCTGTGGACCCACTTATAGATGGGGTCTTTGTTTCCGTCGGTGATCTTGATCTGATACACGACCGGAGAGAGTTTTTCAGTTATCAGGTATGGACCTGACCACGTCGGCAAAATTTTCTTAGCCAGTTTACCAGAGGTTGTTTTTGTGTGACCGGAATTAGGATCAAAAATGTAGAACCAGGCCTCATCACCCACGTTGAGTTCAGAATGTGAGGCTTTCTGATCATAATAAGCCTTCCTGCCCTCAGCTGACTTCTCCAGATTTGTCTGTGTAAAAGAAAACGCTGCAGGCAGATGGATCTTCAGGTCCTGCAAATACTGCTCGCTCATGTAAGCCGGAGCGGCACTGGGCTGACCTGTCTGATACAGCAGGTGAAGCGGCAGGGTCATTTGTCTACCCGTCATCATTTCAAATGGGGAGACACCTGTAGACTCATGAGGAGTGGCCCGTGTGGCCATAAGGACCAACGGAAACTTCATATCCCAGTCTCTGTGACTAGAGGACACGTATTTCCTTAAAATGCTGACAACAGTCCGGTTCATCCTTTCCACCTGGCCGGAAGACTGGGGTCGGTAACCAATGTGGAAATTGGCGCAACACTATGTTTATATGTCTGTGCCGTGACTGATAAGGAGATGCTTCAGTATTTGCCTTAATTTTACATTTTGGTTCTTTTTAAATGTTTTATTAAATGATAATCAGTAACAAGGGCATGATGTGTTGTTACCAACGAGATCAGAGGTCAGATGACTTCACACGGTTACTCCATCTGTGTGCTCACAACGTGACGGCACGGACATCTACACTGAAAAAAGATTAGTTTATACAACTTCAATAAATTCCTTCAGTTGAATTTAGTTGGAATAAAGTGCATCATTTGCTCTGACTGGTGTCTTTAGCTTACAAAGAAATATGAAGCAAGGGGCAGGAGCACCCAGGTGAGTACCGTATTTTCCGGAGTATAAGTCGCACCAGCCATAAAATGTATAATGAAGAAGAAAAATACATATATAAGTCGCACTGGACTATAAGTCGCATTTTGGGGGGAAATGTTTTTATTTTTCTTACAAAATCGGAGACCAAGCATTTCACAGACAAGTAGCGAGAACAATAACAGAATAAACAACCAGGGCGCAGCAGCGCACCACAGTCTCCAGCAGAGGATGGCGGTGTTTCAAACCCTCCCAGCAGGTGGGGAGAGAGCCCACAGCACCCCGCCACAAGCTGCAGCAGGTGATGGCGGTGCGTCTTTAATTCCCAGCAGGGCAGGGGAGCTCATTCCTGGTCCGGAGCCGGCCCGCAGCAGCGCGGTATACATAATTTGGTATATAAGTCACTTTGGTATATGTCGCAGGACCAGCCAGATTATGAAAAAAAGTGTGACTTATAGTCCGGAAAATACGGTAAGCATTTATTAGATGCAAAAAAAAATCTAACACTGAAACACCATATGTGTAATTCTGACAAAGACACATATGTTGTGGAAAGATTAGTTGTTCCTTTTGTTTGTTTTTTGCATCTAATAAATACGTACTCACCTAAAGGCTCCAGCCCCCTGGCTTCGTAATGAATTATTAAAGTTTGTTTAATAGCTTAATAAATTAACTTGGATGAATTTAGTTTGAATATTATTCATCAGTTGAAGCTATTTATAGAAGTCAGAGTAACTACTCTCTTTTTTTCAGTGTACATTTGTACCTGCTCTATATTCTGCAGCTCTTAATTCTGGGCCTCTTTAGATACCGAGCCTCCGCGGATCCAGTGCCCCGCAGACATTGTTGCACAAACAGATGAGCGACGAAGCACCACAAACATCAGCTGGAATGCTCCGACTGCCACTGACAACTCCAACGAAGAGGTAGAAAACCTAAGAAAATCTGATAATTCTGAGAACGACTGAAATGCTCTTAATTCTACGTTCACTCTTGCAGGTGGTGGTGCAGATGAAGCCGGTCTACAGCCCTCCTCAGCTGCTCCCCATCGGAAAAGAAACCATCACCTACATCGCTACGGACCGCTCCGCGAACCAGGCGAACTGTTCCTTTACCGTCACTGTGATCGGTGAGTCTCGTGTCAGTGCTGTCGGGGGGGCTTAACCATGGTAGCTGTGAACATTTTCATGTGTTATCATGGCGGTGGAACCCTGTGGTTTTTTTATTAGAGACACATGTTCGACCCGTGCCCTCAGACCTAAAGAATTCAGATCACACTTCAGCGCTCTGCTACCAGCTCTGTTCCTGTTCCTCATTTTAGTTTCCTCTACTTTCTCCCTCTGTGTGCAGATACTGAGCCTCCGTTCATTGACAGGTGCAGGTCACCCCCGACGGTCCAGGCCGCAAACACGGAGACAGCGGTCAACTGGGAAGTGCCGCAGTTTTCCGACAACTCACGTACGTCTGGTGAAAGTCTCTGTAGACGCTTTATTCCTTAGCACTTCCGTTCCACTCGGCTCCAGCCTCTTGACTCCGCTGATTATGGTCACACGGGATCTTTTCCAAAGGACGATTGAAAAAATGGGATCAGGAGTCTTTGTGTGAACAGAGGTAGACTCTGGACATTTTTGTGTGTCTGTGTTTAAGAGAAGGAGAGAGAGAGAGTAGGACCAGAGGGTAAATGAAGTGGTTCTAGTGTCTGCTAATGTCATTAATGTAAAAAACAGATGGAGGTAGTGGAGAAAGACAGGTGTTATTCCTGTGGAAAAATTGCCTTTTTTGTGGCCATTTGCTCTCATTCCATCCATAGTTCAGACAGGCTTTTTGTGTAATTATGTGAGCACATATGCAAGATTTCCGAGTCATCTGTCTTTGTCATGCTTGTCAAATAATTTATCTTTAACTCATTGTGACTCTTTTACTCAGTAAGATTGGGCTTTGATCATTGTTCTGGTCAAGCTGATGTTGGAGAAAATTCACATTTACAGGATTTGGATTTTAAGTAACATCCACTTCAGTTAGTTCTACTGAAGATTAAATTAAAAGTTACAAGTGAACATGAAAAAATATTGAAATAAAAGTTGAATGTTTGGGGGAAAGAGACCAGATCAAAATCAGAGTCCCAAAAACCACAATTTGGACTCTGCAGCCACTTGGGTCCAGATGTATAAACAAAGAGAAAAAGCATGCCCACTCTTTCCCCCTAGATAAACAAGTAACAGAACACCAGGCACTAATGTATACTTTATACCACGTGCTCACCAAGTGTTAAATGAAACAGTCATTAAAGCAGACACAAGCAAACACATCAAACTCATCCCAATCACCCATGTAGGAAATACAGTGGAGCTTTTTTCAGGACATAACCTGGAAATGAAATAGCCAGAAATTTGTTAAAGCAATAATGGTGTAAAGCTCCACTAAAGGAGTTAAGGTTGGAAAAATGTACCTATGTGGCAGGAAGTACAAGAAACATGTCTGACAGCATTTGGGAAACAAGGACTGAATTACATGAAATGTGATCAGGATCAAGTACTTGAAGGGAAAAAGAGTCTATAATCTGGTCAGCAATGATTTGGTACACCGTGTTCCTCCAAGTCGGAAAACGCCGGGTGAATTCCACGCATGGGAGGTGTCCAGAAGATGATGTTTATTGTTTCCAGCCTAGAAACCTTTCACGCGCATCTGTCCCCGATTTACCGTGTGCTGAACCCAAACAGTGTGCCACTAAACTTGGTGTGAAATTAGATGCAGGATTTTCAGCGGTACCTCAGATAAGTGCAGTTGTTAAGTCGTGCTTTTTTTCAGCTGCGTTTTCGACACGCCTGAAGCCAATACTGAAATGCTCACATTTGGAGTCTGTGACACATGATTTTATTACCTCTCGTTCAGACTACGCACATTCACTTTTTATTTGTGCTCCTGCTTCAGCTTTGAAGCGGCTGCAGAATTGTGCAGAACACTGCTGCTAGATATCTGACAAACACAAACAGAAGTGGTCACATTACCCCGGTTTTGGTACATCTACACTGGCTGCCCGTGACCTTCAGGGTGCGATTCAAGATTTTACTCTTTGTCTACATGGCATTGAAGGGCCTTGCACCATCCTACATGTCAGAGCTGCTCACGCCCTGTGTGCCTGTGCGCTCTCTGAGGTCAGCTGACCACTTGCTGCTAAGAACCTCCAAAACAAACTATAAAGTGAGGGGGAAGTGGGCTTTTGTGTTTGCCGCATTTGTCCTTTGAAATTCCCTCTCCATCTCCATACGGCAGTCTTCATCAGTCTCGGTCTTCAAGTCAAGACTGAAGACTCATTTCTATGACTTGGCTTTTGGCGTATGACCATTTTTTATGCTTGTTTTTACTCTCTTCTGTTGTTTTATTGGTTGTTTTGTTTGTTTTACTGCTTGTTCTTGTTAGTTTTTATTGATCTGTTTTCATTCTGTTTTTTTATGACCTTTGGTCAGCTCTCACGCTGTATTGAAATGCGCTGTTACAAATAAATTGGTATGTTTTGATATAGGGATGTAAGAAAATATTTATATGGCAATATATTGCGATACTTTTTCCTGCGCTATTATATCGATATTCAAAAGCCGTGTATTGAATTTTTGGAAGAATGTACATGCAAATATTTGTGTATTTTCTTTTCTTTTGGTGCAATTCAAACGCCGACCGCTAGTTAGTAGAAATTATGGTTCAGATACCTCATGTTAAACATGTTACATATCAGGTTGGACTGTTTATTGAATTTTCCTACAATAATTTCAGTCTAAAAGAATCACCAATATCATCTGGCTGAATGTATCGCAATATATCGCGATATATCGTATCATCTCCCCTGTATCATGATACGTATCGTATCACCTGAATTTCACCAATACACACCCCTAGTGTGATTACGGTACTATTGATTTTCAAAACTCACTTTTACCCGCCTACAAAAATGATTGGTTTCTCGTTTCTGTATCCTAAAACGTGATCCAGCCTCACAGATGATCATACAGAATAGAGACTTTTGTTTTTATTTTTGTGGAGGTAACAGGAGGAAAGCATCTGTCTCTCCAGCTCCTCCTGGATGAGTCCAAGGTGTTCTCAGGTCAAAAAGGATAAAATTGTGGGTCTCGTCCCTGTGGAAGTCAACAAGGAGGAATTATAATCAGAGGTCCACCTCGGTTGACTCCATTTGATGTGGAGGAGCAGCAGCTACTCTGAGCTCCCCCTGCATGTTTGGGTTCCTCACTTTATGTGTAAGATTGAGCCTATTCCTCATTTCAGCTGGATTACTTTCTTTTGACCACAATCAAAAAACATTGACAGGCTTCAGGTCATTGAGAAAAAGCATCAGGTTTCATTCCGAAGCAGGGTTTGGCAAACATTAGGAGCCTTTATCTTATGTTCTGTTGCACATTGATGACGTATCGTACAACAGCTTGGCCCAAGTCTAAATAGTCCAAAGCTGATGTCAAAGCCTTTTCAAACAAGGATCATTCCTCAGCCATCGCCATCTTTGTAGTTTTTCTCTGTCTCAGCTCTGGTGAAAAGCTTGTCCAACAAGCGTAGAGTGCTGTGATCGTCAAGGCACAAAACTGCTTGGGTCAACAGTAGACCTGCTGAGGCTTCAGTGGATCATGGCTAGACCGACCTGCAGAGCTTTTTGCTACTGCCACAGTTGGTCAAGATTTCTTGGCTACACCACCAGATCACCATTGAAAGACATCACCAAGCCGTGCTGAACACCTGATATCATTATAAGGACTTAATAAACAATCAGTGTCATAAAGGAGCACTTTAAGGTCTCATTACCTAACAGACTAAATATTATAGACTTGGATGTCTTTCTGTTGGCCCCTCTGGCTGTTCCAGTACAGCTTAAGTGTTGACAGACAACATGCTTCCAGCCAACCTTCCGACGCACCAGGTTCTCTAACGCTGGTGTTAGTTACTACACACAAATAACACTAACAGAGTGTGTTCGTTTGAGTTAACAAACTGAGCCAGGCATGGGCCCCAAACCTCACATCTCTCTCACCAACAAGTCATTGCAGTCACTCCCCACCTGTCTGCGGAGGTGCACCCCCAACAACAAACGCCCTCAATAACACACACACCCATGCATACACTGTAATAACAGGCTGCTGTGGCTGCTTGGATTCCACACGACGTCAGCTCTGAACTGCTTCGACGTCAGTGTTTTGTTTTTCCAGGCCCACACCCTGATGCCAGCTCTATATATAGTCCTGACTCTGTAGACGCACGCACACACACACACACACACACACACACACACACACACACACACACACACTATGGATAAATATATAAAGGGGGGACTCCAGAGGGCCAGACGTGTGTCAGCTCTCTTGCTACTGTTATTGGAGGAGGTGAATCAGAGTTAAACAATAATCACTCATTTTTCTCTTCTTTCAAGGCATTCTGTGTCTCTCACACTTAGAGATGCTCCCATTATTTCAGTGTGTGTCAGCATGGAGACAAGTTACAGAACATCACACACACACACCCCTCAACACAGCTGGCTGTTACAAATCTTTGCATTCATAGCTTTCTATAAGCCATCCAGACAGAATAAATTTAAAGTTTTATCATAACAACTATTATTTACTGAAGGGTGAATTATTCAGTCTTTAACTATCAACTAAGGCACATACTGCCCTCTACTGGATTTCTAAATTATCATTTGATGCAAAAAAGATTTTAAATGAACCGTTGCTGGAATAAATGTTCCGCGATGAATCATTTTTTTGGTTTTATTTGAATACTGTAATAGCAACTTTTTTTTTACTTGTTTCAGTCCTCATTCTTGTAATTAATCTAATTTCCTCCTCCCCCATTTTTAGGTGGTCGTCTCACAGTAACCAGTAGCCATACTCCAGGGTCCCCGTTCCCAGTAGGAGAGACTGTGGTCCAGTATACAGCCACTGATGCAGCAGGAAACAGTCACACGTGTAACCTCACCATAACTGTGCAAGGTATTATTACACATAAGTCTGTTATTTTTCTGCTCAGACCTATTCCATTTATTTATAATCTAAAAACATGTGTTTTCTTTTATTGCAACCCCTGCATTTATTGAGGATTATTCATTTATATTTTTGAAAAAGAAAAACTTGTCCGGGAAGGGGTGGGGGGGTGGGGGGGGGGATATTAAATAAGAATAGAAAATAAATAAATTCCCGGATCGTTAAACGTTTACTTAAAATGAATAATGTTGAGTAAAAAAAAATTTTTCCATCGGAATTTACATACAAAAAAGTGAGAGAGTGGAATATAAAAAGTATAGATCAAGTTAGGAATAGATGATTGGACATATAAATATAGTTTTATACTTTGATTGAAGGGCAATAAATTTTAAAATGTCTTTAGAAAGGATTTTTACACAGTTTTTAAAACTATCTTAAATTAAACTTTTCTGTCCAAAATTATTGAAAGGGTGGCTTTCAAGCAGATCACAGAATACTTCTCACAAAACTGTCTGCTTGACCCTTACCAATCTGGGTTCAAAAAGGGCCACTCCACTGAAACTGCTCTGTTAGCAGTGACAGAATCCTTAAAAGCTAGAGCGACAGGCAAATCCTCAGCGCTTCTCCTGCTCGACTTATCAGCTGCATTTGACACTGTCAACCATGGCTTCCTTTTGTCCACACTCTCTAGCATGGGCATCACAGAGAAAGCACACACCTGGTTTGAATCGTACCTCAAAGGATGATCATTCAGTGTATCTTGGCTTGGACAATCCTCTACCGTGCACCATCTTGCCACAGGAGTCCCCCAGGGCTCTGTACTAGGACCTCTTCTCTTTGCCATGTACACCACCTCACTGGGTGAGATCATTCGATCACATGGCTTCTCCTACCACTGCTATGCAGACGACACCCAGCTCTATCTGTCATTTCCACCGGACGACCACACTGTCTCTGCACGAATATCAAACTGTCTCTCTGACATATAAAAATGGATGAAATCCCACCATCTCCAACTCAACCTCTATAAAACTGAACTACTTGTCATCCCAGCAAAACCATCCATACAGCACAATATCTCAATCCAAAATGACTTCCTATCTCTGGCTCCTTCAAAGGCAGTTCGAAATCTGGGTGTTGTGATTGATGAACACCTGACCTTTAAAGATCATGTTGCCTCTGTTGCTCGTTCATGCCGCTTTGCGCTGTATAACATACGAAAGATCAGACCATACCTAACAAAACATGCCACCCAGCTCCTGGTGCAATCTACTGTCATCTCCCGCCTCTATTACTGCAATGCCCTTCTAACTGGTCTTCTAGGCTGTACTGTGAGACCTCTTCAAATGGTCCAGAACGCAGCAGCACGTCTGGTCTTCAATCAGCCAAAAAGAGCACACGTCATCCCTCTGTTCATTGAGCTCCACTGGCTACTGCAAGCAGCACGCATCAAATTCTAATTGCTAACTCTAGCATACAAAGTCCGAGATGGTACGGCTCCCATCTACCTGAATCCTCTTGCAAAGGCTTACGTCTCGGCCCGGCCGCTCCAATCATCGCAGGATCATCGGCTAGCAGTGCCTACACCACGCTCAGGACAATCCAGACTCTTCTCATGCATCGTTCCACAAATGTGGAATGACCTTCCAAGCACTACCAGAACAGGGGCTTCCTTTTCAATTTTCAAGAAACCCCTGAAGACCCTGCTCTTCAGAGAGCATCTTCTAAACTAGCACCCTCTCTGCACCCGTCCCCCCCTCTACCGTCCACTCCTTTGTTCCCTCCTCTCCATGATTGATGTCAAGTTGTTGTTATTGTTGTTGTTAGCCTCAAGGGCAACATGCCGATTATCACTTGTAAGTCGCTTTGGACAAAAGCGTCTGCTAAATACATAAACATAAACTGATGAAATGGTCTTTCATGTGATTTCATTGCTTTCCTTTTTTATTTTTGGTTACAAAACCGTTGAGTTCTTATTAAATCACCCCTAAGTATTAACATTTTATTTTCAGTTCTGAAATCATGCAGTTTGACAAGAGTACACATAAAGGTGCAATGTGTAAGAATGACATCCTGCGGTCAAATTAGGTAACTGCAGTCCATTTTCCTAAGTATTAGAAAAACTTTCGTGGCTGTTGCCAGGTACAGATCAGCGCCAGCAGTTTTTAGTTGACAAAGGTGAGACCTACACAGTAAGTTTATATGTATGTTGTTATATCTGGTGTTGGCACTATACTTAATGTGGTAAAATGTCTCCTGTGTATTTATTTCTATTGCTGATGATTGTTTTTCTGTGTTTTGTGCCCAGGAACAACTTGTGACCAACCGTACTTGCCTGTGAATGGAGAGTTCATCTGCTCTGAGGAAGATGAGGGAGTTAACTGTACCTTACACTGTAAAGATGGTTACAGCTTTGCTCAGGATGCCATACACAGCTACTTCTGTGCCCACAACGGTGTGTGGGAGCCGCCGTACTCTCCAGACAGACCCGATTGCTCACGTGAGTGCAGCTCATGATCTGTTACCAAGTTTTATCTTTCTGATGCCAAGTTGAGTTTTATATGGCGCGGTATGGGGGCCATAATTAAGGCTACTGCCCAGCAGCAGGAGGCTAGATAAGTTCTGAAGCAAACTACTGATCTGATTAATGATAAGCTGGCGCCAGTAACTGAGAGGCTGGCACTGCTTACTGAGAAATAGCACCTTTACCGGCGTTACTACTAGATACGCTAGGGACTAGCAGCCCTCGGCTGGTCATTGACTGGTTCACACATTCCCTCTGCCTTCTGTTAGCATGGATAGGCTAGCATTAGCCTGGACGGGCTGGTGCTAGCATTGGAGAGGCTAGCCATTAGCGTGCCTAGGCTGGCCACTAGCTGGATTTCCTACCCCCTTGATGGACCATTAGCATGGATAGGCCGGCGTTAGCATCGGAGAGGCTAGCCATTAGCATGCCTATGCTGGCCACTAGCTGGATTTCCTACCCCCTCGACGGACCTTTAGCATGGATAGGCTGAAGTTAGCTTCGGAGAGGCTAGTCATTAGCATGTCTCGGAGAGTCACTTACTCTATAAGATGGGGTTTTTTTTTGGTACATATTATATAGTTATAATAAAGATAACATCACAATTTTAATAATTATTAACCTGTAATTCAATACCAAGGATTTAAAATCAAAAGATGAAAAGTACAAACTAGTTAGCTCTGGCTTTTTCTGATATGTGCAAGAAAACCAAACTATATAAAAAGAAAATGCCATCAACCTGTAATTAAGAGCAAAATGGAGTTAACGCAGCACCTAATCAATGCTAACAGGCTGTCAGCTTTATAATATGCTTGACGTTAATGTGTATAACAACATGTTCTGTCAAAGGAACAACTGTGATTGCAGGTCTCATAGTATGTCATCTGTTTAATAAAAGTTTAAAAAAAATATTCATCTAGTGGAGTAAGTGACTCTCCGAGACATGCTAATGGCTAGCCTCTCCGATGCTAACGCCAGCCTATCCATGCTAATGGTCTGTCGAAGAAATAGGAAATTCAACTAGTGGCCAGCCTAGGCACGCTAATGGCTAGCCTCTCCAATGCTAGCACCAGCCCGTCCAGGATTACGCTAGCCTATTGATGCTAACAGACAGCAGAGGGAATGTGTGAACCAGTCAATGACCAGCCGAGGGCTGCTAGTCCCTAGCGTATCTAGTAATAACACCGGTAAATGTGCCATTCCTCAGTAAGCAGCGCCAGCTTATCATTAATTAGATTGGTAGTTTGCTTCGGAATTTATATAGCCTCCTGCTGCTGGGCAGTAGTCTTAATTTTGGCCCCCATACCGCGCCATAGTTTCAGACACATTAGCCCTTTTTACAAGACACACCATGCCGGCAAATTGGCGTAATATTACCGCAATGGTATGTCTATAAACGCGCCATGCCGGCATGGCGTTGCGCAAATTTTGCGGCATTCGTTCCACCTCGCTTGGTAGTAATATTGCAGTAATGGTCTGTCGTATGCGCCCTGGCGCAACAGAGGCAGGTGTCATGATGACGTGGGGAGTTATTGCTGAGCTCCGGCTGGCAAATTTATTGAAAATGAAAATAAACACAGGCAATAAGGTTTGCTTTTTGAACAAAATCAGCTGAGATGGCAAACTGGAGTGCCGCAGCGCTCCATGAGCCTCTCTGTTGGAGCTGAAACTCAGGTCACCAGAGACTGCACAGGGACTGATGGGGGCAGACACCTTTAGGAGCTGCTTGTTAAAACAAACGTAACGATCACGGCTTCAATCGCAATAAAAAGCAAGTTATGTCCAAGATAAACGGAAGTCTGCAGCAGCGCAGAGACCGCCCCCATACCCCCTTTATGCTGCCATCACCTAATCTTTTATAAAAACAATTGCGCCACATTACCGCCACGGTCTGATTTTATAAACGACCTTTATCCTCCCCAGGGAGCTGCGGCAAATCCCGTTTTGCAAACGCTCTGGTCCTGTAAAAACAGCTATTCTGTTTCTCCTGTTTCCTCCAGTAAATCGCATAGCAAACAATGGCTTTAAACCCTTTGAGATGCTGTTTAAAGCATCTCGATGTGACGATGCAGACTTGGTCAAGTCGTTTACCGGGAGCTTTAACGACAAACTAGGAGGCATGGTGAGGATTTGCACTCAAACAGTCAGATTAGAGGTGAATGAAGTGGATTTCACTCAGCTGTTTTTCTCCTTCCACACAGCTCCCTGGCATTTGTAGCAGTGACGAAATCACCTGCAAGCTGGAGGTGATGTCACAGGGCCACTGTCTGGAGTACAACTATGACTATGAAAATGGATTCTCAATTGGTACGATCAAACAAAGCTATAATTCCGTATAAATAAACCATGAGCTGATCATTCCTCCCCTTTGTTGCCTTGAACGCAGCACCGGGTGGCTGGGGTTCCCAGGGATCACAGGACTATGCTTACTTTGAGTCAGGCTTTGCCACGGGCACCCAGCAGCTCCCCAGCCAGCAACAAGACAACAACAGGAAGCTTCAGCTCCGCAGCAAGAGGAGCAGGAAGATCACAGGCCCCACCCGAGATCACAAGATCCAGATCTACTTCAACATCACAGGTAGAAAAGCAAATCTCATTTTAAAAGTTGTGACTCTACCTTGCAGTCCAGAACACTAAACACTGTCCATTCTCCCAGCAAGCATCCCTTTGCCTTTGTCGAGGAATGACTCTGTAGAAGTAGCCAATCAGAAGAGGCTCCTGCGGGCCCTGGAACAACTCACCAACCGCCTGAAACGAACACTGGCGAAGCAGCAGCTGTCCAGTTTCCACGTGTCCTCGGAGATGATCGTATCCGATCCCAGGTCCCTGGAGAGCAAGAAGGCCTCACTGTTCTGCAGGCCGGGCTCAGTTCTCAAAGGCAGAATGTGTGGTGAGTCTGATGAGAGACACGTAAAATAAATCAGTGTTTTACAACTTTTACATCACGAATCTAAACGTTTTCTTCTTTTGTAGTCCAATGTCCCGTTGGCACGTACTTTTCGCTGGAGTATAATGAGTGTGAGAGCTGCTGGTTGGGGTCCTACCAGGACCAGGAGGGTCAGCTAGAGTGTAAGTCCTGTCCTGAAGGAACCGCCACGGCGTACCTGCACTCACGCAGCATCGCTGAGTGTAAAGGTGAGTTTCAGCCTGTGTGAGATTCATCTGCTGATGGGTTTTTTGTTTCTGCCTCCTGATGAGGGACTTGTCTCCTCAGGTCAGTGTAAACCTGGTAGTCACTCTCTCAATGGGTTGGAGATCTGTGAGTCGTGCCCGCTCGGTCACTTCCAGCCTGGGTTTGGTGCCAGAAAGTGTCTGGTCTGTCCTGGTGGGACTTCCACCGTCACCAGAGGAGCAGTGGATGAGACGGAGTGTGGAGGTGAAGCGCTTTGATGGGACAAAGTCCACATTTTAATAAAACCTTTATAGCCTTGCTTTTATTTGAGAAGTTCTGAATAACTGACGTGGACTTAGAGCACCAGCTTGTGTGCCACCTTAGCTCTTTATCATTTTTGTCTTTTATCTTTCTTAATTTTGTATCTTCAACGGGTCTCTCTGTTCCAGTTCCCTGCATAGCAGGTCACTTCTCGCGGACCGGTCTGGTTCCCTGTTACCCGTGTCCCAGAGATTATTATCAGCCTGAGCATGGGCGCTCCTACTGCCTCTCCTGTCCTTTCTATGGAACAACCACGGTTACAGGAGCATCCAGCATTCAGCGCTGCTCCAGTATGTTGAGCCAATGGAAACCTGCTTTCCTGGTTTTTTCTGCATGAACCAGCGCTGATGATGATTTTCTCTGGGTATCGTTGTCAGGTTTTGGCTCAAGTTTCCTTGCTAAGGAAGAGAGCGTAACTGCTGCTCCAGAAGTGGAGGTCATTGAAGACTACCAGGCCAGCAGTCAGGTCAGTCTTTGTCTAAGTTTGCACATAAATTCATGTGGATGAAGTAGTACCGTATTTTCTGGACTATAAGTCGCACTTTTTTTCATAGTCTGGCTGGTCCTGCGACTTATATACCAAATTATGTATGCCTCGCTGCTGCGGGCTGGCTCCGGTCCAGGTTTCAGCTCCCCTGTCCCGCTGGGAGGGCTTCAAACACCACCATCCTCTGCTGGAGACAGTAGCGCGCTGCTGCGCCCTGGTTGTTTATTCTGTTATTGTTGCCGGTACTTGTCTAGCAATGTGAAACGCTTGGTCTCAGATTTTGTAAGAAAAATAATAAAATTTCCCCCCAAAATGCGACTTATATATGTTTTTTTCTTCTTCGTTATACATTTTTTGGCTGGAGCGACTCATACTCCTGAAAATACGGTACTTTATCAGTCTAGTATTGTTGTGGAGATGTTTTTTTCCCCACTTTTCTTAGCAAAAGTGCTTCTTTTTCCTTGAGGTTTGTGGAGAATCCTTCATGCTCCCATCACAGCATTTCTAACAAGCCAGTCTTCCATTTTTTTTAATGCACTGTCATCAACCTTTAAATGTCATATGTCATACGAGGGCCATGGTGTGCGAGATACGAAGTATTAGACATCAGTCTGCATTCAAATGTTTATTTGGTTTGATATTAAGCGCCCTGCTAACAGAAACATACCTGACTTAATCCGACCAAACAAATAAAATCACCTACTTTTCATGTGATTTGATTTATTGGTTTATAACGCCTCTTTCTTCAACCAGTCAAGGCAGCCTAAGGTGTTGAATACAAAGCTGTTTTTACAGGACCAGAGCGTTTGCAAAACGGGATTTGCCGCGGCTCCCTGGGGAGGATAAAGGTCGTTTATAAGATCAGACCGTGGCGGTAATGTGGTGCAATCGTGGCATTTTTATAAAAGATTATGTTATGGCAGCATAAAGGGGGTGTGGGGGCGGTCTCTGCGCTGCCGCAGACTTCCGTTTATCTTGGACATTACTTGCTTTTTATTGCGATTGAAGCCGTGATCGTTACGTTTTGTTTTTAACCAGCAGCTCCTAAAGGTGTCTGTCCCCATCAGTCCCTGTGCAGTCTCTGGTGATCTGAGCTTCAGCTCCAACAGAGAGGCTCGTGGAGCGCTGCGGCGCTCCAGTTTGCCATCTCAGCTGATTTTGTTCAAAAGCAAACCTTATTGCCTGTGTTTACTTTCATTTTCAGTAAATCTGCCAGCCGGAGCTCAGCAATAACTCCCCACGTCATCGTGACATCTGCCTCTGTTGCGCCAGGGCGCATACGGCAGCCCACTACCGCAATATTACTACCAAGCGAGGTGGAACGAATGCCGCAAAATTTGCGCAACGCCATGCCGGCATGGCGCGTTTATAGACATACCATTGCGGTAATATTACGCCGATTTGCCGGCATGGTGTGTCTTGTAAAAAGGGCTAATGTTTTTGACATCCTCCAAATTTCTGGGACTTCATTATGAGTAAAGTTATGTTCTACTTAGTTTATGCTGAAAACTCTGTCTTGTTTTGTTTGTGGAGGCTGACTTGAAGATGTACGTAACTTCTGTTCTGAAACATAAAACTGTAGACATTTTAAAAAGAGTGCACTTACGTTTCTCCCACTGGCTTCATAAATACAGTTCATAACGCACAACAATGATCATGGACTGCATGCATAAATGACTTTTCTGTTGATAGAGTTGTCTGATTCATTTTTTCTGCAGGTTTTCCACGAGTGCTTCCTGAATCCCTGCCAAAATAAGGGAACATGTGAGGAGGTGGGAGCAGGTTACGTCTGCACCTGCACACCTGGATTCACAGGTGAAACAGCTGTTACGAAATTGTGGTTCTGATTCCTTCCTGGATGCTAGTGACAGTAAACAGCAGTTCGCAGATACGTAACTTCTGTTGTTGTCCCTCAGGTGCGAAGTGCGAGATCGACATAAATGAGTGTGACTCGTCTCCGTGCCAGAATGGAGGTTTGTGCAAAGACGGGATGGGAGATTTCCAGTGTCAGTGCAAGCTTGGATTTTTGGGTAAAAGAACCATGAAGAAGTTGAACTGTTGATTCAATCTTAAAAAAGAAAATCTAGTCTGATTATCTCGAGCACAAATCTGCTGTTTATTCGGTTCAGGCTCTTTGTGTGAGGCCGAGATAAACGAGTGTCTCTCCTCCCCGTGTCTGAACGAAGGAGTGTGCGTTGATGAAGTCAACGGGTTCAGCTGCAGCTGTGCAGACGGCTTCACAGGTCAGCAGGGAGCCAATCTTGGCATTTAACTCTGAAACCGTGGCAATAATCTCTAATCTGATTCCTGCATTTCTTCAGGATTTCGTTGCGAACTGGAAATCAATGAGTGCCAGTCCAGCCCGTGTCTGAACGGAGGTGTGTGTGAGGACTTAACGGGCGGCTACAGCTGCAACTGTGCTGTTGGATTCTCAGGGGATCGCTGCGAGATCAACATTAATGACTGTTACAGCGCCCCCTGTCTGAACGGAGGCCTGTGCATTGATGCTGTAAACAGCTACAGGTAACAAAGGGACATGATGTCGTATTCAGAATCGTTGAAATGCTGACTTCAGCTCCGCGCGTGTGCCAGGTGTCATTGTGTGGAGGGTTATCGAGGACGGCTGTGTGAGGTGGACGTGGATGAGTGCGACCCCAACCCCTGTGTGAACGGGGCCAGCTGCTTGGACGGGCTTGGGTCCTTTACCTGCCGCTGCCTCCCTGGGTTCAACGGAACCAGGTGTGAGACAGGTACTACTGTATAGGTCAGATACCGCATCACCATGGCGACTAAATCAGAGAATCAGATGCAACCCAGCTGTCATTCACACATTAGTTACAAGCTTTACCACTGTAATGTATTTTTGGGTGTATCCTCCCAGAGATGTCCTCCGCCTTCAACCTGGACTTTGAGGTTTCCGGTATCCATGGTTACGTGATGATGGATGGCGTGATGCCTGCGCTGACGGAAATCACCTGCACCTTCTGGATGAGATCATCAGACACCACCAACTATGGCACCCCTGTTTCCTACGCGGTAGACGGTAGCGACAACGCGTTCCTCCTGATCGACTACAACGGGTTTGTGATGCTGGAAGATCTGGTCAAATCCAGATTTACTTTAACTAACTTTCTCACCTGGTTTGGTTGTAGGTGGGTGCTGTATGTAAACGGTAAGGAGCGGATCACTGACTGTCCCGCTGTGAACACGGGTCAGTGGCACCACATCGGTGTCTCCTGGAGGAGCTGGGATGGAGACTGGAGGATCTACATCAACGGGAGGCCGTCAGATGGAGGCAAAGGCCTGTCAGTGGGCACCACCATCCCAGGTGTAGTGGTATCCTCGACCTGGTCCATTAATAATCCCGGAAAACTCATTTTAAAGATTCTATTATCTGATGAAAATTAAAATAATCATTTTAAGAGTTGTTGGGGTTTCATTTAGTATTTAGTAGTTTATTAACCTTGGTGTTTTCCCTGTCCCGTAGGAGGAGGGGCTCTGGTTTTGGGTCAGGACCAAGATCAGAGAGGAGAAGGCTTCAACCCGGTGGAGTCCTTCGTTGGTTCCATCAGCCAGCTCCACATCTGGGATCGTGTTCTCACTCCACAGCAGGTCAACTATAAAATATCTCTGGTTCCTTATTTCTTTGATGAGCTAGATCACAGAGAAACCATTTTTAACTTGTTATTTTTGATACGATCGTTCACTCCGAGTTTCCCATGCAGCCTGAATGTGAAAATCTTCTAGCTCCAAAAAGCCTGTCAGATCTACGTCACTTAACAGTCATGGACTCACCCATCTTAACTCGCGACGGGGAAGGCTGTTGTTGGTTTAGCATCCAGGAAACAGCAGAGAACGTCTCGGCTAGTAGAAGCTAACTGTTAGCGTTAGCAACTCCACCACACAGCAGAACTTGTGTGATTTGTGGAGGTGAAACATCAGTGTTGCTGAGCAAACTGGGTGAGTGGTAGAGTTGTGTTGCTGTTGGCCAATCAGAGGAGAGATGTTTAAATATTAGGAATATCAATGAGAAAAACTCCAAATCCAGCCGTTTTCTGCTTCCTAAAACAGGAACGCCAGAGCACTGATTTGTACTGGAGACCACTGTAAATGTGTTGCAGTAACGAGTGAATGGGAGCTTTAACCTAATATGACTCAACTTATGGTACGTTTATGTAATTTTACTGCCTGACCTCTACTTTTTCTTACTATGATGCAGATCAAAGTCCTAGCCAGCAGCTGCCCTGCCTCACACGTGAGACACAGAGGAAACGTGCTCGCCTGGCCTGATTTTCTCAGTGGCGTGGTGGGCCGAGTCAAAGTAAACCTCAACAGCATTTTCTGTGCTGGTAAGACACACTTTACCTGCTTGTGCACATACTCTAGGACACCTTTGAACCTTCTCCAACATCGTGTCATGTTCAGACTGTCCCAAGCTGGAGAACGCTGTGCCCCACCTGCATGTCTCCTCTGTGGAGGTGAGCCCTGGAGCCCAGGTGCAGCTGTCCTGTGATCCCGGTTTCTACCTGGTGGGGGAGCCAGTGCTGCAGTGCCAAAATAGAGGAGAGTGGAGCCATCCTCTGCCCAGCTGTGAACGTAAGGCCCAGACCAGCCTTCACTTTTATACCTTACAACAACCATGACAGCTCTGCTGGTGTGTTGGACAGGGGTATCATGTGGACCTCCTCGTCCTCTGGAGAACGGTTTGTTTGAGGGGGCAGACTTCCATGCTGGCAGCTTCGTGGTGTATCAGTGCCATCCAGGTTTTTACCTGCTGGGAGACACCAAGACACACTGCAGCAACAGTGGCAAGTGGGGCGGACATCCACCTGCCTGTCTGGGTACAAAAAACACTGACCGCATGTGAAGTTATTCATGTAAATAGAAAAAAATGACAACATGTTAAGATTTATTGTATGTTTTACTCTACTAGGAGTGTCTTTTGTGTGTATTTGTTCTCAGATGTGGATGAGTGTGCTCTGGGATCAGACTGCGATGACCACGCCAGCTGTCAGAACACGGATGGGTCCTACACCTGCACCTGCATCCACCCATACTCAGGGGATGGCAAGAACTGCACAGGTGGAGAGATTATCTAATTTGTATCTAAAGTCGTGTTCTAGTAATAAATACATAGAACTTAATAAATAAAATGTGTGTGTTCAGAGCCGGTTAAGTGTCCTAACCCCGGATCTCCAGAGTTTGGTCACAGAGATTTCAGCAACTTCCTGATGGGCAGTGAGGTGGTGTTTGGTTGTGATAACGGCTACGAGCTTGTCGGCTCGTCACGACTCAACTGCCTGGAGTCAGGAGCCTGGGACAGCCCTGTTCCATACTGCAGAGGTAATGTCAAATAACCCGTTAGAATCTGAAATATAACTGAATGTTTTTAATTATTTTAAAAATCTAATGTCTCTTTCTTAATATCTTTATTGCTTAAAGAGACATTATAGAAGTTTGACAGCCAAAACATGTATAGAAATAATAAATTTCTTCTTCCTACATTCTCCTGCAATGCCCTGGTCCTGTAGAATGAGCCCTGGCATTTTTACTGTGATTGCCTGTTTTTCTGTAAAATCACAGAAAAAGAGAGATGCTCGGGTCGAGCAGGCTGCTGCATGCGCGTTCACGCTCAGGCATAGCCCGTAGCATTTGCTATCCGTAGCTTTAGCAGCAGAGAGAGAGGCAGTGCCACTTTGTCGCTGTTCCTAACGCCTAGTGATGAACCTAGCTACATTTCTGAGGACCCTTAGCTACTTTCTGTAGAACTTTCTTCTAGATATTTCCTGCAAATTAGCAACAAAATAGCCATTTTCGCTTCGAACCGTTCTTTGGTTTGACGTTGTTTCAGGTGTCATCAAGGATATAAAAGTTACAGATGCTATGAATGTTACTGAAGTGTAGCTCACCTTGTAAGATGTCTGACTCCCATGCAGAAGACCTGGGTTTGATTCTGGATGTGAACATAGTTCATTTAGAGTTTCTTTTTTTACATTAATGGTATATTTTTTTTTTTCCAGTAAGATGCCCAAATTTTTATTTGAGACTCGCCGAACGGCATTGAATTCACAGATAAAAAAAGATGTGGGTTCAACTTTCATTTTGGAAAAAATTTTCAAGCAAGGGAAGGGAATGATCTGAGCATGCAGGAGGACTGACCCATCTTAAACCTTTGTCGGCTGTGCTGAAGAAAAAGGTACAGAACCAAATTATTTAATTAATTAGCTGCGTGTTCCCCTATCCTCTGGGCCACACACACACACACTGTCTCAGCTGTTATTTTCGTTAAGGAGTGTGCACGTACAGCATGCACGCCTCGTGCACGAGCCCACTATTGAAGCTGCCGTTACGATTTTGGCCTGAGGGGGCAATCGCGAGCATAAAAATTAAAAAGTCCAAAAAGTCCCTTTAAAAGTTTTAAAAAATGTAAATAGAACTATTTTCATTGCTTTTTTGTGTGTGGACATTAAAGGGGACATATTGTGACTTTTTTTTTCTTGTTATAATGATTCTATGGTCAGTACCAAACGTGCTCATGTGGTTATCAAAAACAGGACCTTCTGCGCATCATCCACTCGCTGATCGGTGCTCGGCAGCCAGTGAACAATCAGAGTTCAAAAAAAAGGAGGAAAGCTGGAGCCCTCATGGGTGCGAACGAGATACTAACGTTTCATGCTCATGTGGTTCTTTGCACAAAATCTTTCTCACATAAAACAATCTCAGCCGTTTTATGCAGTGAGCTGTTTCAGGGCTGTCATTTTAAGAAAACAAGCTGTTGCAGGTCACGCCCACCTCCCTACTCCACTTAAGCTCAGATAACTGGAAGGGGCTTGGAGTAGAGAGGTGCTAATTTCCCTGTTTGTGACATCACAAATGGGGACCTTTTGAAACGGCATGTTGTACACACATAATTCCTAAACCCAAACACTGACAGATGGACAGATTTTTTGCATGTTTGGAGTGTTTATAGAGGCAGTAGAGACCCTCATAGCTGCACAAAGGTGAGTTTTGCATATGAGGTCCCCAAATTCAGCAAATTTCTTTCTGTACATTTTAGCTTGTAAAAGTGGAAAACTTGTAAACATGGAATACTTTTACATTTCCCTTTTCCTAGGCTGGTTTTATTTGTCTCTGTTCATATACAGTATATGTCTAAAAAACAACAGTAATTGTAACAAAAACTATGTTTGTTTTACTACAAACCCTTTTACTGAGTTTTTCAAAAAAGAAATGGCTCACCTGTTGTGTTTGGAATACTCAAAATCCTTTATAGATCACTACAGATGAGTAACCTTATTATTATTATTATTAACACTGCAATCCAGTTGAACTACTGCATATTTGGCTCTGCTCTAGCTGGGCTGCACGCCACAGCGGTGTAGTTTTTACATTTCTCTAAACTATTCAGAGAACGCAGGTGGAGCCGAGCCTACTATGAAGTAGTGAAACTAAAAAGTAATCTCCCGGAGATTCATTAATTATTTGTAGTAAGTGTGTTAGTAGTTATTGTAGCTGTGCCTTCCGGCCTTTATCCAGATATGTTTGAAACATCTAAACACACCATCAGTACAGGAGACAGGAAGTGTTTTTAAAATGTGTTGTTACAAGGCCTGACCACTGTACTGTAAAAAGAAAACGTAGATCCAACTTAAAAAATTGCTTCAATCGGTAACAAGTAATTTAATTAAGTTCATCCAACTTAAATTATTTGTACAATTTGAATAATTTAAGTTGGATAAACTTAATTAAATTGCTTGTTACCAACTGAAGCAATTCAGTTAGGTTGATTAAACTATTCTCTTTTTTCAGTGATCTTGGCTTTTAGCCACATTCTTTGCTCAGCTTTGCTCTGTCTGCTCCATTCGGACCACACTCTCTGAGTTATGAATAATAGTGCTGTTCAGAAGCCAGTGTGCGATTGTTGACATGAACAGATGCACATAAGATGTTTTCTTAAAAAAGCAAATGTCTCATTTTGTTCTGTTAAAATGAAAATTCAGTCCTTGAGTGAGTTTCCGTCTTATCTGTGACAGATAACTTTCACAATAGCCTCTGTCCAGAGAATAGTTTAGATCTATCAGGACTGATGAGCTCAGAGCCTGATTACAGCCCAAGTGAACTTCTTTCATCTTAAAACAGCTCCAGTCTCCCAAGTTATCACCTTATGTGGATGCTGTTTCCTCACCTGTAAGCTTTACGGAAGATTTATGCTGAAATATGAGTAAATGAATGAATGCTGTCGAGTTTGCTGTTTGCACATCAATCCTGTCTATCCCCAACTCTTTATTTTTTTTATCTGAACTTTTAGTCCAGGCAGCTGTCTAAAAAGGAGGAGTAACACACTTCAAAATAGCAAAAAATAGCTTTTTGTTTAACAAATCAAGAGTTACTTTGCTTAAATAAATGTCGTTTGTGATAAAAATCACCAAACTTTATATCACTTATATATTACTTCTGTAAAACAAAACAGAAACATTTTTAAAATGAGTGTTTTTTGCCAATTAACTGTTCAAATATTCATTAATCCATCCATTTTCTTCTGGGGTCGGGTCGCGGGGGCTGTAGCCTAAGGCGAGAGGCCCAGACTTCCCTCTCCCCAGCCACTTGGGCCAGCTCCTCCGGGGAAATCCCAAGGTGTTCCCTGGCCAGGTGAGAGACATAGTCCCTCCACCGTGTCCTGGGTCTACCTTTAGGTCTCCTCCCGGTTGTACGTGCCCGGAAAACTTCACCAGGGAGGCGTCCAGGAGGCATCCTGACCAGATGCCCGAGCCACCTCAACTGGCTCCTCTCGATGTGGAGTGTTCATTAAATTCTGTTTATTTATGTATCACAGCACAAGTCGTCTCAATCCCTTTACAAAGCAAACGTTCTAACTGAACCCACCAAATGGTGCTTTGAGTTCAGTTTATCGTTCCAATTCACTCCATCTCTAGTAACTTTTAAATCAGAATCGAAAATCTACATGTATTCATCAGCCGTTGAATGAATGTTTCTCTTGCTGCACCTTCTGCACTGTAACCGCTCACCCTTTAATTTAGTCTATTTTCTGATTCTTAAATCGTAAAATTAATTTGTGTATTTAATTTGATTTAAATCTATGTTGTGGATTTTAATTGTGCTGTCTCCTTATTTTAACGTTCGTGCTATTCTCGCTAAGGGAAAGCACATTGAATTGCCTGTGTATGAAATGTGCCACACAAATAAAGCTTCCTTGCTATTTAAGGAAACCTGGCAGATTTCATGGAGTTACTGGCACAATCCCTCATACTAAGCAAGTAGGGATGTAAGAAAATATTGATACGGCAACATATCGTGATTTTTTTCCTGCAATATTATATCGATATTCAAAAGCCTTGTATCTAATTTTTGGAAGAATTTACAAGCAAACATTTGTGTATTTTCTTTTCTTTTGGTGCAATTCAGATGCCTACCGCTAGTTGGCAGCAGTGTGCAATAGGTTTTGTTTCCACCATTGAAATGTAAATCCCTCTATATGGTTCAGATACCTCATGTTAAACATGTTACATATCAGCTTGGACTGTTTATTGAATTTTCCTACAATAAATTCAGTCTAAATAATCGCCAATATCATCTGACTGAATGTATCGCAAAATACCGTGATACGTTATATCGTCTCCCCTGTTGTGATATGTCGTATCGCCACGATTTCACATCCCTATAAGCAAGCATGTAGCGACAGTGGGGAGGAAAACTCCCCTTTAACAGGAAGAAACCTGCTCAGTATGAGCAGTATATGAAATAAATTCTTGGTTTTTGTGCAGATCAGGGAACAATCATAGCCTAGCATGATTATGAAACATGTTTTCTTGATCCGAAGGAAAGTCTTATATCCTGACTTTATTGATCAATTTGCTTATTGATCCTCAGCTTTAATGTAGCTCCCCTTTTTTGTTGTGGAAAATTATGTAAGACACTCATCTTATGTGAAGAATGGCTACAGCTGTAATGTTCAGTGAAAGGATTGAGTAGAAAACAAGAAGCAGCAGTGACCTGTTGTCTAAATGCTCCACCTGTAGCCCTCTCCTGCCCACCACCGGCGGTCCCAGAAAACTCTCTCCTGAAGGGAAACAACTTCACCTACGGAAGCAAGGTGACTTTCAGGTATCATCAGCATCACACAAGGTGACCAAATGTTACTGTGGCAGTTTTGTGGGGAAATGTAAAAGTGTGTTGCTTGTTGCTTCCCAGCTGTAAGAAGGGCTACCTGCCTCAGATACCCTACGAATTCCAGTGTCTCTCCACCCTGAGGTGGAGCGGGACTCCACCTGCCTGTTACCCTGTGACCTGTGGGGGTCCGCCGTCCGTGGAGCACGCTGGCTACACCTTTGACACAAACACTTACCTCTCCACTGTTAACTACACCTGTGTGGAGGGTTACAGGTATGGTGCCTTCTGTTTCATTTAGTTAGCATTAAGTGTGAAATTGCACACACACTCATCAGTGTGTTGTTGTGAAGACCGCAGGGCTCCATGGAAGTGTTATGCGAGGCGACGGGGGAGTGGAGCCGGCCCATTCCTCACTGTGTGAGCATGGTGTGCAGCGAGCCGCCGGTGCTGAAGGATGCTGTGATTGTTGGAGAGAACTATGAAGTGGGGAACAAGGTGCACTACGTCTGCAAAGAAGGGTAAATGTGACTTGAGTCAACGGAATATTGGTCGATAGAATGCTGCAGGAATCCAGTTTCTCGTTATTATTCCATCAATATTCCTCCCTACATTTTTACTGCCCGTCTTCTGCAACACGTTTTCAGCTATTTCATCAAATTCTGGATCAAAACATTCAACTCATTCAGGTCCGGACTGCTCTGACTTTTAGTATTTTTAAAAATAAACAATGTTAAACATACCAAAAGTCTTAGTCAAGACATTCAACCTTTTTCTGCTAAATTACAGCATACCAACAGTGGTGTGAAAAACTATTTGCCCCCTTCCTGATTTCTTATTCTTTTGCATGTTTGTCACACAAAATGTTTCTGATCATCAAACACATTTAACCATTAGTCAAAGATAACACAAGTAAACACAAAATGCAGTTTTGAAATGATGGTTTTTATTATTTAGGGAGAGAACAAAATCCAAACCAACATTGCCCTGTGTGAAAAAGTAATTGCCCCCCTTGTTAAAAAATAACCCAACTGTGGTGTTTCACACCTGAGTTCAATTTCTGTAGCCACCGCCAACAAGCCTGATTACTGCCACACCTGTTTCAATCAAGAAATCACTTAAATATGAGCTGCCTGACGCAGAGAAGTAGACCAGAAGCACCTCAAAAGCTAGACATCATGCCAAGATCCAAAGAAATTCAAGAACAAATGAGAACAAAAGTAATTGAGATCTATCAGTCTGGTAAAGGTTATAAAGCCATTTCTAAAGCTTTGGGACTCCAGCGAACTACAGCGAGAGCCATCATCCACAAATGGCAACAACATGGAACAGTGGTGAACCTTCCCGGGAGTGGGCAGCCGACCAAAATTACCCCAAGAGCGCAGAGACAACTCATCCAAGAAGTCACAAAAGACCCCAGGACAACTTCTAAAGAACTGCAGGCCTCACTTGCCTCAATTAAGGTCAGTGTTCACGACTCCACCATAAGAAAGAGACTGGGCAAAAATGGCCTGCATGGCAGATTTCCAAGACGCAAACCACTGTTAAGCAAAAAGAACATTAGGGCTCGTCTCAGTTTTGCTAAGAAACATCTCAACGATTGCCAAGGCTTTGGGGAAAACACCTTGTGGACTGATGAGACAAAAGTTGAACTTTTTGGAAGGCAAATGTCCCGTTTCATCTGGCGTAGAAGTAACACAGCATTCAGACAAAGAACATCATACCAACAGTAAAATATGGTGGTGGTAGTGTGATGGTCTGGGGTTGTTTTGCTGCTTCAGGAACTGGAAGGCTTGCAGTGATAAATGGAACCATGAATTCTACTGTCTACCAAAACATCCTGATGGAGAATGTCCGGCCATCTGTTCGTCAACTAAAGCTGAAGCCATCTTGGGTGCTGCAGCAGGACAATGACCCAAAACACACCAGCAAATCCACCTCTGAATGGCTGAAGAACAACAAAATGAAGACATTGGAGTGGCCTAGTCAAAGTCCTGACCTGAATCCTATTGAGATGCTATGGCATGACCTTAAAAAGGCGGTTCATGCTAGAAAACCCTCAAATTAAGCTGAATTACAACAATTCTGCAAAGATGAGTGGGCCAAAATTCCTCCAGAGCGCTGTAAAAGACTCGTAGCAAGTTATCACAAACGCTTGATTGCCGTAATTGCTGCTAAGGGAGGCCCAACCAGTTATTAGGTTCAGGGGTAATTACTTTTTCACACAGGGCAATGTAGGTTTGGATTTTGTTCTCTCCCTAAATAATAAAAACCATCATTTCAAAACCACATTTTGTGTTTACTTGTGTTATCTTTGACTAATGGTTAAATGTGTTTGATGATCAGAAACATTTTGTGTGACAAACATGCAAAAGAATAAGAAATCAGGAAGGGGGCAAATAGTTTTTCACACCACTGTATACAGTCCTTTACCTCCTTCAAATACAACGTGCCAGATAAAGAGATGGAACACTGGTAGACATAGTAAGTGGGTGGAGCCTAACTTTAAAGGGATTTAGCTCAGTTTAATCAATTTCCCTCTGGGATTAATAAAGTATTTTGAATTGAATTCAGATTCACTTCATTTTCAGCAATCAGCATTCAAACAGCATTTATGCAAGAAACTCAATTCGTCTAGTTGTGCTTGTTCCTACATTTTGCATGATTAGGTTCTTTTGTGCTCCTCTTCATCTGCAGCTACACTTTGATTGGTCCAGAAACCAGAGAATGTCTCCCATCAGGTCAGTGGAGTGACGACTTTCTGCAGTGCGTGCCTCGATCCTGTGGCCCGCCGCCCATTATTGACCACGCGGTGCCCCACGAAACTCATAAGCTGTTTGGAGACACCGCCAGCTACTACTGCACTGACGGATACACGGCCAGCAACAACTCCAAGCTGGAGTGCAACGCTCAGGGTGTGTGGGTCCCCCCGGATGGCATGGAAACCCCCCACTGCATTGCAAACTTCTGCCTACGCCCACCTAACCCGCCGCACGCCATTTTAGATTCAATCAACAAACCCAAATACGCTAGCAACACTGAGGTGAGCTACAAATGCGAGGAGGGCTTTATGCTGAACTCCACGGCCACGCTCAGGTGTCTGATGGGAGGGGCGTGGGAGCCCTTCCCCTCTGATATTGGCTGCGTACCAGTGAGGTGCTCCAAACCCGAGAGCATCGATCGGGGCTATGTGAGAGGGAACAACTACAGCTTTGGAGCGGTGGTGGCTTACAGCTGTGAGACAGGATACATGATTCGTGGGGAGAAGAGACGGACCTGCAAGGCTAGTGGGGAGTGGGGAGGAGTTCTGCCCACCTGTGTGCCCGTGTCCTGCTCCGCCCCTCCCACACTAGAGAACGGATACATCCAGGTGAGCTGTAAAAGCAAAACACACACTTTATTCATTATTTAATGAAAAAAACTCATCAAATAAATATAAACGTCCTTCTCAGGTCAAAGGTCGATTCACTTTCAACAACAAAGTGACGTACGCCTGTAACGCGGGCTACAGGCTGATCGGTAGACCAGAGCGAGTTTGTCAAGCCAACAGGCAGTGGTCCAACCACGACCTTCCCACCTGCGTTCTCCTGACCTGCCAAGCCCCTCCTGACATCGTTCATGGACACTACAAAGGCTCTGAGTTCCAGGTGGGCTATAAAGTGGAATATGTCTGTGATGAGGGTTATGAGCTGGCTGGAGATGGAGTCTGGACCTGTCTCAAGTATGGGAAGTGGGATAAGACGAAACCGCCACGCTGCTCTCCTGTCCGATGTCCGGAGCCTCCGTTAGAGGAGAACCACCTGGTCCTGAAGAGCCTGGACTCTGAATCTGGAACAGTGGAGCTATCCTGTGAAGATGGTTATATCCTAGAGGGGGCTCATGTTCTCCGCTGCACCCCGTCTCAGGAGTGGAACGACACCTTCCCGGTGTGTAAGCAGGTGTTTTGTGGACCACCACCTGAAGTGGCATTTGGTAGCGTGTCCTCTGCCTCCCCTCCTTTCTCCTTTAGCTCTGCGGTGACGTACACGTGCGTGGGTGGATTCACGTTGCGAAAAGATGCTTCTGTGACCTGTCTCACCAGCGGGCAGTGGAGCACACCTTACCCGGAATGCATCCCTGTGGAATGTCCTCAGCCTGTGGAGATTTCCAACGGGATTGTTGACGTCCAGGGTCTGATGTACCTCAGCAAAGCCCTGTACAGCTGTAAGGCTGGGTACCACCTGGTGGGGAACGCCACAGTCCTCTGTGGGGAAAAGGGACTCTGGGTGGGCGGGGTGCCCTCTTGTCGTCCAGTCGAATGCTCCATCCCAAAACAAATAGCCAGTGGGAAGGTGGTTTACAGAAAACTCCAGTTTGGTCACAGTGCTACTTATTCCTGTCGCCGCGGTTACCGTCTCAAAGGCCCCCAGGCCCTCAGGTGCCTTGCTAATGGAGAGTGGCACTCTGATCCACCTGCCTGTGTGCAGATCTCCTGCAGTCCACCCCAACCAATAGAGAACGGGTTCGTAGAGGGCCAGGACCACAGCTTTGGGGTTACCATCTTCTATAGCTGTTTTCCAGGTTTCCAGCTACTGGGCCAGGATCATCTAACCTGCGAGGAGTTTGGCTGGTCCAGTTCGGTCCCCGTGTGTGTGCCCTCAGATTGTGGGCTGCCTCCTCACGTTGACTTTGGGGATTACATCAGGGTGACAGAGTATGATCCTCCTCCTAAAGACTCTGTAACAGCTTCTGTCCTTGACCTGAACTTCCTTCACCAGACAGTGATTGAGTACCGTTGCCACCTGGGTTACAACATCAGCAGCCACACCAGGCTGGTGTGTCAGGAGGATGGGAGATGGAACGGGACAGCCCCGTCGTGTCTTCCAGCCGAGTGTGAGACCCCGCCCAGTCCGGAGCACGGCCGGCTGAAAGTGACGGACTCTTCTCTTGGCAGCGTGGTCAGGTATTCCTGCGAGGACGGGTACCAGCTGGTGGGGGAACCTGTGAGGCAGTGTTTATCGGGTCAGCTGTGGTCCAGCGACGCGCCGGTCTGTCGACCCGTTTCCTGTGGCGATCCAGGGGCCGTCGCTAACGGGACCTCACACGGAGGAGAGTTTGTTTATCCCGAAGTTTTCCACTTTGAATGTAACCCCGGCTTTGTCCTGAGGGGCAGTGACACCATCGCCTGTCAGGCAGACGGAAGATGGAATGGGCCCAAACCAGTTTGTGATCCAGTTTCCTGCGGCCCTCCCAAGCTGCCTGATGATGTCAGCAGTGAAGGTAAAGACTACACGTATAATAGTGAGATCAAGCTGACGTGTCCACCCGGTTTCCTCCTAAAGGGGACGTCTAGAAGTGTTTGCCAGGCTGACAGCTCCTGGAGCCACGAGACCCCCTACTGTGTCCCAGCCCTCTGTGGGAAACCCTCTCCGGTAACCCACGGCAACGTGTTGGGGTCACAGTTTGGCTACAACAGCAGGGTTAAATATGAGTGTGATGAAGGATACAGGCTCAGTGGAGACGCTACACTTGTTTGTCAGTCCGATGGACTCTGGGACAAGGCCCCGCCTCGCTGTGACATCATCAGCTGCGACCCTCCTGAGGACATAAGTCACGGCTTTGTGAACGGCTCCAGCTTCAACTACAACGATGTGGTGGAGTACGTCTGTTTCCATGGCTACCAGGTGGTCGGGGATCCCGTCCTGCAGTGCTCCTCTCAGGGCACCTGGGTGGGCTCCGTTCCTCGATGTCAGCCCTGTGTGTGCCCCCCACCCGAACTCCAGTTTGGGAGGGTTATCGGGGATGGTCGCGCGTGCGGGAACCAAGTCCAGTTCCAGTGTGACGGCGGCTACAGACGTCTGGGTCCTGCTCAGGCACTGTGTGAGAGAGAAGGAGTGTGGAGTCCCGGGGTGCCCGTGTGTAGCAGAGGGAGGTGCAGCGTCGCCCCACCTGTGGTCCAGAACGCCGTCTTACAGGGGGGCGTGGCGCCATTCCCTGACACAGTCACATACAGGTGTCGACTCGGCTATCTCCTGAAGGGGTCCCCACACCTGTCCTGTGGTCGAGATGGTAGGTGGGCAGAGCCCCGACTGCGATGTGAGCCCGTGAGCTGTGAGAAACCACCTACAGTAGCTCACGCTGAGGCGGAGGGAGACGTCTTCACCTTCCCAAGCCAGATCACATACAGGTAAGTAGTTCCTTCTTTGGTAACATCTTCATAACAAACAGGTTTTACCTGCATCTCCTCCTCTCCAGGTGTGAAGACGGCTACGAATTAGCCACACAGATGTCTTCTCTGTCCTGTCAGAGTGACGGCACCTGGTCCAAACACATCATCCAGTGTCGTCCCATCCCCTGCCGATTACCCGGCAACATATCCACGCCGCATCTGGTGATCAGCGCCAAGGAGCTCACGCCTGTTGGGGGCACCATCACCCTCTCCTGCCCCCCAGGCTTCTACCTGCAGGGGGCAGCACTGGCAGAGTGTCAGGTAGGAAAAAATGAAATAACGGTTAACTGTTATGGTTGCGTGATGAAAAACTCCTGCATCTGGACTCAATAATGTATCTTTATGTGTTTTCTCATAAGACGGGAGGAGGCTGGGCTCCAGACATCGTCTCTGTTTCCTGTGAAGTGGTGGTGTGCGAGAAACCTCCTCCTCTTCTTCACGGGGTAGTCGAGGGCGACAGCTACAACTATGGAGACTTCATCCTGTACTCCTGCCTCCCAGGCTTTGAGATGAAGGTGCTCATCACGCTGTGATTTAATAAATCCTTTACTTATTCAAAAATCCTACAAAAACTACTGCAATTCCTTTATTTTTATTTTTTCCAACACAGTTCCGCTGTTTTAAAAAGCCAGCCGCTGCCCCTTTAACAGCGGGCTCCCTTCTCTTAGCTAATGACTCACAGTCAGATTACAGAAAATCACATGACTTCAACTCAGCAATCAATGGGCGGGGAGTTTCATAGCCAGAGGAGAGTGCTGAGTCACCGTTCCTGAGACACATACTGTGGGAGCCTGTTTAGCGACATAAGTGCTTTTCCCTCTCAGAGAATGAGCTGCAGGCTTCAAACCCTCTCAGCTCCATGTGCATGACAGTGAAACATTAATATCGCTGACTTTAAACCTCCAGGTTGATGTGCTTCTCATCACCTCTCCCCCTCTTCCTCATTCCTCAGGGCGACTCTGTTCAGACCTGTCAAGGAGACGGGACGTGGAGCGGCACACAGCCCGTGTGTGTTGGTAGGTTTGTGTTCACCTGGAAAAGTTCCAGAAAAAGCCTTTATGTAGTCTTGGGCTCTTTTTTCTGGGTTAATGTTTCGTGGCCTGAAAAGAACGTATCGGGTGAAGAGGCAGACAGGCCCAGGTCTGCAGGTCAAACCCCGCACAGACAAACACAAATAAAGCTTTCTAAATATAGGTCCTAGCATTATTTGGGCCAAAGACCTTGACAGAAGGATGTGTTAGCGCTCTGGATTCATGTTAGGAATGGCTATGACACCAAATTCTAGCTCAAGATATTTAAAATTGAGTCCAATTTTAACAAAAATAGCATCATCGTGCTTTTTACCTTTTGGTGGTCATTGATTAAAAAGAAAAGAAGCATGTTGTCTTCGTACTTTGAACCACTCTTGTGCAAAAAATGACAAAAATGGATGATTTTAGAAAGAGCAGAAAGTCAGATTGCTCTAAAACATGACGAACACATCTTATTGTCAAGAGTGAAATATAAACAAATTACATTCTGCACGCTCTCAGTGTCTTTTACCAATCAGATCATCTCCACGCGTTTTGACACACACGCTTTTGTCTGCAGTCTCCGTGCATTCCTGTGGACCTGCTCCTTCAGTGAAGAATGCTCAGCTGCAGGCGACGGGAGACCTGACCAGCATCGGTTACCTGTGCGGCGCCGGGCTGCAGCTCGTCGGCCCAAAGACTCTCACCTGTCTCTCCAACGGCTCCTGGAGCACCCCGGTGCCCACCTGTGAAAGTAGGAACCATCACCTTTAGATCCCAACAGCCTTTCATTCGCATTAATTTCATCGTCATTTTTATCAGCGGTCAGAGGCTGCGAGGGTCCCGAGCAGCTGCTGCACGGTAAAGTTCAGGAGCACAGCCTGAACACGGGACGCGCTCTGGAGTTTCAGTGTGACAAAGGCTACGGCCTGGTGGGGGAACGTCTGGTGGTGTGTATGGGAGGACACACCTGGAGCTCCTCTTTCCCCACCTGCCGAGGTGAGGAATGCTTACACACACACACACACACACACACACACACACACACATTTTTACGCCTGTCTTTTGGGCTCCTGTTCAGGGGCGGCGTTAGGCCCGGCTACTTGGGCTGAAGCCCCGGATGTTTAATAGAAAGTCCCGGATCTAAATCGCGGTTGTAACATGCAGTACCAAAGTCCAACAGAGAGGGAGCATCTGGCAGTAGTTTGTATACAGCCTGCCTGAGCCTCCACCACTGAAGAAGAAGCCCTTCAGCAGCCGGCTTCTTCTACAGTCTCTGCCTGAAACGCATGAGTGAAGATGGACATAAGGATGTTTTTTAGACAAAAAGTACTGCGACAGAACCCCAGCTTTGATGAGACTGGTGTTGACTCAGGTTTGTGGGTCTTATTTGAAAATATTTGTTGTGCTGCTGGTTTGCCTAAAGTTAGCTTACCATCAGGTAAAGTTGTTGGAGAAATAAAGGGAATATTTACTATCATCTCACACTAAACACTAACAGGAACAATACTCTGCACTGAATATGCTTAATATGTAGCTTCAGATTAAAAATTATGTGGTACAAGACAAATATATATGATGTTGACTAGTGCGTGTCACGTGCGTGTGCGCGCGTGCGTGTGTGTGTGTGTGTGTGTCAAGCCCCGGATCTTCTTCAGTCCTAAATCCGCCCCTGCTCCTGTTTAGCAACAGCTGCTTTTTCACAAACACACAGTTTTGCAACACCAACTAACAGGAATCAGACAGTCACCACGTCTTAACTGATTCCTTTAAATAGATTTTCACAACCTGATAAAAGCTCCAAACACCAGCTGGTTCGTTTTAAATCGGTAATCTTTTTTTCTCTATACACTCTGTTTTTGTTGCTCCAGTGAACAGCTGAATAAACTGGTGGGTTTCAAGCAGATAGAATACTTCTCACAAAACTGTCTGCTTGACCCTTACCAATCTGGGTTCAAAAAGGGCCACTCCACTGAAACTGCTCTGTTAGCAGTGACAGAATCCTTAAAAGAAGCTAGAGCGACAGGCAAATCCTCAGCGCTTCTCCTGCTCGACTTATCGGCTGCATTTGACACTGTCAACCATGGCTTCCTTTTGTCCACACTCTCTACCATGGGCATCACAGAGAAAGCACACGCCTGGTTTGAATCGTACCTCAAAGGATGATCATTCAGTTTATCTTGGCTTGGACAATCCTCTACCGTGCACCATTTTGCCACAGGAGTCCCCCAGGGCTCTGTACTAGGACCTCTTCTCTTTGCCATGTACACCACCTCACTGGGTGAGATCATTCGATCACATGGCTTCTCCTACCACTGCTATGCAGACGACACCCAGCTCTATCTGTCATTTCCACCGGACGACCACACTATCTCAGCACGAATATCAAACTGTCTCTCTGACATCTCAAAATGGATGAAATCCCACCATCTCCAACTCAACCTCTCTAAAACTGAACTACTTGTCATCCCAGCAAAACCATCCATAGAACACAACATCTCAATCCAAAATGACTTCCTATCTCTGGCTCCTTCAAAGGCAGTTCGAAATCTGGGCATTGTGATTGATGAACACCTGGCCTTTAAAGATCATGTCGCCTCTGTTGCTCGTTCATGCTGCTTTGCGCTGTATAACATACGATAGACCAGACCATACCTAACACAACATGCCACCCAGCTCCTGGTGCAATCTACTGTCATCTCCCGCCTCGATTACTGCAATGCCCTTCTAACTGGTCTTCCAGGCTGTACTGTGAGACCTCTTCAAATGGTCCAGAACGCAGCGGCGCGTCTGGTCTTCAATCAGCCAAAAAGAGTACACGTCACCCCTCTGTTCATTGAGCTCCACTGGCTACCGCTAGCAGCACGCATCAAATTCTAATTGCTAACACTAGCATACAAAGTCCGAGATGGTACGGCTCCCATCTACCTGAATCCTCATGCAAAGGCTTACGTCTCGGCCCGGCCGCTCCGGTCATCACAGGATCGTCGGCTAGCAGTGCCTACACCACGCTCAGGACAATCCACTCTTCTCATGCATCGTTCCACAAATGTGGAATGACCTACCAAGCACTACCAGAACAGGAGCTTCCTTTTCAATTTTCAAGAAACTCTTGAAGACCCTGCTCTTCAGAGAGCATCTTCTAAACTAGCACCCTCTCTGCACCCGTCCCCCTCTCTACTGTCCACTCCTTGTTCCCTCTTATTGTTGTTGTTAGCCTCAAGGGCAACATGCCGATTATCACTTGTAAGACGCTTTGGACTAAAGCGTCTGCTAAATACATAAACATAAACATAACCAGCGTAGAGTTTACATCCATGGTTTCTGTCCCCCACAGCAAAGTCCTGTCCACCTCCTCCAGGCTGGAAGGAGGACATCAGCAGTAACAGATCCCAGCAGGAGTTTCCTGTTGGACGCTCGATCCGTGTTACCTGTCCCAGGGGGCAGCAGGTGAAAGGGAGCGGCACCATCACCTGCAGGCCTGACCAGACCTGGAGTCCACTCAGTTCTGTGTGTGAAAGTAGGCATCGTCTCCAGCACTATGATGACATCGCTATTAGTAGATATTTCTGTAATCAGATCATGTGTCTTGCTTCACATTTGTATAAAAACAGCGTACACACCTCTGCATGCTCCTATCATGCCTCTCACTGTTGCACGGTTGTTTGTTTTTGTCTCAATGGGCTTTATTCCAGTGTATGTGTGTGTATGTATGTGTGTGTGTGTGTGTGTGTGTGTGTGTGTGCATCCTGTGTGCTACACTAATTACAGGCTCCTACATTACTCCTATGGTAACCTTTGTGTCACACACTTTGATCTCTCTTTAGCTCAAGGGAGCTGAATATTTACCTCCCGTTGCCATGGCACCTGTCTGGTATTTGCATGGCATTTGTTCTCCTGCACACACGTTTAACCACGTTCTTTTATCCTGAAGAGAATCCTCACCACGACACGGCAGTGGCACCTTTGATTCATCTGAGGATGTTGCATGAGGATCAAAAGCTTCAGGGGTGACGAGTAATGCAGAGTGGGAACGCTTCTACACTAGAAACCTACAGAAATGTTTCAATTTTTTATCAGAAAGTTTTATTTTTAAATCAAAAACAGGCAGCAGTGTGGTTTAGTGAGTAACCCATGGGCCGATGCGTTTGGGCTGTTGTGCAGGGGTGTCCTGCGGCGCCCCCCTCCACGTGGCCAACGGGGTGGTACGGGGGGCCGTGTTCCAGTTTGGGGACGTGGCCACCTACTCCTGTTTTGGTGGCTACACCATGGAGGGCGTTGGAAGGAGCAGGTGTCAGGAGAACGGCACCTGGACGCCGCCGCCCGCCTGCAGAGGTAGAGAGAACAGTGACGGGACACCCCCTCCTCCTCTGAGGACACTTCCTGCTCTAACCGACTGTCTCTCTTGCATCATGCAGCTCTTTAACTCTGCTGTCGCTTTCCTCCAACACTTTAAAGACAAACTTCATAAACATTTAAATGACCTCTCAAAAAGACACAGATGGATTTAATCTGTTTTTAAACGAGAATCTGTCAGATTTGAGATGAAATCCAGACGTGGGTGCAGGCATGTCTTAGAACAGCATGACTTTGTTTTTACGTTACATGTTCAGAGTTTTCTGCTGCGTGTCATTTAGGCTTCTGCACGTGTTGCTTCGTGTCACTCATCTCCCTTTTAGACAATTATCTATGTCTTTCTGATTTTACTGGAGTAAACGTGGTCCGTCTGCCCCCTCAGCCGTGTGTTGGCTGCAGTGCCACAACGGAGGCGTGTGTCAGCGGCCCAACATCTGCGCCTGCCCCGAGGGCTGGATGGGTCGCCTCTGTGAGGAGCGTAAGTATGGAAACTTTGCATGTTCCGGTCACCTTTGAGACGTGTGTTGACTGGTTTGTTTCAACAGCTATCTGTATCCTGCCGTGCCTGAACGGAGGCCGCTGCGTAGCCCCCTACCAGTGCGAGTGTCCCACCGGGTGGACGGGCACCCGCTGTCACACTGGTGAGGTTTTTTCTGTTTTATTACTTTACGGTCTTGGTAGGAAACCATTTTCACTTCAGTCAACACCAGAGTCACTTCCTGGTGATTGGGATGAACCATAAGAGAACACTTCCTCTTGAATATCACACTAATGGAACCAAAGGTGATGCTTGTGTGTGTTCCCGACAGCTGTGTGTTCATCGCCGTGTCTGAACGGAGGCCGGTGCATCCGACCTAACAGGTGCAGCTGCAGTCCAGGCTGGAGTGGACACAACTGCTCCAGGTGATTCCACGCCGTAGTTTAACAGAGTGCCATGTTTTAGTTTGTCGTAATCTTTCTCAACTTAAGCAAATTTATCAGTTTTTGTCCTGACACAAAAATCATTTCAGGCAGGAGGCACCATACTCAAAGCTAGAATTTGTGACCAACTTCCAATCTTTATGCCAAACTGATGTGACGCCATAAAATGTCTTAATCCTGTTTTTGCAGGAAGAGGAAATCCGTGTACTACCACTTCTAAGGGTTCCACTCATCAGCACACGTAACATCTATGAAGGAACTTCTTGCATTTTTAAAGTATCTGTAAACCGTAACTCATCTCTGGAGAACACAGGAACCAGTTTGTAAAATAAAGCTGTATTTTTTCCATATAAACAGTATTAAATGTTTGCTGCTATATACTTGTACTATGTGTAAAAACTTGATGTGATGGTCTAATGTAGATGTGTAAACTATTCACGTTTTTAATAAAGCTTTAAAAAGCCACTGAATCCACTTCTGACCTGTTCAAATAAGCGACAAAGTCCCGGTGTTTCATCATTTAATCCATCTTACTGGAAACAAACAGGCGTTCTCAGGTGATGCATCAGCATACAGAACCAAAGTTTTCATATTGAAGGTTTGTGTTCCATCAATAGTTAGGAGATTAAAAGTACACACACTGAGCTAAAGGGACTTTGTAAGGCAGAGGGGAATAAATTATCGCCCGTGTGAGGTAATAATGATTAACAGACAAACAGGAAATGCTGCTCAGGTGTGCTGAGAAGGTAATGGGTGACTGGGTCTTTGTACAATGTGGTTATGTGTAGGTTGGTCCCAGACACGTTGGTCTACTTCAGTTCAGCCACTTTGGCTTCAAGTGTGTCCTTGTTAGCACCGGAGAACTCATGCACCTGTGAAATGAGAGTGAGGGGGGGGTTACTACTGCAGGATTAAAAAATAAACACCTGTGCAGTGCTAAGACAACACTTCATTAGTTCTGCTTTTATTTAAAAACAAAATAAAATATTGGCTACAACAGCAAATCTGCAAGACAAGCCAACTTAACCCAACATAGTGTAGCTATAAATATATTGTGGAGACACTAAAAAGGGAAAAAAACTAAGTGGATCTCTCACATCCGTCCAATAACCTCTGCTTATGACACGGCTCAGTTAATAAATAAATAAAAACTGGACATCCAGTTGCCATCTCACTGAACCACCACTGCTGCTGCTGCCTTACACACTCATGCAGTGTGCAACCCATGAGAGGTCCTCGGTTTGCAAGCAGGTTTGATAATTCTGTGCTTCATTGCAGGAGAAATCGGTGCATCCTAGTGTGGAATTTGCGTTTTTCATCTGCAGTGTGTGCAGGTTTCTGTAGCCAAGACTGCTTAAACTGGTTAAACTACACAATAGCTCAGGCTCACTCACCACCTCCAAGCATTAGGACTCACCTTCTTTCCATTTTTGTAGAAATGGAATGTGGGCATGCAGCTAATACCACAGGAACTGCTCACATCCTGAAGGAAAATAAATAAGTCAGTCACTGTAAGGAAGAAAACCAAATCTACTACATTACTTTCAGTACTGAACAGAGTTAGGGTACAGTTAGCCACACCCTATTTGCACACTTTAATCCATTTTAACATTTAAGATCTTCCAGAACCTTAGGTGTGAGTTTAGACTCAACACTACATAAACTATTCAGACAGTTGCCACTTTTAATCACGCCAAGCTTATAAAGTCTATAGAAACTAGCTGGAAATTCAATCTCTCACCGTCAAAGGTTTCAACTACAAAGCTGAAAAAAAGTGGTTTCCATGATAATATTTCACAAGGCAGCTTTATTTATATAGCAAATTTCAAACACAGGGGGGGGGGGGGGGGCAACTCGATGTGCTTTACAATTAGCACCAAGTGGCACACGAAAAGTAGAGAAAACATCCACATAGAAGAGGTGCTTATTTAAGTTATAGAAATTAGGAATCATCGCAACAAAACTCAGAAAAATTACAACTTTCCCAGATGATTACATTTCTGCTGTTTACAAACATCTACAGGAAATAAGATATGCAACACGTACTTCTGCCTCGTCCACATCCACCTTCACGAAAATTACGTCTTTGTGTTGCTCCGCCATTTTCTGCAGAAGAAACAGAAATTACACAAACAACCGTCAGCACACCTTTGAAAGGTACTCTAGTTACAGAGAGCTATCGGCTTCCTGTAGAGAAGTAGCTGGTAAACAACAGTTGCCTTGGCAACAAGTCCTGATCATAACCCGGATAATGGCTGCATGTAAACGTACTCAAGTGTGTAGTATGACCTAGTTTCTAAATGAATGAAAGACACACTCCATGTGCTCACATCAACATGTGGACCGATCATTTTGCAGGGCCCACACCACGTAGCTGTGAAGTCCACCACCACCAGCGTGTCTCCCGCTTCCTGAAGGAGCTTGTCGAACTCCTCCTGCAAAGACAAATAAGGAAGTTAGTCAAATAACATGATATTAGCTTGCCAGCTAGAAGCAAGTCAGATCAAGCCATTACTACGCCTTTACAAGTACCATTTTCGCCCTCGCATGGGACGTCCTGAGAGGGGGTTGTGGAAACGGACGAGGCCTAATGGATGTAGAAGCACTTTAAAAGGTTGTTTCGGTCGATTTAAAGGCAGCTTAATAGTTTTGACCCTCATCTCTGGGTTACTAACTAGTTTAAAGGTGTGAAACGACTGGGAGTCAGCCAGAGCCATTGTTTAAACGTCGACAACGTGTCGGCACGAGCTACATTTCAAAGCCGTTTCGCTCATGGTGTGCCTTTTTTGGCACAACACCAGCTCGTCATCGTTCCGGGACGTGTTAATGTGTTTACGGTGTATTATACATAGTCATGGTCCCAGCTAAACACTGGTGGATCGGTTAAAGTGGTCACGAGCGGGAAAAGAAGAGGCGCGAGGCTCGTTGGCTAGTAAAACCGTCACGCCCAAGAGAACCGAAAACTGAGCCGGAGAACCGGAAAATGGACAATAAATACGCAACAACTTACCTTGTTTTTTATTTCTCTGACCATGATGACAGCTTGTGAGCGATAGTTCCACGCTGGTAGAGAACGTAACACCTAGAAGGGTTGAAAACGATGTGTCCGTAATAAGCACGCCGAGATTTTATTAGCTCTCGTTGTGGCTGGTCCAGCCCACAGCGGAAGTCCCGCTCTTGTTTTGGTGTACAAAATAAAAGTTTATAAATCATTACCATGAAAACAAGACTTTCCAAGGTGTCCACGATAGCAAAACGCTCTCCTTGTGACATGTGGGTTCTCTAATTTTTTTTATTCAATACATTATCCAACAGAAAATAGTCATTTTTGGACATTTATTTTGAATATTACACTAAAAATGTTAAAGACTTTTTAATCGCACATACTTTTACTAATTGATTAAATTACATTTGTATGTTGCACGTTATGTATAACAGTTTAATTAAAAATAAAATAATTATTTAATCGTTTATCATTAAATAAATACATTTGTAAACAAAGCAATGTTGGTTATTTTTAACGCATTGTTTATGATTTCATGTAAAAACTAATTGAGTTGTGACATTATATTACAACTATGCATAAAAAACTACTGTAACAGAGCTTAAACAGCGAATCAAGTCATAATGACTTGACACATTCTCGGTTTACCTTAAAGAACCGAGTAGCACAGCTCAATTTTGCTGCAGCAACTCCTATAATAGCGCCGCAAGATCATTATGTGTACGGTACGTGCCTCAGCGTCATTGCGTCAGCGGTATTTTTATATATCATCTTTATTGATAGAAAAATAACTTACATGCCATTTGGTTATAATACTAAACAAATAAAAAAATAACACATTTTTGTCATCAAATGTGTTGAGTTTCATATGATTTAGATGAGTGCATAATATCAGAAGCAAGCAGGTGGAATTTAAAAAATATAATCTGATCGGAAATTAATCCAAATAAAACATAAGTTAAGATCATATCAGAATATTTAATTAGATGTTTCTTATCAAAAATGTGTTCAAATTTCGATATTACAGAAAAGAGATAAGGGGCCACATCTAGATAGTTTAAATAAATGATTGAAAAATCTGTTATAATTTATATAACACCTTTCAGACCTTCAATAAAACCAGAAACCTTAACAATAATTGAGAATTTCCCCCAAACTTCACTACTGTTGAATTCATCTCGAAAGCAGGTTTACTGATAAAGACCCTCTGGTTTTTTGCTCTTATGCTTTAATGTTCAAAAAGAGGTCTTATAGGATCTTATATGAAGATATTAATGTTCAATGGGTTCACCTGTAGCAGATATACCATATGCTAGTAACCGTGATGAAGTACAACACAGGTGAAAGATACAGAAAGAATCATTTATTTTCTATACAAACACATCCTTCAGTTATTTGTGTTAGTATGCAATGTAGAAATACTACAACAGTACACAGACTGCTTTTTGAGGTATAGGCTGGAGAATCTGGGAGATTTATATGTAGTTGTGGTCCAGGTACTTAGCAGAAATAATGTTCTTATATGTCTTGGATTTTACTAGCCTGGCAAGCCAGACTAAATACATGTATTATTTAGTCTGGCCATGCTCCATTGACGGCTCTCGGTTGTGGGGCGGGTTCTACCGTTCTTTCAAATGATCTCCGCATTCCACTGGACAATCTTTGCAAAGCAAGAATTTGGTCTAGTTCACTAGGCTAGGATTTTACTGCTTTATTAAAATGAAGTAATGCTGTAAATCCTATGTGTGTAACACAAAGCTGTTCTATTGCTACATCCAGTACATCACAGAAACTGGGTAAAAAACCTAAAACATCACAATGATACGATCCTTCTTGGAGCGTTTTATGGTTGTTTCTCCGTTGTGTTAGGAGGACATCAGACTGCGATGATGGCCTTTCCGATGTTTTCTCCCTGCAGCATCCCAATAAAAGCAGCTGGCATTTTTTCAAATCCCTTAGTGATGTGCTCCCGACACTGCAGCTTCCCCTGCAGAGGCAGAAAAGACAAATCAGAGTAATCGCACTAATGCAGGAAGACGGGAATCCTGGAACCGTTCCAGCAGTACCTCTTTAAACCACGCCATCAGCCTCTTGAGGCTTTCAGGGTGTTTGTGTTGCCACCTGCCCTGCATGAAACCCTCCATCTTTAGCTGCTTGAAGATCATGGTCAGGTGTGGGTACGGGCCTGGAAATAAAATGACAAAAAAAACATGTTTACTTTGTATTCTCCTGTTCTAAAAGGTCACGAGTAAGTCGGGTGGACATACCGGTTTGAGGTGTGCTGTCGTTGTACACAGAGATGCTTCCGCACACGGCGATTCTTCCAAAGTTCTTCATGTGTTGAAGGGCAACTGTTGAAAAATAACCTCCAACCTAAAAACATTACAGCCCTCTGTTAGTTGAATTTTAAAAAGTAAAAACAGAATAATACCCATGTCTTTGTTTTTAACGGATCTCTGGTGCCCCCTAGAGGGCAGCAGCAGGTCAAACAGGAGCAGACTTGCAGATGCAGATTTTAAGAAATCGGTGCAATTTCTTTCTTTATTTGGGTTAAAAATCTTTTTTTACAAATAAAAACAAAAGTATAGCTTACGTTTTCAAACAGGCAGTCATATCCATCAGGCGAGGCTTTTCTCAGAGCTTCGTCCAGGGAAGCCACGGTTTTGTAGTTGAAAGCCTCGTCAAATCCGAGCTCCTTCAGGTAAGCCACTTTAGCATCAGAGCCAGTTGAACCCACCACCTTACAGCCTTTGATCTTGGCTATCTGTCCCACCACCAAGCCCACAGCTCCAGCTGCAGCGTTCACCAGCAGAGTCTCGCCCTCCTGCAGCCCCAGGACCTCTTCTATCCCGTACAACGCCGTCAGTCTGCAGACAGAAACGTTTGCATCCAACTCAGGGAATCTGTTTTAATCTCCATAAAAAGTCTGTTTAACTGGTGTATAATCAGCCGGTTTCAGCTTTAACAAATATTTGACATTCTCTTCTACCCTGGCATGCCAATGGCACCCAGAGCCAGAGACAGTGAGACATCCTGCGGCCAGTCAGGCATGATGGGAGTGAGGCCGGTCCCGTCGGAGACGGCGTGGGTTCTCCAACCAAAATTACTCAGAACATGGATTCCCACGGGAAACGCTGGGTTCTTACTTTGGATCACCCTACAGGGAAACAAGAAACAATGAATTGGGAGGTGTTTTGTAATAATCTAAAGATTTTTGAAGTTTAGAAAACACTTGCAATGATTTTGTTCAGCTGTGCAGGAGCAAACCTGTCTGCAGACTTCCTGCTTTATCATATATGCAAAAGTTTGTTATAAAAAACAGCTGAAAGAACCTGATATTAGATCTTTAATCGGTTAATGACGTGCGGTGTTCGTCAGTCACATAATTAATCTATAAATTTAAAATACATCTGATTGTTTAGCTCATTAAATGTGAAGCACAGAATCAGGTTTAGGGAATTGCCAGCATGTTTGTTTGTTTGGTTTCCAGACGACGGCACATCAACCATGAGCCAGATGTTTTCTGCCTTGTGGTCGACTTCAAAATGCAATAGAATAGGAAACACGTGGGTTTAAGATGGGATCTAGTTCATCAACAAAGCAAAACGGATTTCAAGTCAGATGGTTCAGCCAAGAATGCTTTTATGTTTGTTGCTGCTCTTGTGTCAAAGTTGGGTAATTCAAGGCAGACGCAGGTTGTGTTCTGTCTCAGTAAACACCAGGCACGCATGACGCATCAATACAGACTAAAGCGTGTGTGTGGATGTTGCTTTCCTCACTTGGACACTTGAGTTCCGATCATCCGGTCTCCTTCCTTCATCCTGAAGCTGCAGAAAGCCCTGGAGAGTCCAAAACCTAACATCAGAACCCTTCAAGGCTCTGAAAACAACACTGTAATAATGACTCCGTCACCAACCTCATGTATGGATCCACACTGAGATAAACGGACTCCAAAAGTACCTCTGAAAGTAAATATAATTTGCTTATAGTTTACCAATCATGCCAGACTTGGATCACTCCTTTAAAAGGGTTCTCTTGCCTCCATCTTTAGGCTCAGGGAGCTCCTCCACCTCCAGTTTGAAGTCGCTGTCCTTCGGGATGCCGTCGAAGAGCTTGGTGAGAATCCATGACTTAGCCTGGACCATGTTTATGTTTATGTCCTCAGGACGCACAATATGGCAGAAAATACCTGGAAATGCAACAAGCATTATTCAGTCAACCATATCAAGGCTTTTTGGATGCTTCTGAGTTAAAAACAACATTGTGAGTCATTTATTTGTAGCTTCATCCTGTCGTGGAAAAATGAATTAATAAGTTGTTCAGTCATTTATTTTTCTATATTTTAGAGAGACTAACCTAAACCTGCCTCCATACATAGTCATAAAGCAATATTTCCTTTATTACTAATTACACCAGATTCATTAAAACATCACCAAGTTGAACATTTTCCTGTTATAATTAAGACCAAAACAACACTGCAGTAACAAAATAAGATCGACAACAACACAAAAGAGGAACTAGCTAATTTTATTGTTCGAACAATAAACAAAGACATGAATAGAGGAGGAAATGTGAGGAGAGTACTTCCTCCGGCGGACCGCTACACTTCCTTCTGTCCGTAAACGGAGTAAAAGTGACTCGGATGTCTTTTTAGAGACTTACCGTTGGCTTCAGCCCACAAAACCAAACAACACAAGCTGAGGAAACTTTCCCAGAGCCTGGAGAAGGAGCTGATGGAGGAGACGCCAGGAGACGCGGGACGAACGTCAAATCTGATTGGTTGAACGTCTAGCGCAGCTGATGACGTCGGTGTTATCCGACTGCTGTTGTTAGCGTAGCTTTTAAGCTAGCTATAGGACCAAAGGAGAAAGTGATGGGAATTCCGGCTCTTTTTAGAGAGCCGATTGTTTTGGCTCAGCTCACCAAAAAGAGCAGACTCTTTCGGCTCCCAAGTGGCTCCTCAGATTTTCTGTTGCGTAGAGTACATTTATAACCAAAATAATGCAAAACTATATGTAAAATGATTTTCTAATGTAAAAAATGCAATATATCAAATATTGATCATTTCTATGGATTTAATAACTGAACACTTTAAGAAATCTCAACTTTCCGACTGCTGGCGCTCATTTTCTCACCGTCTTTGTCGCACTCTCCTCTCTCTCGCTCGCCTTTTTCCTCCTCCTCGTTCCCTCTCGTCTCCCTCCACCCGCACGTGCTCTGCTGTGTGTCTGAGTCTGATCCTCCCCTCTTCCCCGCCCCTACTGCTCTGTGTGTGGACAGTCTGGACACGCAGTTACACATGTTGACCAAACGCCTGTAGCGTTCACCAAAGCAAGCGGGGAGCGGGGAGGGGAGGGGATGGCTCCTGTCGTTCACTTCAAAGAGCCGGCTCTTAGAGCCGGTTCGTTCCCGACCGACACATCACTAATATGAGAACTCTGGAGCTCCGTGGAGCCTGTTGTTGTGTCCACACTCAGCTCATGTATAATGTACTCACGGTGAAAAGATAGAAAGAACAAACAAGACACATACAGTAGATCATTTTAAATCACTACCGTTTTCTTTTTACCTGACAAGAACAACATGGAATACATGTACGAATACCACAAATAATAACGATGGTTCAGGTGAAATTAGGGCAAACGCGTCACTCCAAAATACCGGCCAGGACATAAAAAGTAAACATGGCTGGTCAAAAGACGCCACAGTGACAGTAGGAATCTGTGTAACCAGATTATTTATATTCCAAAGTAAGTTAATAAACTCTGGCTTGAATGTTTAAATGATCTAGTGTTTATGTTTTATTTTATTAAGACATTAAACTAAGACTTAACAACAGAAGATGAGGAAAAGAGAAATACTTTTAAAAAGCTAAGGCTTGTGCAACATAGTAAAATAACTGCAGAGGACAGTCTTTAGCAGCAATGATGCTTTCACCTTCTTAGAATTAAACTAAACCTGTGTGTCAACTCTCCTTTGCTCTGATGCTGCAGATGACACACCGTACGGCTCAGTTACGCATCATTTTATAGATTCCTGTTAAATCCATTTAAACCTCGCATGTGCGCCACACCTGTCTGACTTGAAACAATCACATGCAACCTTCTAAAAATGTAACTAGGTAGAAATGCAGGCATACATCAAGGTCAGAAGCTTCAGCTTGAATTATTTGCTCCAGAAACTTTTTAAATATATTTTTATGCAACAAAATACAATAAAAAGACCACACATGTTTAAAACACTTTTAGACATTTATTTATACAGTTTATCAGCTAAAAAAGTTGATTTTCGTGTGACTTGCTCTTTAAAAATTCATCAAAACTCTGGCAGATGGCTCCACTTCTGTCAAAATAGACGAAACACAGATTAGATTTTGTTTAATTCGGTTTTACAACAAAAAAAAAACACATGAAAACACCTGATAATAGTTATTTAAAGGATTAAATGTACTGTTTGATAAAAGGTCACTTAAAATTGTTGTGTCATTTAAAATGAACGTGAGCTCCAAGCAAATCTTTTTTCTTTGTCATTTAGCTTTTCTGTTTCTGTCGTTGCTCTGTGCAGCACATGTGGTTTTCTGATTTACGCTAAAGGCTGAATGCCTTTTCTACTTTCAGAAAGTACCAGTAACACAATCAGACAAATTCATCTTCCATTTACATGGTTGTCCATTCATGTTTTCACTTCCAGCAAATAGTCTGCTCCCGCTGCCACGTCCAGCTCTGTTGCACAGCTGTTATAGGTACTTACTACACAACAGTTTACAATGCGGGTTCCCTTGTTAACATTCCTAAAGTTGTTACCTATTACGTATCCTTAGGACAAAGGACCGGGGTGCTTAATGCATTACTTAATATTAAAATTAGGCAGTTGTTAATACTTTATTTAATAGTTCATTAATGCTTAATAATGCACAGAACGTTAATAAAGGGACCCGTATTGTAAAGTTTTGCCTATTTTTCTTTCTGAGGTACAGTACAGAATGTTTTTATTCTATTAAAGTGACAGTGTGTATTTTTTAGGGCGATGGGGTCAATAGGTACCTGAATCGTTGCAAGCAAGCAGTATTTTTGTGCTGGAGTGAGATTTTACCAATGGATGACCATTAGGGTCAAAAAGCCCTGGGACGTGCAAACTTTAGCAAAATAACGAGCACATCCGACTACCTTTCATCATTGGCAACAAGTGAAGAGGTAAATGTGTAAAACAACAACATTTAACTCATTTGCTGCCACCGTTTCCTGATCGCTAAAGCCCTTCGCTGCCAGCGTTTCTCACCATTTTTACTGCTTTAAGGGTCACAGAACGTTGCGCGCTAGGATGATGTCGACGCCAAAACAACCAAAACAAAGCGGAGACTCCCCTCTTACATCAGGAAGAATCCGCACGTTTCGATTGTTATCCGTTCTTTCATAATCCGTTGTTGAATTGTGATCGGCAGAAGCTTTTCCGGTTCACGCCTCACTTTTTTTACAGCAGCGGCCCAAAACGATCTCCTAACACATGGATTTTCTGCTTCCTGATCACGAGATGTGTGACGTATGTGGATGAAGATCGGCTTTAGAGCTGAAATGTTTTTTCTCACAGTGCGGGGGCTCGTTCCGACGCCCACACAGTAAAAACATGCAAATGACGACTTAAGTCGTCATAGGCAGTGAGCGGTTGGATTTAAAATGGCCACTTTAGTCGTCAATGGCAGTGAATGAGTTAAGAATGACGAAAGCTTGTTACAAATCAGTAAATGCTGAGGTTTTATTTCTGACTTTCAAGTCTGATCCCACTTGGAAGAGAGTCCCAGGAAGTCCCAGACCTTACTAGGATTATTTATCCCGTCTAGCTAAGGAAAGGGGATGGATGGTTTATTTGAATAGTTGATTTAATGTGTCATATGGATTTTATTGTCTTGACCAGGAGAATAAAACTTCCTGGTTGGACTGTTCTGTAAGGTAATGTTCATGGGACACAACAAAGTCCCATCTGGAACATTTTGTACATTTGTGCATTCCATTCAGTTAAGCAACATCTAAAAATAACACATCTACTCATGAAAAACTAGTTTTGATTTATGTAAAAATGCCACTAAAATCCCTTCAGATCAGGTTCTGCGTGTTTGTGTTTGTTTACCCCCTTAGGCTCAAAATGAGTTTTAATAAAAGGACAAACAACTAAGTCCTTCAGGGGAACTTCTGAGTTAAAAAATGCTCATTAAATACGTATGTGGAGTAACCAGGTAGGCAGGTTTTAACCAAGCCCCCACAATGGAGCTCTAAAATTGAGTCAAACCCGGAAGTACCAAAAATTGCAGTTCCACCCTCATCCTCTGGGGCTGGTATCAGAAACGAGCAAATCCTCATTGACTCCCATGTTAAAATACCAATTTCACAGCAGAAATAAACATGTTTACAGCCTGGTACCAAAACATGTTTGTGGTTTAAATGATCTAGTTTATACTCATGACAACTCTGAGGGGGGTGAATTTTTTTCTCACTCTTCTGTAAGTGTATTAAAAGCCTAAAATTCTGTATAACTAATGAGCATCAGACACACATGACCGCCGCCTCAGACCCACGTGACCACAGAGTTAGCTCCATGGAAAGGCCTCAGTAGAGCCTCGGTCTGGCTTGGAAACTGCTCTGGGATTTTGAGTCTCTGTGTTTGTGTATTCTTTTTTGGATATTTTTTGTGCAATTGTTGGACAAAATGACTTGCTGTGGCATTAATTGCACTAATAGAGCATCCAAGGAGTCTCCACTTCATTTTTTTCGGCAAGTAAAATTATATTTATGTATTTTAGGCTTTAGGTCACTGCCGAGCTGAGCTTCGATTTTAACATGTACTGTTTAACCATGAAATTTAAATGTAATAGGGTAAAACCCAGTGCATTTAACACAATGCTGCACTTTAGAAAATGGGTTGAAATATAACATGTTGGTGTAGCTGGGTTCCGACTATCGGCTTGTGGGGCTCTCGGGAGACTGATGTTTTCCACCTGTTCTCCCCTCCTTGCAGCTCGGCGCATCTGTCTGATCGCGGCTTCTGTTTGCTGTGGGGAATGCCGGCTGTTTCTCCCTGCAGCTCGGCGCATCTCTGTCTGATCGCGGCTTCTGTGTGCTGCGTGGGCTGCCGGCTTGTGGAGCTCTGGGATGGAAACCTTTCCACCCGGTTCTCCCCAGCGGCAGCTCTGCGCATCTCAGACCGCAGCGGCGCTTGTCTGCTGTGCGGCTGCCAGCTTGTGGAGGTCTTGGAGACCTCTGTGTTCTACCCGGTTTTACCCAGCGGTCAGCCCGGCGTATCTTTGACTCAGAAGCTCTGGTGTTGTGCACAGTTAACTCCGGTTGTAGCTAGGTTGCTACCTCCGTTAGCTTAGCTCCCACCTCTGCGTTAGCTTTGGGTTAGCCAGGGTTAGCTTCAGGTTAGCTTGTAGCTAGTTCGACCGGGTGTCGTCAGTCGATCCCAGCCTTACAGCCCAACCCTCAGCTCCTCCTCTCTTCCCTTTTATGGAATTGTCTGGGCTTGACGGAACCTGTGACATGGTCAAAATGGCGGTGGTGGCCACCTCCCATTTGGCCTCAAAAAAGTGATATTGGAGCCTATGGAAAGGAGATGTCCATATATTAATGTCGATGGTTTTAACGTTGTAAATCTGCAACGCCTGCCTCCAGAGGGTTAATAAAATACAAAGTGAGAGTCATTCATTTATTATTTCCACATTATTTAAAACAAAACCTACAGAGGTTCTCAGGTGATCTGTCCATTAGCATACAGCATAAGGCTAAAAGTTTTAACCAGACTGAAATTTGATATTTAGCCAAAAGTTAAGGAAGTAAGAAGTGAGACAGCAGGTTTTTGTCAGGTAGTGACTATTGCCTGTGTGGGATAATAATGATTATGCTGCTTAGGTGTGTTCAGTTGGGTAACAGTTGACTTTGGGGTTTGAATAATGTGGTTATGTGTAGATTGGACCCAGACTCTTTAGTCTATTTGAGTTCTTTCACTTTGTCTTCAAGTTCCTTCTCATCTGCACCAGAGAACTCGTGCACCTGAAAGACAGGAGGAGAAAAAAATGACTGCAAAAAAGACTAAAAACTGAACAAACTTGTGCTGAATTACACAGCAAACTGTACATTATCATTTCACTTCCCCCTTATTCTCCACAATGTAAAATAACCAAATTATTAATTTGTGATATTAAAATCTAAATCTAGTTCTTCTTTTAAACATATTAATCTAAGAGTTTGTGCTCTTTAATGTTTTGTATTTTCACGTTTGTACACAAATATGAAAATGTTGAGTAAAACTAACTAAAGACGTTGGGAAAATTCTTAAAAAGTCAGCACAAAATACACGGGGCTCTCACAAGTATGGACTTGAGCATTTTTAACACATAACCTAGTGGGTTGTGGTTGGCACTAAATGCATTATGAATTTTTTACTGTGTGCTTTTCATCAAAAATTATTACTGTATTGACCCAAATATAAGAAGACCCCCCTTTCCAAGACTAATCTTCAGGAAAAGACCCAAAAAATATCACTTTTTAAATAAACTATTTTTTATTGAAAATTTGTAAACAAATACTGAGCAAAAATACTATTTTAATGCAAACTATCAGAACTTTGCTGACGCGTAAAATCAAAAGTCAAATGAGGCTTTTATTCAGACGCCCTCTGCCTCACTCACTCACTCACTCACTCACTCACTCACTCACTCACTCACTCTCATTCTCACTCATGCTGCTGCAGTCCCGGTGTACCATCAGATCGCTACACCTGCCGACTCCTCCCAGAACGTCATCCTCACTACCATCCAATGCATCCATGCATGCAATGTTTGACGCCTCTGCTGAATTGACCACCGTCATCTTAAAATTAGCATCATGACTCTGCTTTGTAGCTTGTTAACTTGCCCCACTTTCGTCCACTCTGATCCAGACCTCTGTCTCCATTTTTTTCTCCTGTTGAGAACACACAGCCTGGCGCCCTCTGCTGTTATGGCCATGTAACGACCCCCAGACAAATATCAACATGTGTAAATGCTTAAACCCCGATTTTAAAACGACCCCACATTCTAAAATTATTTTCAATGAAAAAAGCCTTGTCTTATATTTGTGTCAATTCGGTACTTTTATACATCCTCACATATTATTATATATAATAATACTTTGGTTCTGTTGAAAAACTCGCAAATCCTGTCATGCCTGGATGTAGGGATGGGTACCTTTGACATTTGAATCGATCCGGTACTAATTCCCGGTACCTACGAATCGATACCGGTACTTAACGGTACCAATTTTTGATACTTTTGAGTGTTTATTATTTTAATTATCTTTTATAATTAAATATATAATTTTCTCAATATATAACAATATTTGATATATATCACGATAAAGAACATTCAACTGTTTGTATTTTAACATCGTCCTTGTAGTTTTATAAGCTGATAATTAAACTGAAGCAAACATCTTTACTGTGAACTAAATTTACTGTGTATCTTCATTCCTTTTGCCATTTGATTTTTCCTACTGGGAAGTTAGAATTTCAGAGGAGAAAGCAAACGCACCATTAGCTGATAACAATGGTAGCAATGGAAGCTAACATACCAAGCTGACATTATCTTAAACAGTTTATTTAGCTGCTGGAGCAGATTAAAACGATGATGCCTCACACTTAGATCGTTGTCACTGGTTTCGTCTTCACCTGTCACATTTAGTAAAGTGAAGCCAAACTTTAGAGCGCGTTCATGTTCTTCTAGTCGGGAATTCGGAGTTCCGAGGAGAAAGTGAACGCACCATTAGTGGAACGGAAGCTAACATATCAAGCTAATTATATTTACCTACCGGAGCAGATTAAGATGAGGATGTCTCACTTAGATCGTTGTCGCTGCTTTCATCATCACCCAGTTACCCATCACATTTAGTGAAGTGGACCCAAGCTTTAGCCTGCGTTCTTTCTACCATGCTGCTCTGTTTACAACTGGTTCGCAGTGAGCGACGACATAACGCTCTTGCGCATGCGCAGCTGTCTTGGCAAGTTCTCGTTATGATGGACGGGTACCGAAACGAGGCACCGTTTGAAATGACGTGAATCGGTGCTCGGTCGGTACTATGGAATTCGGTCGGTACCTTAAAAATTACAGAATTCGGTACCCATCCCTACCTGGATGACAGCTTAGCTCATCTTTCAGAGGACCAGAGATGCGAGTTAACAACGCTCATCCAAGAACACTTGTTTATTTAAAGATGTCCCTTCTCAAACCACGCTCGTACAACACGATGTGAGAGTTACAGATACGAAACCGATCAAGCAACATCCTTATAGGACTAATCTCCTTTTTTTCTCTTTTTCTGCAGGTCAAGAAGCAGATTCTTCATTCATTATTGTTTATTTTTGTGAACGTTTTGTTACCCGACCTCTTCCTTTCGACTCCCCCATTTCTCTTTCATTTCTGACTCTGTTTCCGTTAGGATTTAAAACAACCAAAAATATTGCTAGTAAAGTTTTGGTATCAGGTGAGGCATTTATAGCAGAAGCTATAACGCTCCACACGTGAGAATAAAACTGTAAGGCTTGTTTTTGGCACTCAGACATCAATTCTGAAAAAAAAAGTTGATAAAAATGCACCATAACAATGACTACGTCCCTCTTCCGCCTTTCTAAAAGGAGAAAAACTTACAACCCCCAGCCAGCTGCTGAGATGGCAATCTGTTTCAAAATAGCTGTCCCTCTAACGTGATTGAGATTGATCATTGGACTGTTTTGTGAATATTTCACTTTAAAATTCTTACATACTGCACCTTTAAATAAAGATAATCTGATTTTGTTAAATAAATCCAGCATTGTACTTACGTTTTACAACTTAATATTGTTAAAACATATTTAAAGAATGCAAATTTCTATTTACATAAGCCAGTTTAGTTCAGTCAGAGACGAGTGATGCAGTGGAACTAAGCGGTAGCTGCGAATGACTAATCAGACCCATTCTAAATGTATTCACGGGACACACAGAGAGACACTAACTGCAGAAAGCAGCAGAAACCGTAATTAAAACAGTAGAACGCTGGTGTGAGGTGTTTTCCGTGGATGTCCTTCAATGCTACAGTATCTCCGACTCCCCCACCGCTACAATGACACATTGCCTTTTTGATACGTGTGGGCTACCGTAGATGCTACTCTGACCTTCGTAGCCCAAAGGAGTTAAATGTATTCATACACTATGGATTAGACTTTCAATAAATTGAAAGTTTTTGCAAATATTATATTAGCGCAGCTTGAAGCTGAACGTTAACTTAAACCAAGTTTTTTTAAACATTGCAATACCTGCTAAAAATGTAAGACAAAGCGCTCACCACCAAACAAATGCTGCAGAGCTGTGTGTAAATGAGCTTTTGAAATCAACATGTTCTTCACCAAGTATTCTGACTCACCTTCTCTCCGTTTTTGTAGAATTGGAATGTGGGCATACATCTAACACCACAGGCACCACTCACATCCTGGAACAAAGACAGAGAAAACACTCTGATTCATGTATTTAACTATTACAAGCTCTGAAGTAAAAGTCAAGTACACTTACTCTTGCAGCATCCACATCCACCTTCACGAAAATCACATCTGCGTTTTCATTTGCCAGTTTCTGCAAGACAGCCTCTCAGCATTAAGGAAAGTTTCACATCATATCTACTGAAATTTTAGAGAACGTTTCAGTTACAAAGAGCTTTAAATTTTCTTATGGAAAAGGTGTTGGCGAACGTTAGTTGCTTTAGCAACAAGTTCCATCTCCAAACAGATGCTCCAGCTTCAGAAACTCAGGACAACAGACTAAATACACTTGCCGTTATTTCATATTTTCTCCCGCATAATCTCTAGTCCGGGATTTTCCCCCTTAAAGGTTCTTGTCCTGATCTTACAGCGTGTTCTGTGTCCATTTCACAGTGTGTGGTATGAACTAGCTTCAAAATAAAGGAATGACTCAGCTAAAGGTTGAGCCAAATGGCGTCAATCATTGGTTACCTCGAATAATGGAGCAATATACACGCAGGGGCCACACCATGTGGCTGTGAAGTCCACCACCACCAGCTTATTTCCTGCCTTTGACAGCAAAGTGTCGAACTCAGCCTGAAAAATAAAGGAGAAAATTTACTATGAGACTGGGCAACCAACATGGGCGTCATTTGGGGGGATGGGGCAGGGGGTACATGCCCCTCCCTCCAAAGTCAAGTTTTGACCCCTGGAATTTTCACCATCTAAAAACAATATTATGCCATATTAAATAGACACTGTTTCCATTAGAACATACTGTTACTCCCCCCCCCCCCCCCCCCAGTTCAGTCACACGTAGAAGACGGGAGGCAGAAAGGAAAGCCTGTAGAGGGAAAAGGTGGTGCTGAAAAGCTGCTAAACAAAATTACAGATGTTTTCTGTGGAATTCTCCTTCGCAGCACCAGATGTTATCCAGCAACATGACTGATCGAGTCAGCTTCAGGTTCTGAAACAGGCTAAAAGGTGATTCTGACTAAATGGTGACCACCTGGTGCATGTTAATAAGCTGTAGTGCGGAAACAACATAGAGACTGCTCAAATCTTGTTCCAAACCACAACCTCAACCACTGGAATTCAGTTTGGGAAGCTTCAGTCAAAGAGATATTTTTACTATTGCACCTCTACCAACAGTCCATTATTCTACATCTGTTAATTTAGTAAATATATCTTTTTTTAAACCATTTTCATCCTTCTGCTCATAAGTAAAATATATGTAGGTCAGGAAATCATCCTCAAACATGACAATGTCTGTTTGTCCAACTTGGCCCAACCTGTTCCTGCAATGACACACACATTCATTTGTCAGGCCTCCTAGTTTCTCCCTAACTGCCCAGAATAAAAAAAAAAAAACTATTTTGCAGCACTTTCTCTCAGTTTCTCCAATAAAAAAAATCAAATCAAATCAAATTGCTTTTATTGTCACGTCACATGTGCAGGTACACTGGTACAGTACATGTGAGTGAAATTCTTGTGTGCGAGCTTCACAGCAACAGTTGTGCAAAATACAATAACGTAAAAACAAACAAAATATAAAAACGGCTAATCTAAGTAATAATATATATAGTATTTAAGGTATATACATTCCTAAATGTGTGTGCTAAGTATTTTATTTTTTATTTTTCTACGTGTGTGCGTGTGAGTGTGTGTATAATGTGTACATACATATTTAACAAATGAATAAGTAAACAATAAGATAAGAGATATAAAATGTACAGAGGTTGGTATGTGCAAAACTGTGGCATTAATGTACAGTATGGAGTGTGTAATGTTGGAGTTTCAGTAGTGAGGGTGAGGTGTCTGTGAAGTGTTCAGCAGTCTGATGGCCTGATGGAAAAAGCTGTCTCTCAGTCTGCTGGTTCTGGACCGGATGCTGCAGAACCTCCTTCCTGATGGAAGTAGTCTGAACAGTTTATGGCTGGGGTTATTATTTATTAATTATTTGAAGTTAGTGATGAAACCTTGATTGTTCATTGATCCTTGTCTGTGTTTTACTGTTGATCAGCTTAAACTCCAAATTGGCTCGAACTATCTCTCGACAAAGTCATGAATTCTAATGTTAGACAGAGAAACCCGTTTGCTGAAATCACCAACATATAAATAGGTATTTTTCGAGAGTTGCCATATTTGATTATCGGATTTGAGCTGCCAAAACTACAGCTGACAAGCTGCGCGCGCGCTCCCGCCGGCACTAACGCCAAATGAAGCTACACAATAATAACGAAGTAACTTACCTTATCTTTAATTTGTTGGACCATGATAACAGCTTTGTGAACGTCAGCAACAACTGGAACGATAGAAGTGTGTCTTTGGTAAACACGGCCTGATTTTAAAAGCGCTGCTAAGTTGGTCAAACCCACAGCAAAAAGAAGGCGTGTTCTTCACTTAAAATAAAAGTGTTTAAAAATAGAAGTGAGTAAAAATATCCTTGTTGCTACCTTTTAAATTCATTTTGAAAATAACTCTATTTCTTACAAGTCTACTGATTTCTATACATTTTTGCTGTCATAATTAATTAACACCGGGTATGTAATATTTATACCAGTTTGCTTTTGAGAAGTTCTTTAATTGTTTTAAACAAATTGTCATAAGGCATAGGAATAAATGTAAAGTTTAAAACAGTTATACCGTTTTTTACTTCAAACATGGTCCATCCATCCATTTTCCGAACCGTTTGTCCACGTAGGGTCACGGGGGGTCAATGGACAATCAGGCGGGGTACACCCTGGACAGAGTGCCAGTCCATCGCAGGGCAACTTCAAACATTCTACTCAGATTTTCATGTTAATGCTAGCAGTCACTGTGAAAATGTTCCATCAGTATAGTCATGATGACTTGACAAATTCTTGGTTAACCGGTACAACAAGGTCAGCAGCTCGATTTTATGGTAGACACTATTGAAAACTACGAGACATTAAAAGTTAATTTTTATAATAGTGTAAAATAGCCTGGTGTATTTAGCTATTTATAGCATGTTTAAAGAATATTGCCGACCACAGCTGTAAAAGTGGCATTTTTAAAACCCTTTTTTCTAACCCATAATTATCTGTTGTTTAAATAAAAAAGGTGGCAGTAACAAAGCTAGAATTAAAGTGTCCTTTTATGATGCAATGCATTTGTGGTGCAGTGACATAGAAAGTCATAGCGGGAATTAATGTATATTGCTGCTGATCTTTAGCTTATTTGAGATTGAGATTTGAGTCCGTTCGTTTATTTATGTTGGCCCATTAGTGTAACTATAATTAGCCTAAAATTCAAATGTCAATAGCAAAACAACAGTGATTAAATCAATTTTGGGCAACGCTTAAAAGGTGAGCGATCGTCCATAGTAGAATAGACATATATACTGAAAGAAAACACAAATTCTAAATATTTTAGTTGTTATTGTTTTAATTTTAAAATGTTTTTTTAAGTTATACTGCCCAGTGCTAATTCCTGCAAGGCTCTCAAGCAGATGTGGGTAGCTCCGGTCTTCAAGGACAACTATACAGCATGTTTAAGTTGTTTCCCTGCTCCAGAATACCTGATTCATTGGTTGCATCACCTGTTCAGGAAGTCATCAGGCTCAGCAGAAGCCTATTTAAATGAGGTGTGTTGAAACAACTAAAACATGCTGGATCGTGGCCCCTGAGGACCAAAGTTGTCTACCCCTGCTCTACTGGTCATAAAGACAATCATGTATGAAATAAATCCTTCCTTAATTTTGACAAACAAATCAGTTCAGTTGTTCCAGCCAGGTTCCCTCAGGTCAGATTTTTATCCAACATGACTACAACCCTCTACTTGTTTACTCTTCCTCCAGAACCCTTAGGTCAAACAACCAGAAGCGCCTTGCCGTTCCCAGATCCAGACCTTACCAGGGTTGAGGAGCTGGTGCCCATCTCCAGAACTCAGGGGCGAGACTTGGTGAAAAAACATGTTTTGTACTTATTTACCTCACTAAAAACAACAATATGTAACATCCTGTAACTGAAGATTTCAAATTGCTGTGCAAGAGTGCTTTCTTGAGCATTTCCAGGTAGTGTCCCTTTTTTTTGGGGGGGGGGGGGGGGGGGGGATCTTCTTACAGAGTGAAGTGTCATCACGAAAACATGACAAAGCCTTTGACTTGCTCATAAACAATGGTGCTACTTTTCATTGTGATTACACTTACACTTTCATTGTCTTTAATGCTTGCTCCATAAACAGCTAGTTTGCAGCACGTGACATGCTTTTGCAGGTTATGAACAAGGGTTTGCAGTTTGAACTAGGATAATTGTTTTGAAAATGAACTGTTGTGCAAATATCAAATGTGATATGAAAAAGGCAACAAAGTGACTGAAAAAAGCTCATAAGAAGCTGATTTTTATAACATTTTACTGCTGTACTACATGGTTTCCGGCAGTGAATAGTTGTATAATTCACAGATATCATGTCATCATGTCTATTATAATTAGACTCTCTCAAGCTACATAACCGAAGGTTGTGGAGATGAAAAAGAGGGCAGTAATGTGTACGGTCGAAATGTTTTTCAGAAATTTGCGTAATGACGTATTATTCCTGGTCTTACGTAGTTACGCACTGTCTGTTTGGAAAGTTGGCGCGAGCTGTTTCTCCGAGTGGTGAGGCATCGGCTAAAATTCGATTATTTCAACCAAAACTTGTAAGTATTGACTTGGAAAAGAATGAATAAAACTAAAAATTACCCACCGGCAAATCTATATTTACCGACTATAAACTCATGAGCGCCACAAATGACTGTCATTTGTAGCTAGCAAGCTAACTGTCCCGGATGTGTTCAGTGGTATTCTGGCGTAGCAGAATTAGCTAGTTTCCCAAAGTCCGTTTTCTTTGGCTCTGGAGAATATCTTTACCTCTCGAATTCTAAAAGTCTCGTGTCTTTGGTAGTAAAGGCGGCTGAGCTACTGTATTTTCTTAGTAACGCCAACAAGAGTACTATTTGTAGCGATATTTCTTGACATATATTAACTGACTAATGATACCACAATAACCCGTTCCATATTGTAACTTTAGTCATCACGTGGCTTTGAATGCTCATTTAATTATGATAGGATGTTTTTATGTGATTAATACACAATTTAAGCCACAGAAAATGATGTTAAGCTAATACGACACCAGTGTAATTGTCTATTCTGTAAACTTCCAGTATCAGAAGATGAATGGTGTTTGTTGTGTGCTGATCTGATTCGTTACTATTTATCCTAAACGATTTCTAATCTATAAACAGTGATTGTTTGTGCTGTAAGAGCATCATCTCTATATTAACTAGCTGTCCGCTAGTCATGCTTATTTTTTCTTTAAAACTTGATTACATTTATAAGTCAGATGGTGAACCATTATTTTGTATATTGGTTTGTAACAAAGTATACATTTAAGGATGAGTCCATGTGGCCTTAAAAACATGTGCAGGGATTTAAAACTAATTGCTTCAACCAAAACCATTTTATTATTATTATTATTATTATTCATTTGATTTTGTTTTTAGTGAAGGATAATAAATGAAAACATACATAAATACTCAGGTCAATCATGTATTGCCGTATGTTTTCTGACTCTTGTTTGTCCTCTGATCCCCCGTATTGGGCTGCTGAATTACCAGCCCAATATAAAGGGAGATACAGGTCAAACATGTTAAATGGAGCCCAGTTTGTGGAGGCCCTGGGCCGTCTGGGTTATCCTGGTACATCTTCGCTAAAGTGCTCAGAGTTTGATTGGCTGTTTGACTGCGCCCCGGAGAACCTTCACTTCTTGCGCTTTGTCTGTCGCACTCTCAACCGGAGCAACGTCCTCACCGCAGAGGAGGTTGCTGCATTTCAAGAACTACAGAAGTCTGGAAAGCCAATTCTGGATGAAGGAGCCTTGAGTGAAGTCCTGAAAACTGCTGGAGCTTCAGATGGGAACATATTGGGGCCCTCTTCTTCATCCTTCGCGTTTGCCCAGGAAGAAGATCTGACCTTAGAAGAGTTGCGTGCAGAACTCCAAGTGCTGAACAAAGAGAAGGAGCTGAAGCAACGGCGCTACAACAAGCTGCAGGTGGTAACCACGTCCCGCGCAGATCATGAGCTGCAGCTCGCTGCAGAGCTGGACTCTAATGCATGTTCGCTAAAGCAAGTCAGGGCTTCAATTGGAGCAGAGAATGCTGACACCAACTCATTATTAGGTGTCCTAACAGATGAGGTGAGCAGGCTGGCATCACATTTCCCTCAAAAAGAAACCAAGCTATCAAACACCTCCATGCCCCAGAGGCCTGCTGTCCTCCTCTCTCAGCTCTCATTGGATCCATACTTACATCAGGAGGAGCTCAACACCAAGACTCTAGCTGCCTTCACACAGAAGCATTTTTTTGAGGGTATTTCTGATATTGTTGAGACCTCCTGCTCTGATCGCTTTCAAATCCTTGGTGTCCAATCCAGTGAAGATGCAGTGGAGAAAGAGACAAAGTGTGAAAATAGTGCGGCTGAGCTAAAGCGGACAGAGATGGCGAGACTTCAGTGGGCTCATATTGTTGCTCAGCACCAGTTGATGCAGGCCTTGGCAGAGGAGAAGAGCATCAAAGCTGGATTAGATTGGCTCTCAGAAACAGCTGGTCATACTAAGGTAAAACAGACAGTTTTGTGTTAAATAACCAACGCTCTAACGCATTCATATTTTTTCTGCTGACTCTTCCTAGAGCATTTACGCCTCTTCTTCACTGCACGTACGTGAAGCTGTGTCTAGAAAGGAGCTGGAGGCTGTGGAGGTTGAGCTGGAAGCTCTGCTTCATGGACCAGTACCTGCTGCTCTTAGAGAGTCAGCCAGGCTGCTCAATGTTCCCGTAGTGAGAGGAGACTTGGCGCTGCAGCTGGCCAGGCAGAAGTACTACACGTCCAGGCAGGACCAGGTAAGCTTCCACGTCTCCTGATCTCGTTTCAAAGCATCCAAAGGAGTAGCATCTGTAACACAAAGTCCATCACTACTTACATTTAAGTCTTCCCTCACAGGTGCGTGACTACTTACTACGGCAGAAAGCGTCCTTCGACTTGGTGCTTCTGGCTCAGGAGATGGAGCTGAGAAGGTGGAAGACGTGTCACGAACAGCTGAGTGAAATTGAAGGCAGACTGTTGAAAGAAGGCAAAGAAGCAACCTTAAGAATAGAGTCTCTGGCGCACCCAGAGCTGGCCGTCAACCCAAGACCCAACCCTATCATCAGCAGCAAGGATGCTGCGTTCAGCAGGTGTGCACTCGGGTTTTCCAACTGTTCCGATTACAAACAGTTTCAGTGGAAGTGGAGATGGGGGTTGAGGGAATAATAAATGTTTTTGTACAGTGGGTTGTGTATGTCAGTCAGAAGTGTGTGCAAATCTCTTATTAGTGTGTTTGGGATTAGGCAACATAATCACGAAAGCTGGAAGCGTGAAGGGTTTTAGCTAACCTAAGCAAAAAAGTTAAGTAGAGAGGTTTAAAATATTCTTTATCATAGAGGAGGCTTACTACCTCGGAGTCCACCCCTGCTTCGCCGCATTAGAACAAGATCTGTCAGCATCTCACGAATGTACGTAGTGCTTAGTGTTGATTAAAGCCTCCTATTCCAAGATTCTGATTCACTTTTGGATTTTTTGTTTGGTTTGGGAAAACGCTTGAACTTACTTATCGTTGTGTTTTTATGAGTTAACGTAAGGCTTTCAAAACTTTTGTCAGATTTTGAACTTTGCTTTTGTAACACCCCCCTCCCCAGACTGCTCCAGATCCTCAAGCACAACTCGGGCTCCGGCCGAGTGGAGCCCTTTAGAACGTATGAAGCTTTGGACCAGGCGGCTCACAGTCTAGTGACCAACCACCAGCTGCTGCTAGACACTCTAGCGAGCGCCCGCCGTGAGCAGCGCTATGCTGCGGCTCGCCTTTACGGCGACTGCGAGATGCTCCACAGGGCTGCGTACACAGAGGTGCAGCAGCTGGTCCTAGGCCCGCAGGTATGTCCAACGGCCAGTAATGACCAGGACCTCCTTTGCCCCAATGCACAGGTGGGTTTATTTCTTTTTGATTTTTGCTTTGATCAACAATAATGAGTGAATTCAACTCGTGATGTGAGTCAGTCGGCTTTTATTAACACTGGTCTACTTGGTGAAGGATGCTTGGAGCACAGTTTTTATCTTTTGCACATTATGTGACGTGTTTCTGGGTCACTTCTTGGCCTTTAGGGTCTCAATCTTTTCCATCACACAAAATGTGGGAATAAATGGTGTTGATAAGTATTTCGTGTGTGTGTGTGTGTGTTGTCAGAAATGATGTGACCAGATTTAATTAATGGCTTCTCAACCTAATGACCTAATTAGCTGAGATAGCTTAGCCACAACTGACATTAGCACATTTTTTCCTACTATTGTTTGTGTCAGAGGGGAAATAGTTTTTTTAATCACCAGGTCAAACCCAAGAAACGTCTTAATGAAATTTTCACAAATGTTAAAACTTAAATGTTAATGCGAGGGGCTCAGGTCTTGCAAATCTGTGCTCTTGACATGTGTCGTGTATTTGCTGTAATCTTGTAGCTGCCGGTCTGAACCAGAGATGTCATAACTCAGATTACAGATCTTTTTCTTTTACTTTTATCTGCAGTTTAAGCTCTGGAAAATGATCTTTCTAGACACCTTTTTTCTTTTTATTTATATCTGATCAGTTTTATTGTGATGCTTTTGTCAGCTGCAGCCATTTTGCTGAGTCACAACCTTTCAACGCAGCAAATGATGTTTTTTTGGAGCAGATTTAATTAAAGTAAACTTTGCCACATACAGTACGAAACCTATTAACCCAGTTAATTGTAATTAATTTGACAAAGTTTCTCTGACATAGGAATTAAAGCATAATTTATAGGGGTGTGAATCTTAAAACAAGTCATGGTTTAATTAGATTCTGATTCTCAGGATGGAGATTCGATTCAGAATCAATACTTTTAGTAACAGAAAGTGTCAATTCCAGGATTAACAGCCTTATTCTGTAAGTTAGAAAGCTGCCAGGTGTCTGTGATGTAGTTGGCTGTGAATGTGATGATGGATGGGTTGCTCTTGACTGGCAAGACAGTATGAGCAGCGAAAAGCTAGGAAGTGTTTGGAAAATACCTTCTCAAGTAACAGCTTGGAAATTATGAATCGATTCAGAATTGATAAGAATCTCGATTCGGACGTGAATCGTTTTAAAAAACATTATTTTCATTACCTCTAATAATTTAGGCGTAATTAGATTTTTTGTTGATTAAAGTGATAATTTCAGTAGTTTAAATTATATTGAAGCATGTTTGGTTTTCTCTGCAGGAACTGACACTGAAGCTTGTGGAAGCCGAGACTCAGATGCAGAATCTCCAACAAGTATTGCAGGAAATCCTGGCAGAAGTGAAAACCAAGCGCTCCCAGCTGGATCGTAATCCTCTCCTGAGACGGGAGAGGGAATTATACATTTTCTTCCACCTGGATGCCCGACTTCTGCAGAAAATAGTGGAAGATCAGGAGGGCAAGAGACAAAAGCAGTGAAAGGAAAACGACGAAAAGCTCACTTCCTCTTGAGAACCGGAATGTTTTCAGTGTTTAAAGTGAAATATGACTTGTTGTGTTTTGTTCTTTGTGTGTTTCATGTCTCACAGTCTTCTAACATTTTTCTTATCTGATAAATAAAGTAAAATTCAAATGTTTTAATCCTGATCTTGTTTATTTTTGATCACCCGTATTAAAGTTTGTATAACAATCATTTGAATCTGTTTTTTTGTGTCACTAAAACCAGTTTTCTTTGTCCTGTTTAAATAGAGAAGAGTCAAAGGTCAGACAGACGGTTTGTTAGGGAGGAGATGGAGCGACAGAGCGACCGGTCGTACGCGGGCCCGCTCTCCCTGGACGCCCTGAGGATCCTGGCTGCTCTGCGGGCCCAGAGTCTGGATGCAGCCAGATGTCATCAGCGTTCAACTAGTGATCAAAGTCAGTCAGAGTGGAAACAGCTTTGTTTTGTACCAGTGTTCATTTAGTATCAACATGAATGCTGAGTACAACACAACCTAGACTTAAAGGTTGCATTGTGAGTGTGTGTGTGTGTGTGTAGACCTTACTTTTATTTCTGTCCTAGCGGAGAGGAGGGCTCTGAGCAGCTGCAGGGATCCAGAAAGGACGAATAGTTACACGTGCTGGTAAGTTGGACAACGCAGGAGTTGTGATTAGGTGTTTAAAATAAGCTATATGCTAATGCTAACTGAGCCTTTAACCTGACTGATTCAGCAGGACAGAATCTGGCTGCTGACGCTTAAGAGCGCTTAAATGAGGCTTTAGCAACACTTGAACATGAAGTGGGTTTGGGTCATCCAAATGGGATAGACAATGTATTGGCATCAATATCGGTATCGGCCGATGTTACTCACTTTTTAACGTATCGGTCCGATAAATAAAACTGGGCTGATATTAACGACCGATATCTTTCCATATCGTCTCCATTTGTTTGCCGGTTTCGGGGGGGGGGGGGGGTTGTGTAATTGTTTAGTCATGTGAACGGTGAATGAAATCTCAGAACCATAAATGTGTGTACGTAATAATGTAAATTCAGCTTTAACAATTTTCATTTTATACAAAATCTGCTGATTTTAGAAGCATTAATGTCAGTTTATCTCAATATCAGATATCGGCCCAAAAAATGTATCGGTGCATCACTAGTCCTCCGTGATGCTTTAGGTGTTAGAAGTGTAAAAACTGAAAAAATGAATTCTGATAGGCTTTACAGAGTTCCGACTTCATTAGACTTTTATTTAAATCAATTTTCAGAGATTATTCTGATTAGATTAGTTCAAAATAATCTTGGCCTTCCAACTAATAATTTTTAACTTTGCTCTAATTTACATTTATGGGTTTTTAATTCTCCTGTGATTCAGGCCCCAGGTGTCACTTTCCACCTCTGACCAGCAGCAGCGTCTCTCTCAGGCCTCAGCCTCCCGACTCTACTCACAGACACCTGACAGCTCCCTGCCCCCCTCCTGCTGGGATTCCTCCCTCCAAAGGAACACCCCTCAGGTGGAAGCCTGTTATCAGTATTCCCAGACATTTTCCCTCAGAATGTGCTCGGAGCCTCCTGCTCACCTGTCCAGCCAGACCCTGTCCTTCTCTCTGCGTCAGGTTTCTGAGACAGAAGCACCCCACTCCTTCCAAACGCTCAACGGGCTTTCTGCTCATCGAGCGGCAGCATGTAGCATGTAAGAAGCAAAGGTTAAGTAGTATTGACATTAGTTAAAATCTCATGTAATTATGTCCGTCCTCTCTTAAAGTTCTGCACAAAGATCAAGGTCAGATGAAGAGAGCACCAATGAGATGCTTGAACTTGCAACTGAACAGCCATATTTTCATTCTGTCACTCATCACACACCTTCACCCCGCTCTGAAATATGTGAAGAGAACATGTCAAGTGCACCAAACAAAGACAAAACGATCTGGAATCCTGTCAGAAACAAACCAGAAGACCCCACAGCTTCAGGAAGTCTGATAAAGTCCCTCTTTGAAGACAGTGATATAGAAGACGGAGACCATCTGTCTCCCAGTGTTTTTGTAATAAAGGACATTGGTCAGACTTTGGCTGGAGTACCAGAGAAGGACCGGTCAGAGGGACCACTGGTTCAGCCTGAAGCCACACCGTTCACCCTGAAGGACATTAGGGCTCCTAACCTGGAAGCAGCAGAAGTCATGAACATCACAGTAGAGAAAAAAATGGAGCATCAGATAAATACGGAGCAGATCAAGCAGAGACAACACAAGGCAAACATTGGTGAAAGCACCGAGTTACAAACAAAGGGAGGAGGCAGAGCGGAGCTGGAAGAGTCGTGTTTGGGAGGAGAGGAAAACCTTAAAAGTGCAGGTACACAAATAACTATTCTCACTGCTCATTTCTTGGTGCGTTTAAATTTCACAGCTTCACTCACGTTCAGCAAAAGCAGGATTTGTAATCGGGTTGTAGTTTTATCAGTCACCACCAGAGGGTGCCAGAGTGCCTCCATAGTTAAAACTTTACTTTTGTGTGTGGTTGGGTTTTTAATAATACCTGGATGCAACTCAAGATAAACCAATACATTTTAAATGCTTCACATCACAGTTATGTTATGGTGATTAAAACACACCGTCTTTGTTATGTTAAAGAATTTTCAAAATAAAAGCATTTTTCTAATATAAAGTTTTTCTTACTTGTTTTGGGGGTCTAGATTTAAGGTTTTGACCCGGCAGTTTGTCAGATCAGAAGCTTTTTGGAGATGCTGAAGTGCTTCAAGTTAAACATCAATAAAACTCATCTTTTATTTTGCTGAGTGGCAGTGAAAGCATGTCAGTGCTGGAGTTATGTAGAGCCAGCTGCGTGACAGCTGCAGCCTTAAGTTGCAGAGACAGTGCTGAGTCTGCTGATGCACAATTAACAGAGTAAGATACAGGAACAAGGTCCAGGTGGTGTTGGCTGACCTTGTCCAGTCTGATGTCATGCCCACACAACACGCACAGAATTGATTTATTGATTCAGGATGTGCATCAAAAGTGATGATCAAATTTAAAAAAAATTCTCTCATCTTTTTCTTCATGAAGACTCAGGTGGACAGTGGTGTTCTGGGCCGAGCTTGTCCGAGGAGTGTGGATCGAAACGGCCGAGGTTCAAACCTAGTCTTCGTGGCAACCAGCTCCACGACAACGATGTACAAGTATGTCTCAGGAGGAAAGCTCTACCTAAACTTTTATTCTTTAGCAAATCTTTATTTTCCATCTTTGCCCCTTTCAGGAAACATGGCACTCTACAGAAAAGTTCTAAAATCTGATTAGCTGCTTTCACGGAAAAAAACCAAACAACAAATTAATGTTGCTTGCGTGAAATTGGGAGGAGGTAGCTGTAAAGTTCACACAAAGTTTTCCTACATACAGTCTCTTTGTAGATCTTTATTTCAAGGGTGAACGACGAAGGCTGGACAGGATGGGTGTTGCTGATCAATGAAGGATGGATTGATGTGGGAGTGCGAAGGGGAGAAAGAAGAGGTGCAGGCCTTGACTGTATCGCTGCAATCAGCAGCAAATTTTCGGTCTCAGATTTATTCATGGGCTGCCGGCCACGGCCTGCCTCTGCGTTCTATCTATATCCTGTAGCACAGCGCCCTGGGGAGGTGCACCACCCCGTCAGCAGGAAAACAGCCTGTGTTTACAGGAAAATGAGGAGGACTCTCCTCAAAGAGCTGAATCAGAGGAATTCCTATCCACTGCTGACAGCTTCTTGCTTTTCATTTTTGTCAGTCCCCACAATACCAAGTTCCTACATTTTTTAACTTAATTAACAACAGTCCAAAATAATCATGGTGCAGAGAATTCATGTTTTTTATCTGCTGCTGTGTGTTGGAGCAGCTGTTGTTGAGTGTGAGTCTGACTGAGTGACCCTGTTCCTGCTTCAGGGTCTCTTCTCAGACTAATAGTGTCCCGACTGTCTGCACTTTTGTCTGGGACACAGTGCTGAGGGGCTGGCTTTCAGATCCCTTTAAAATCTTTCTGCTTTTGTTTTTGCTGGTAGGATCTACACTGTAAAAACATGAAATGTTGAGTTTACTTAACCAAGTTATGTTCCACTACACTTAGTTGCTTAAATCTAAAGAGTAATATATTTTTTTATACTCTTTATATTTATAGCAACACTGAAGCGTTTTAAAAACCAAACCGTTGCTTTCAAACCGGTTTTAGTGGTTCTTTAACCATAATCTGGAGCAACTTCACATTAAACAGCACTGTGCTGCCCTCAGCTGGCCAGAAACCACACCTAACAGTTTTGATACCTGCATTACGGCAATAGCTGTTTACTCTCCCGCTAGCTAATATACAGGTCCTTCTCAAACAATTAGCATATTGTGATAAAGTTCATTATTGTCTGTAATGTACCGGTAAACATTAGACTTTCATATATATTAGATTCATTACACACAACTGAAGTAGTTCAAGCCTTTTATTGTTTCTAATATTGATGATTTTGGCATACAGCTCATGAAAACCCAGAATTCCTATCTCAAAAAATTAACATATTTCATCCGACCAATAAAAGAAGTGTTTTTAATACAAAAAAAAAAAAACCTCAACCTCCAAATAATTATGTTCAGTTATGCACTCAATACTTGGTCGGGAATCCTTTTGCAGAAATGACTGCTTCAATGCGGCGTGGCATGGAGGCAATCAGCCTGTGGCACTGCTGAGGTGTTATGGAGGCCCAGGATGCTTCGATAGCGGCCTTAAGCTCATCCAGAGTGTTGGGTCTTGCGTCTCTCAACTTTCTCTTCACAATATCCCACAGATTCTCTACGGGGTTCAGGTCAGGAGAGTTGGCAGGCCAATTAAGCACAGTAATACCATGGTCATTAAACCATTTACCAGTGGTTTTGGCGCTGTGAGCAGGTGCCAGGTCGTGCTGAAAAATTAAATCTTCATCTCCGTAAAGCTTTTCAACAGATGGAAGCATGAAGTGCTCCAAACTCTCCTGATAGCTACCTGCATTGACCCTGCCCTTGATAAAACACAGTGGACCAACACCAGCAGCTGACATGGTACCCCAGACCATCACTGACTGTGGGTACTTGACACTGGACTTCAGGCATTTTGGCATTTCCCTCTGCTCAGTCTTCCTCCAGACTCTGAAACCTTGATTTCCGAATGACATGCAAATTTGCTTTCATCCAAAAAAAGTACTTTGGACCACTGAGCAACAGTCCAGTAGGGCTGCAACAAACAATTATTTGGATAATCGATGAATCGGATGGGGTCTCGACACGATTAATCGATTAATCGGATTACATAGGGACATTTTTAAAAACTGCTAGGGAAACGTTATTTCTCTCCTTCCTTCACTTTATTAAACTCAACATTATTAGAAAACAGTTCAATAGCAGAAAAACAACATGCCATCACCTAAATTGTCTTATAAGGTGTATAGACAGAGACCCTAAGCTGCACCTATCTGTGACCTAAAATGCTTGGTCCAAGTTAAACAGCTTAAAGAGCATGTCACCCCCAAATCAACTTTTTTTTCTGATAAACTATATAAATGCATGTCTAATCCTGCTGCAGACATGTGTAGTCAATAGTTTTGCACTTTAGTGCACTTTAGTTAAAATTTTAATTTTCTGCCTGAAACTGTCAGTGTTGTTCCGTTGTCAGGTAAAAACTCTTCACTGCATTTGAATTTAAATCTGCCACCGCTATTGGCTAAGAGGTATGCTATGATGTAAACTGGTACATTATGCTGTCACAATGTCGTGAGTGTGTGTATTTGTTAGTGGCTCCACCCTCTCGGTCTGCTAGGCAACAGCATTTGTTGCATTTTTCAAACATGACGTGGGTGTGAAGTACGCTTCTTGTAGGGGGTGACTTGCACTTTAAAGAGCAAGTCAACCCCTACCAGAGTCTAACTCCACTCCCACTTCATGTTTGAAAAATGCAACAATTGCTGTTGCCTGGCAGACCGAGAGGGCGGAGCCGCTAACAAATACACACACACTCAGGCTCACAACAACATTGTGACATCATAATGTACCAGTTTACATCATAGCATACTTCTTAGCCAATAGCAGTGGCAGATTTAAATTAAAATACAGTGCAGAATTTTTACCTGACAATGGCACAACACTGCCAGTTTAGGCAGAATATTTAAATTTGAACTAAGATGCACTGAAGTGCCAAATTATTGACGACACGTGTCTGCAGCACGATTAGACGCTCGTTTCTTTAGTTTATCAGCAAAAAAATGTTTATTTGGGGGTGACTTGCTCTTTAAGGGGAATTCTCATCTGTTTTGTTTGATCTCATCTGTAGACATTTATTATAACTGGGGATGTCAAACAACTAATTTTAAATGTAATTAAACATAGGCTGTGAATTAATCAAAATTAATCACTATTTCCTAGGGCTGTAGCGAAGCCTCGACGAAGTCGACGGCTCGATTCTAAAAATTTGTCGACGTCAGATCCGGAAGTCGACGCACCGCGCCCACTTGTTGCATCCCCAGGAGTTTGTAAATAGAGGAGGAATCTGCCTGTTCTTCCTCTAGTTCGCCCTCTTCTCCGCCTTCACTAACATCTCCGCCAAATACCGAAGACCCGGAACAACGTCCGTCCACTACTAGATTATTTTCCTGTTTTGCCCCTTCGTCTCCCGGCAACGGACAACAACTTCCGGGGTCAGATGCGCTGCTTCGTGTCTATCGCAGATGTAGAAAATCACCGGGAGCGCTTCTCCCTTAATAAAGGAGCTTCTTTCAGACATGAGGAGAGCTGTTTTGGTGGTAGCAGTCTCTCCTCCGTGCTGGTCTGTTTGCTGCTGGGTGTTTTTGGTTTATTTAAACTTGGTAACTTGAACTTAATGTTGGTAAAGCTACTGTTAGCATCTTCGCTAACAGCTTCTTGCGTTGGGATAAGCTGTTACGTTTTGGTTTAGAGTTCATCTTTTTTGTGGTGTAGATCTCCCTTTTATTACATTTAGAGTGTTGTGGGTTTTCGGTTTAGTGTAAAATACCACCTGAGTTTGGTTTAACCCGTAAGACCACTCGCCTCACGCACATAAGTGACCAAAACAAAGCAGCATGGAGACACTCCATCTTCTACCACCTCTCAGGCAGCAGCCTGCACTCCCAAGTTCTACACGTCATCAGAACATAACCAACCAACACAATAAACGCAGTGTTATACAAAATGGAAGGCCTGTAGTGTTTATTCTCTTACAGTAAGAATTTATCAATTTTTTTTTGAGGAATTTATTTGAGATTTTCTGGTTTTTGTTAATTGTGCAATAGAAAAATAATCATTAGATTAATTTTCTAAATAGTCATTAGAATAGTCGACTATTCGATAAAATAATCGTCAGAATAATCGTTTTAAAAATAATCGTTTACCCCCAGCCCTACTATTTCCAAAAATGACTGAAAAAATACCAAATAAAACAAAAGTAAATGAATGCCATCCTCCTTGCGATGATGCCCTGGGCAACTGCCATAAAGTCACATCAAGAAATGCTGCTGATCATTCCAATGATCCCAAATAGACTCACATTAGGCCACATGAAAGCAACTGAACCCAAAAATATACTAACCAGTATATAACTGCACTCTCACACAACACGCCTGCAGCAACAGTTAGGACTCCTCCCTCCCTTTTAAAAGCGTTTTCGCTTCTGAGGACATTGTGGTTATAAAGCCACATGCTAGTAGTCTGGCCCCGGTGTGATCAACCAGTTTCTGGAATGTGACGGCGGAACCGGTTCGCAGCAGTGCGAGTCCCCCCCCCACCCCACCCCCCTGCCCATCTAATAGTGTCGCGCTTACGATTTTATAGACTTTTTTTTACGAGCTTAGGGCATGTCTAGCCTGTGTAATAATCCGGGGCTTGGGTGAATCACTTTTGAAAAGTTTTTAACTTACCCGGACACCGAGCTCTCTCCTTCCTCGCTGATGATTCTGACATGCTTGCGTTTAAGACTCTGCATCATCACCGCAGCACTCCCGTGCCATGCTAAGTCTGACCTACAAACGTTGCAGGTAACGAATGTCTTCGCCTGATTTAACTGAAAATGCTCCCAAACTTTAGAAGTTTTTACTTTTTTTTGGGGGTCTCGCTGCTTCTGCCACGTTCCTCTTCCAAACACCTGCCGGTGCTGCGCGCAACGGCGGGCGGGAGGGGAGGGGGCTTTTGGAAGAGTTGTGCAACACAACGAATCGATGACGCAATTCGTTGCCAACGCTTTTAGTAATCGATTTCCATCGAATTTATCGATTCGTTGTTGCAGCCCTACAGTCCAGTGCTGCTTCTCTGTAGCCCAGGTCAGGCGCTTCTGCCGCTGTTTCCTGTTCAAAAGTGGCTTGACCTGGGGAATGCGGCACCTGTAGCCCATTTCCTGCACACGCCTGTACATGGTGGCTCTGGATGTTTCTACTCCAGACTCAGTCTACTGCTTCCGCAGGTCCCCCAAGGTCTGGAATCGGTCCTTCTCCACAGTCTTCCTCAGGGTCCGGTCACCTCTTCATGTTGTGCAGCGTTTTCTGTCACACTTTTTCCTTCCCACAGACTTCCCACTGAGGTGCCTTGATACAGCACTCTGGGAACAGCCTATTTGTTCAGAAATTTCTTTCTGTGTCTTACCCTCTTGCTTGAGGGTGTCAATGATGGCCTTCTGGACAGCAGTCAGGTCGACAGTCTTACCCATGATTGCGGTTTTGAGTAATGAACCAGGCTGGGAGTTTTTAAAAGCCTCAGGAATCTTTTGCAGGTGTTTAGAGTTAATTAGTTGCTGGTTTAGAGAACCTTTTCATGGTATGCTAATTTTTTGAGATAGGAATTTTGGGTTTTCATGAGCTGTATGCCAAAATCATCAATATTAGAAACAATAAAAGGCTTGAACTACTTCAGTTGTGTGTAATGAATCTAATATATTTGAAAGTCTACAGAAAATAATGAACTTTATCACAATATGCTAATTTTTTGAGAAGGACCTGGCAATGTCAGCAGTTAGCTTTATCAGTTCTCCGACTGTCAACAGAAAGACGAAGAAGAAGAAGAAGGAACATTTAGCTTTTTTGTTAGCATCATGGCAGAGCCCGGAATTAAAAGTTGAACCTGTAATGTCTTTGGAGGCGAAGCAAAGAGCTAAAACCAGAGTGAGCGGCAAGGTCCACTAGTTGGAGGGAGCTAAAGGAGGCTACGAAGTCACAGGCCGATGGTTGCCTGCCTATGTTGCTACTGGACTTGAAAGTTAATATATTTTGTCTAACAGTGTGGATCTTTTTACTTCATGACTGATTTAGCATCAGTTGGCTCACGTTAGCAATACCATGTTGTTAGCACTAGCTACAGCAGGCTGCAGCAGAGTTGTTTACGGCAGAGAAGTGGTAAACTTAAAGAGCAAGTAACGTCTAAATTAACTTTTTTTTGCTGATGAACTGTATAAATGAGTGTTTAATAGTGTTTTAAATGTGTGTATTCATTATTTTAGCATTTTGGTGCATTTTCTTTAAAAATTAAAAATTCTGCCTAAATACCACAGTATAGCTCCACCTTCAGCTTAAAACATAGAATTTGAGTCATTTTGAATAAATTTTAGCCAATGGCTAAAGAGTAAGATACTACGTAAACCAGTAGAGTACTACGTAGCAGCTCTGTGTCAAAGTTATAAAAGCAACGAGCGTCTCGGCCACGCCTTGTGGCGAGTTGGAAGTTGGATTTGCAAGCAAGTGTAGGAGGTTAGCCGTAGTTCAGCATTAGCATATAGCATTAGCATATCCTAGTCTTTAGCGTAGCCTTTAGTGTTATACATACTTATTTAGTGTTAGCTTGGCTGTTGGATATTGTAGTTTAGTTAGTGTTTGGCTGTTAGTGTAATTAGGAAAGTAGTTCAGGTTTAGTGCTCCATATCGTGTTGTATGGTGAGACGGTGTAGTGTAGTATGGTTGCGGTGGCTCTGTGGGGTTGAACTCCTTTCCGCTGGACTTAGAAATTAGGCGCCAGTGGTTGCACGCAATCGGTGTCTGGAAAACATTCAGCTCCCGCCTGGTGCTGTAGTTTGCAACCAGCATTTTACCCGCGATTCTGCACGTCTCCGTTTGAAGAGGGAGGCTGTGCCCACCGTGGCTCTTCCGCGATTTAGATGCAGCCCACCGAATGCTCCCCCACCATGGTGGGCTCCAGTCTGAGGTGAGTACGCTAAATAAAAGTTAACATCTTCTAAAGACAATTACCTACCTAAATGCAAAGTTTGAGGGACGTGGTTAACTTCATTTAGCTAATATCAGTCTGCTCGGCCTTCGGGCAGATTTGTCAAGTTCACAAAATGTGGAACGGGATGTAAGGTTAGAATCAGCGGCGAATCGGAACATATCTCGAAGCCCTGGCCAACAAAACGGTCCACATGACTGTCAGGCTCGGAGAAAATTCGGGTTGCTTTTGTGTCAGTCGGCAATTCTGCAACAGTGGCTCTAACTAACAGCACTAGTTGACAGACAGCATTACAGCGTGAAATCCAGCTTGTGACCCGGTTCTGTAAGGAATTCTGTTCAGGAGGTCGCATTTCAGGCTCTCCACATCATTTGTGACTGACTTTTACGTTATAATAACATCACACACTAGGAATGTTATAAAGCGCCTATATAGGACAGTTTCTTTTGTATATTGTCTGACTTTATAAACAACAACAGTGTGCTTCTATTTTTTTTTTCAGGCTAAATCTACCCAAGACGTTGGCTGTCAGACTGATTTAGCTGCAAGAATGCACTTGTCCAGGCTGACGTGAAGCCTTACCGGTGTAGCAAAGGTGAATTATTTTTAATAATCTTCTATGTAAACATTTTATTATCACCTTCTAGTTTTAATTTGTTTTACAGATTATTGTTACACGTGATTTTATGCTCTTTTAAACATTTATAAATGTGCTGCTTCTTTGTTTTTTATAGAGCTCACAGCCGCAGTGTGTCTTGTGACACAGGGACCATGACAGACATTCATCTTCCAGAAAGTTCCAGAGCAGCGTCCACACCCCTGAAAAGACCAAGATGTGAGGTGTCTGCTGTTGATTCCAGCTTCCACCTCAGTGACAGTGCAAGCTCAGTGAGCTGTTCAAGGTAAAAGAAAATTAAAACATTTCAGAATTTTTAAGATATTAACTATTACATAAACGTATGTGATTACATCATGACATCATGAAGGAGGCTACTGATTCTGGCCCTGTGACACTTGGTGGTGACGTGTGAGCTGATTCACCTGGTAAATAACTTTTACATTAAATATTTCGTTCTTTGCTATCAAAAGTAAATTAACCAATAACCTGCATTATTGCAGGACACTCAGCAAAATATGGACTCTACACCATGAGGCAGGCACACGTTAATACTCTATAAGAGCACATAAGGTGAGCAACACCACAGATTATTATTACTGTACACTGTCCTGGATTTGTTTTCTTTCTGCATCTCATCATTAGCCTGGCTGATCACCTGATAACTCCTGTCATCTGGTTATGACAGCATGAGGATGTCCTCACACACCTGTAACCTATCAGCTCATCTGGCAGAATAGAGAGAGAAGAGACAACACCACATCTCCTGTTCCTGGAAAGCCTTCAGCCATCCTTCGATGACTGAGAACCTCCATCAGCTCTGTCTCCTGTCTGCCTACAGTTATTATAATAAATATTGTGTTTGACAAGTTTTTTGTGCTGCCAAATATCTCATTTTGATATTTTAATGGATATTTATAAATTACATTAATTGAATTATCACATTGGTGCATGTTTAACTAGCTCTATTGTGATGAATTAAACTAGCACCTCACTGTTAAAAGCTTGTTTTAATTTCAAGCATGTTTAAGTATTTATGGACATGAACAAAACCAGGAAAGATATAAATTGAGATTTATTTAATTAATATAACAAATAAGGGGGAAAGAGTCATTGAAAGGCACATTCTTCTGGAAGCTCCTGATCCTGACGACACCAGCAGGAGACCAGCTGCAGACACCAGAGGATCACCTGCAACCAAGAGAGCAGCTGTTATCAGTAAATAAATAAATCGGGGCAGTTTTAGTGAGCTGAACACATTACAGAATAATTTTCTCATGGGGTATTTTCATAACTTTCTATGCAGCAGATTGTAACTTGAGCCCAGGACTCCTGGAGAGCTGCAATCCAGCACGTTTCAGTGGTTTTCCTGCTTAAACAGGTTAGATTAGCTGTTAAGCAGCTCAGCTATTTGTTGCTGATTAAAACCAGATGTGTTGAAGCAGATAAACCTCTAAAACATGCTGAATACTAGCTCTCTCGGGCCGTGGATCAAAACCCTGCAGCTAATCTGATGCTATGGCTAACGGCTACTTACCATTCAGAGCTGGTTCTGTTGGGTCGGTTCCGCTAGTTTCAGGCAACTCACAAGCTCAAAACAATAAGGCTCAGGTCCGCTTGTCTCCTCCAAATAGACTTGGTCCCTTTCTTCTCGAGTGTCTGTGTAAGGAGGGGGAGAAACGTCCTCCACTTCTAATAACTGCTCAGAGTGAAGGGAGCTAGCTTCGTCTAGTTAGCCATCGTTTCGTCACTGCCGCGGCTCCGCCCTCTCGGTCCTCCAGGCAACGCCTACTAATGTTGCAGTTTTTAAAATTGATACGTGGGTGGAGTAAGACTCTGAGGGGGGCATTACCACTTCTTTAAGTATTACATGAACTAGGTTTATTGCAACCAGTTGACACAACTTGGGTAAGTAAATTCAACATTTCATTTCTTAGAGTACAGCTTTTTGTTTTCATTCTTTTTGGTTTTGTGACCTTTTTCTGGTTTTCTTATATTTGTATTTTTGTTGCGTTTCTGTATTTCTCACTTCTTGCTGCAGTATATACAGATCCCTGCTGTTGTTTCTTTCCCAGTTTTATACAACTTTGCAACTTCCTACATCGTGTGACACGCACACACACACACACACACACACACACACACACACACACACACACACACACACACACACACACGCTTGCTTGATTGCTTGCTCACACACCTATCAACCCCATGACCTGTTCAGATCTTCTGATGACATACTTTTGTTTTATTTCTACACACACAAAACTAAATTAATTTTAGGCATCTCCAGTTTTATTACCTGCACTCACACACCTGTTGTATTTATCACACCTGTTTGTGTTTATCACTTGCCTTCAGATGTTCAGAGGGAGTTTTTCTAAATCTGCTCTTGCATTTTCTTCATTATTTTATCTCATTTGTTTGCATTCTGCTCATGTTTGTGTTGCAGAGCCCTGACGAAAACAGCAGAGGGATTAAATCCAGCATAGCTCTCATCCCAGCAAGCAAAACAGCTACTGGACAAAGCGTCACCTCACCCCTGAACCTGACTTCAACTGTTGCAACGCAAAAAAACATGGAAGCCAAACACTCCCAATATTCTCCCCTCTTTCCATCCTTCCCCCGAAAGAGAAAGCATGACTTATTACAGAAGCAAAATGCCAACAGTCCTCCTAAAATCTACTGCACTAGACGTCCTCGAGCATGGGAACCTCCTGGATCCTCACAAAAGGAGGCAGCAGCAGGAGGAGGCAGACTGAAACCCTCCTGTAAAATCTCAGCCAGTCTCCATGAGGGGGTCAACACGAATGCGCCACAATCTAAAGCTGGCTCCCTCTCTACAACCCTGACCTCTGACCCAAGAGTGAAGGATTCTGGGAAGCTAACCATCGAAGAGAAGCTGCAGATGCTTGAGGAGATCTCACGGGCAGAGGTGGTGTTACTAACCATGGTGTTCCAGGACGGATCCACTCAGTTGGACCCAGAGCAGGTCAGCAGAGAGTGGTCAATAGTACGGTCGTTTAAAAAGCTTCCTGTTTGTCACTACAAATGTGTTTACTACAGAAGCGCCCTCCTCCAGTCTGTGGACTCCTCGTTCTGATGAAGAATGATTGCAACAGCAGCTCACCTGATGGCTCACTCAGCCCAAACAACAGTCTGGTCTTCTTGAAACTTGAGCACACCCCTCTATGGGCTCAACGACAAACCCACTACACCCAGGAGCTCTTTACCAGGTCAGCTGGTGTTTTCTGGAGTTTAGCATCCAGACCGGTTTTTGCATATCTCAGACGTAAACTTTCACACTAAATGGTGTGTTTGTGTCGCAGAGACACGCTCCTACAGGTTCTATCCAGATCCCAGCTGGTGGTTTGTTATAAAGCCAAGGATATGCTTTGTACGGCTCTGCAGCATTACAAAGAAGACCTCAGCTGGAAACGAGGCAAATGCACCTCCACACTCACACACTGCTCAGCAGTAATTCAACATTTACCATTCAGGTTACAGCCACAGGCATGACGGGGTATGAAACTTTCTGTTTTAGATTTCTTTACTTCATTTTGGGCTAACGATGGACTCAAACAAATGATCCAAACCATTCTACACATTCAAAAACACTAAAACAAATAAATAAAGATGGACTTTTTTATATTTTAATCACTCACAAGCAAAACAGCTTCTAAAAGTGTAAAACAAGTCAGTCATCTGTCCCACTGATGGGTGAAGTGACACATACTGTTTTCTTTATCCTTGTTTTCCTCTTTGTTGGGTTTTTGTGCCATTATTATTAACAGGAGGCATTCTGTGTCAAATGATAAACTGTTTTACCTTTATCAGTGGCAGGATGTCGGATCCAGGACCCACAGGTGTCTGGGTGGCTGCTGGATCCCACAGATCCGTCCTCCTGTTACAACAATCTTCTTTACAAACACTGTCAGAAAACGCACGCAGCATCTGTCCCGGGTCCCCAGAAGGTTAGTAGAATGTAAAGGAGCTGATGTCTGTGTGAAATCGACACATTTTCACATTTAACCAGAATAAATTGAAATTAAAGAGATTGCGGATCTTGCAGATATGTTTTATTTAATCTCTTCATTTGGATTTTCCACATTAAAATTTAACCATTTTATTACAAATATCTCGTCACCCCAGCAGCTAACGAACAGCTAACAAGTGAGTGGCTTTTATCTGAGAGGTTTGGGCTTCTCAATAACACAGAATAATTACCAGGATTACATGCATTTAAAAACAAGCAATTTTACAGAGTTTTCTTTTTCTTTTAATCCAGTTTGAAATGAGACAGATCTGTGTTGCTAGCAGCAGAGCAGATTAAGTGACTGATTACACAAATAGCTTCAGAGCAGCAGGCTGGAAAATATTTAAATGTTAATGGTTGCAGGGATGTATTGTCAAACTCATCTTTTTTTTAACAAACCCCCCATTTGTGTTTATTAATCATGAAGTAAATCCTAGCAACCAAATCTTTCTGGGAAATTGAACAAATTCTCTGGGATCTCGATGTTTTTCAGGTTTCTACGATCATCTCAAGCCTCTGCTGGCTCTACAAGCTTAATATGACCTTATGCTGTAAGCTACAGGTTGGCACACACATGCACGCACGCACACACACACACACACCTAACTATATCAGGGTATCCGCGGGTCCTTAAAAAGCCTTAAAAAGTCTTAAATTTGCTTTTCTAAATTTATGGCCTTAAAAATGACAAACAATCCTTAAATACAGTTTCCAAAGGTCTTAAATTACCAAAGACCCAATGAATAAGAATTTCTAGTTAGTCTTCAGCATTTTTTGTGTGTGATGTTGCCGTAAGCGGAACCGTACACATTCAGTTGGTTGTGAAAGGGGGCTATTTTCACATGAGCACATTAGCTGGTTAAGCTAGTGGGAGCTTGCGCCATGGGGAAGTGCAAGTTTAATGGTAACGGGGTGGGTAAACCCACGTTCGTGATGTGGTTAGCACCGGTTCCAGGCAATAGCTGGAAATTATAGCTTAAATTTAATTTAAAAAACAGCTTAAATTTGGTCAAAGTAGCCTTAAAAAAGGTCTTAAAAAGTCTTAAATGTGGCTCCCTTAAACCTGCAGATACCATGTATATGCACATGTTTACATGACTACCTGTGTGTTTTTTTAGAGCCAAGGTTTGTGGGCACTGTACTCAGAAATGGAGCTGAAAATGATCCCTGTTCTGGCAGGTGAGCACCTCAAGCAACCAGTCGTGTCCAAAGTGTGGCCTGAGGGCCCCTTGTGGCCCTCTGAGTTATTCTGTGCAGTCCTCAATGTCATTTGAACAGTAGTATAATTTTGTCTCTACCGCTGGCCCTTGGTGAAGACAGAAGCTTTAGAACGTTTTCATGTTCCAGTGAATTTGAACAGTTTTAAATGCGAAAAGTTAAGTCTAATCCAAAGTGTTTGTCTTATTAACTAGACTTTTCTGTCTTTTATAGTAAAACCAACTACACACCCTCACTGACCTTTACTTAAAAGCAGACTTGTGAGAAACTCCTAAATTTTGACTAAATCGCACAAACATGACAGAAAGAAGAGTGACTTGGATAATTTTTCTTGTAGCTGATAATGAACCAAAGTGTGTTTTAATGCCCCAAAAAAGTAGAATAAACATCTACCAATCGATCAAATCTCATTAACCCTCTGCAGGCAGGTGTTGCAGACTTGCAACGTTAAAACCTACCTACCTGGTTACTCCATGTACGTATTTCTGTCATGAACTCCTCCTCCTGACCTCCTCCGCGGGCCTGGAGGGTGCTGCACTCCATCTCCCAGCATCCCCGTCACCGACGCAACACGGTGACGTCATCCCGCTGAACCTATTTAAGAACCTCTCACAGCTGAGCCGGCACTCAGTCATCATCTAACGATAGACACCAACTCATTCCAAGAACTAAAACACTAAACTCTACGAACTCTGAAAACCATACGGGAAGAGATCTTCCCACGCTGCCACATAACAGTCACCATCCAACACCAGTCTCTCCGCGCCTGGATCTCATAGCCACACTCCAGCTCAGCCCACCGAACCTGACAGGATGACTGAGTCCCGAGTAGACCCAGCAGAGATCGCACAGCTGCGAGCTGAGGTTGCATAGCTGCTCAGCCGAGTAGAACGCCAGGAGGCGGACAACGCCCAACTTCGTTTGGAGAACAATCAGCTGCATACTGTTACTGATCGCGTCGCATCCAAACTCGATTCCGTCACCGAACTGGTCGTCCAACTCTCCTCAGCCCTCCAACGACAGTCATCTGCCACTCCTAACGTTGTGGAGCTGTATCTAAGTCTCCCAGAGAAATGGGATGGGATTAAAGGATCCCCGGAGGGCATGTTGGCCATCCTGTCAATGACTTTTGAGTGTCAGCCGGCACGCTACCCGACTTCCTGCTCTCGCGTGGCTCTGTTAACCTCCCTGCTGACCGGGCGAGCCGGTGAATGGGCAGCTGCTCTGTACCATCAGAAGTCCCCAGTCTGCAACGACTATGAAGCCTTCGTGAAAGAACTGAAGAAGGCATTTGTTCATCCCAGCAGCGAGGTCGCATACGAGACACGCCTGCTCCAGCTTTGACAGGGCTCTCAGACCGTGGCCGAGTACACCTCACGCTTCCGGACCACCGCTGCCCGTCTAACCTGGGGTGATGCCGCAGTGAAGGCTGTGTACTTGGAGGGATTGTCACCCCGCATCCGTGAGGGCATGATCGGACACGAGGCTCCAACCACCCTGGACCAGGAGGTGGACCTGGCTCTCCAGCTGGACCGCTGCCTCCTCACCAGACCAGGAGTGAGGACGGTTCCCGTACAATCCAGAACTTTCCCCCGCCGTCAGGAGAACCAACCCATGGAGGAACCCATGCAACTGGGTCGTTTGCCCCCCAAGGAACGGGCGTGCCGTTTTCAGGAGGGACAATGCGCCTATTGTGGGGCTCTGGGTCATCCCCGTGCAACATGCCCCATACGCCCGGGAAACGGTCCCTCCGGGTCGGTGTAGGAGCTGCCTCACTCGGAGTTTCCACTCATGCAGCTCCTCATCACACCACCCTCCCGGTCTCTTTCCAGCTGAACCAAGGACCAGTCACCCTGGTGGCTCTCCTCGACACTGGAGCTGCAGAAAGCTTTATCGACCAGGAGTTGGTCAACCGGCTCAAGATTCCACTCACCCTCCTCGATCACCCCGTTCCCGTCACCTCATTGGACGGTCGCCCTCTCATGCCATATCCGATCACGCACCGAACCCCGAAACTCCGGATGACCACCGGAGAACACGTAGAGACCCTTCATTTCCTGGTCATTCACGCCCCCACTACTCCTCTCATTCTGGGTCATTCCTGGTTCCGCCTCCACGACCCTCACATCTCCTGGTCCACCAGTAAAGTCATGGCGTGGGGTGTTAACTATCGCCTTCATCATCCGTCTCCAGGATCACAGCCTAGGGCGACACCACCCAAGGATGTGGATTTAACACTCCTTCCACCCCAATACCACGATCTGGCTCGGGTCTTTGCAAAGGAGCCTACCACCAGGCTGCCTCCTCATCGACCCTACGATCTGGAGATCAGGCTTCAGCCCGGAACCACCCTGCCTCGGAGTCGGCTGTTCTCGCTCTCCCCGGCAGAGACCCAGGCCATGGACGCTTATATCAACAAGGCTCTCCAGAAGGGGTTTATCCGCCATTCCACGTCTCCTGGAGCGGCAGGGTTCTTCTTTGTGAAGAAGAAGGAGGGTGACCCTGTATAGACTATTGTGGGTTGAATAAGATCACCATCAGGGACCGCCATCCTCTTCCTTTAATGAGCACGGCTTTGGACGTCACCGCCCAAGCCACACTGTTTACAAAGCTGGACCTCCGTAGTGCATACAACCTCATCCGCATAAAGGAGGGAGAGGAGTGGAAAACCGCTTTTATTACACCCACTGGACATTATGAGTACCTAGTCATGCCCTTCGGCCTCTGCAACAGCCCTGCCGTTTTTCAGCGTTTCATCACTGATGTCCTCCGTGACATGCTGGGTCGTTGGGTTTTTGTTTATTTAGACGACATCCTCATCTACTCCCGCACGGCCGAGGAACACACCCAGCATGTTCGAGCCGTTCTGTCACGCCTCCTGGAGCACGACTTATTCTGTAAACTGGAGAAGTGTGCCTTTCACCAGGAGTCCACCTCGTTTCTGGGATTCATCTTCTCCTCCCAGGGCCTGCGCATGGACCCACAGAAGGTTCAGGCGGTAGCGCAGTGGCCACTACCCAAGACCCTGAAGCAGCTGCAGAGTTTCCTGGGGTTCTGCAACTTCTACCGCCGGTTTATCCGCAATTTCAGCGCCCTGGCGTCACCATTAACTTCCCTGACTAAAGCAACCAATCAGCCTCGCCCTTTCCGCCTCTCCCGGAGGCCGTCGCTGCCTTCCATGAGCTGGTCCGCCGCTTTGTAAGCGAGCCCATCCTCCTCCACCCGGACCTAACACGGCCTTTCGTTGTGGAGGTGGACGCCTCTGAGACGGGCACGGGAGCCGTACTGTCACAACGTGGCCAGGACTCCAAACTCCATCCCTGCGCATTCTTTTCCCGGAAGTTCTCTCCTACTCAGCAGAACTATGGGGTTGGGGACCGGGAATTGTTGGCGATAAAGTGGGCCCTGGAGGAGTGGCGACAGTGGCTCCTGGGTACCCCCACTCCTTTTCTAATCTGGACTGATCATCAGAACCTCATCCATATTCAGACCGCTCGCCAACTCAACCCTCGTCAGGCCCGGTGGGCCCTCTTTTTCGAACCTTATAACTTTCACATTGCCTACCGCCCCGGCTCCAAGAACCTCAAGGCGGACGCCCTTTCCCGTCAGCACACCCAGGACCCCAGGCCTCCTGAACCGTCGTCCATCCTCCCGACCGAACGGTTCTTGGCCGCCCTACAATGGCCACTAGAAGCCTCCATCCGGGCGGCCCTCCCGGCGGACCCGGCACCCCCAGAGACGCCTCCTAACCGCCTTTACGTTCCGGCCGTGTGCCGACAGGAGGCCTTGAGCTGGGGGCACTGTTCATGGCTCGCGGGGCACCAAGGCCAGGCTCGTACCCTCCAGTTCCTCCACCGGGCCCTGTGGAGGCCCTTTATGAGAAAAGATGTGCGCGAGTACACTGCTGCATGCGACACCTGCGCCTGGTCCAAGTCCTCCACCCAGCCTGGGGCCGGGGAATTACAACCGCTCCCTGTGCCCAAACGGCCTTGGTCGCATATAGGTGTGGACTTTGTCACGGGGCTCCCCGCTGCCGATCACCTGGACACCATCCTCACCATCACTGACCGTTTTTCGAAAGCTGTGCATTTAGTGGCTATGGCAGGGCTCCCCACGGCTAAGAGAACGGCGGAACTCCTCCTCGAGCATGTGGTGAGGCTCCACGGATTTCCCCAGGACGTGGTGTCTGACAGAGGACCCCAGTTCATCTCACGGTTCTGGAAGGCTTTCTGTCGGTTGGTGGGTGCTTCTGCCAGTCTGTCGTCTGGTTATCATCCCCAGACTGATGGTCAGACGGAGAGGGCAAACCAGCAGCTCGGGCGCTACTTACGCTGCTTCGCCTCGTCTCAACCATCCACCTGGCCCCGCTACCTCCTGTGGGCGGAACTCACTCACAACCTCCAGACGTCCTCTGCCACGGGTCTGTCACCCTTCGAGACCTGTTATGGATACCAGCCCCCTCTTTTCGACCATCAGGTGCCGGAGGTGGTGGTTCCGGCGGCTCAGGATATGGTTCACCGCTGCCATCTCGCTTGGATCAGGGCTCGCGCCGCCATCACCCGAGCGAACACGGAATACTCCCGACAACATCGTCACCGTCCCGGCCCTGTGTTCCAGCCTGGTGACCGGGTTTGGCTCTCTACGTCCAATCTACGGTTGCCGGCTGGTGCCCGGAAGCTGTCTCCCCGCTTTTTGGGTCCCTTCCAAGTCCGTGATGTCATCGGTCCGGTCACTTACCGGCTGCGCCTTCCTTCCACTCTCAGGGTGCATCCTGTATTCCACATCTCTCAGCTCAAGCCGGTGGTGTTGTCTCCCCTCCATCCGCCTCCGGTCCGGGTTGATGGGGACCCCGTTTACACCGTCCGCAAGATTCTGGATGCCCGCCGCCGGGGTCGTGGATGGCAGTATCTGGTGGACTGGGAGGGTTACGGGCCGGAGGAGCGTAGCTGGGAGCCTGCCCGCTCGTTCCTGGATCCGTCCCTGTTGGCTGATTTCTGGTCTCGTCGCCCTGGGCCTTCTGGGGCCGTCCCTCGCGTGCGGTGGGGGGGTGGGGGGTCTTGTCATGAACTCCTCCTCCTCCTGACCTCCTCCGCGGGCCTGGAGGGTGCTGCACTCCATCTCCCAGCATCCCCGTCACCGACGCAACACGGTGACGTCATCCCGCTGAACCTATTTAAGAACCTCTCACAGCTGAGCCGGCACTCAGTCATCATCTAACGATAGACGCCAACTCATTCCAAGAACTAAAACACTAAACTCTACGAACTCTGAAAACCATACGGGAAGAGATCTTCCCACGCTGCCACATAACAGTCACCATCCATCACCAGTCTCTCCGCGCCTGGGTCTCATAGCCACACTCCAGCTCAGCCCACCGAACCTGACAATTTCATGAGCATTTTTTTTAACTCAGTAGTACCCCTGAAGGACTTAGTTGTTCGTCCTTTTATCAAAACTTATTTTGAGCCTGAGAGGGTTAAAGCAGAAATCTGGAGTTTTTCTTAGATAGCACCATCTAGAGGTGAAAATAAGTATCACACCTTGAGCCCCTCTCTATACTTCTATTTTTACAGCCAAAAGCAAAACCTCTCAATTGTGATTGCACACCTCTAGCCAGCCATCAGAGCGAAGACGTTTTACAAATATTATTCTCAATTCAAATTACATGTACCTCTACGGGGTGCTTAGCAAAACAAAAAAAAACGCCTGCATTATAACGGATCTATCACTTCGATAGATTTCTAAGAAATCATACATTATTAATGAAACAGGGAAAACTCTGGATTTCTGCTTTAAAGCTATCTTAAATCTACAAAGTTAAACAACAAATGACAGTTCTAATCAATATTATTGAACAGATACAGTTAAAAAAATGGAAAATAATTATTTTGAAAAGTGTGGACACCACAGCATTAAACACAAAGTCACTTTCAAATGTAATATGTTTTTGATCCTGTGAGATGTTGGTGAAAAAACAACCAAATTACCAGAACTAAACTTTAATCACCCCTAAATTAAACTTAAATTAAACTTTTAGTGAAACTTGATTCCATTCCATTCCATTTCATTTATAAAGCACATTTCTACACGGCCGAGGCCGACCAAAGTGCTGCACAGTAAAAGAGCATAAAAATCAACACACGGGAAGAAGTAATAAAAGAAGTACAGTAACTACTATAAAAAACTATAAAAATGAAACAAAAACATCATAAAATGCTAACTAGGCTGAAGAAAAAGCCAAGGAATAAAAAGGAGCCTTCAGGGGTGATTTTAAATCCGAGAGAGAGGAGGCCATTCTCACTGCTAGAGGGAGTTGATTAAAGAGACAAGGCACACAGACTGAGAAAGCTCGTTCTCCTCGCGTCCTCACCCGAACACTTGGGACCTGTAACAGGCGGTGGTCTGCTGACCGAAGAATTCGACCAGGTACGTAGGGCTGAACCAAGGGAGGCTCAACCCGGGAGTACCAAAAATTGCAGTTCCACCCTCATCCGCTGGGCGCTGGTGTCAGAAACGAGCAAATTCTCATTGACTCCCATGTTAAAAATACCAATTTCACAGCAGAAATAAACATGTTTACAGCCTGGTACCAAAACATGTTTTTGGTTTAAATGATCTAGTTTGCACTCATGACAACTCTGAGGGGGGTGAATTTTTTCTCACTCTTCTGTTTAAGTGTATTAAAAGCCTAAAATTCTGTATAATTAATGAGCATCAGACCCACGTGACCACAGAGCTAGCTCCGTGGAAAGGCCTCAGTAGAGCCTCGGTCTCTCCTGGAAACTGTTCTGGGATTTTGAGTCTCTGTGTTTGGGTATTCTTTTTTGGATATTATTTGTGCAATTGTTGGACAAAATGACTTGCTGTGGCATTAATTGCACTAATAGAGCGTCCAAGGAGTCTCCACTTCATTTTTTTCGGTAAGTAAAATTATATTTATGTATTTTAGGTCACTGCCGAGCTGAGCTTAGATTTTAACATGTACTGTTTAACCATGAAATTTAAACGTAATAGGGTAACACCCAGTGCATTTAACATAATGCTGCACTTTAGAAAATGGGTTGAAATATAACATGTTGGTGGAGCTGGGTTCCGACTATCGGCTTGTGGAGCTCTCGGGAGACCGATGTTTTCCACCCGTTTCTCCCCTCCCTGCAGCTCGGCGCATCTCTGTCTGATCGCGGCTTTAGTCTGCTGCGCAGGCTGCCGGCTTGTGGAGCTCTGGGATGGAAACCTTTCCACCCGGTTCTCCCCAGCGGCAGCTCTGCGCATCTCAGATCGCAGCGGCGCTTGTCTGCTGTGCGGCTGCCGGCTTTTGGAGCTCTGGGATGGAAACCTTTCCACCCGGTTCTCCCCAGCGACAGCTCTGCGCATCTCAGATCACAGCGGCGCTTGTCTGCTGTGCGGCTGCCGGCTTGTGGAGCTCTCGGGAGACCTCTGTGTTCCACCCGGTTTTACCCAGCGGTCAGCCCGGTGTATCTCTGACTCAGAAGCTCTGGTGTTGTGCACAGTTAACTCCAGTTGTAGCTAGGTTGCTACCTCCGTTAGCTTAGCTCCCACCTCCGCATTAGCTTTGGGTTAGCTTCAGGTTAGCTTGTAGCTAGTTTGACTGGGTGTTGTCAGTTGATCCCAGCCTTACAGCCTCACCCTCAGCTCCTCCTCTTCCCTTTTTTGGAATTGTCTGGGCTTGACGGAACCTGTGACATGGTCAAAATGGCGGTGGTGGCCACCTCCCATTTTAGTACAAAAACTTATTATTGGAGCATATGGAAACCCATTGTCCAGTATATGTATGTCAATGGGCTGAACCAGCTGAGTCAAGAGGCACATAAAGATAGAGTGACTTAAAAACAAGAAGTAAAAATTTAAACTGGATGTGGTAGCGCGCCAGGAGCCAGTGCAGCTGGGCCAGAAGAGGAGTAATGTGCTCCCTCCTTCTGGTGTCTGTAGATGTAGAAGTGATATTCCATATCTGAGGTATTAGCAGGAGTTTTATTAAATCACCTGTGCACATCATTGAATTGTTACACTGCAAACCACTTCATTGCCTCCATATAAACTTATTTTTTTCTTATATTTCTACCCAAACAGAAAAAACACACAACAAAAAATTTGATGGCCAACACAAAACTGGTATTTTGTCCAAATTTACTCAGTCATTTGTCTCATACAGTATGTTTCCCAATCTGATGCAAGTTGTCCCTCAATTTAATTAGATATGTTCATTTTTCCATTTCTTGTATTTCCTGTTACTTCCACCCACTGATTCTGTGTAGGAGCGTCTACTTCCAGACAATTATTAGCGACGACCTTCTTCCCGGCAGCAATTCAGATCTTTACCAGATTTACCACCACAAACATCTTAAGAGTTTCAGGTTTTCAGATCTTGGATGAGGATGTGTGTGTGCGTGTGCGTGTGTGTGTGTGTGTGTGTCAGGTTTAAACCCCTAGACACCATACACAAAGAAGAAAAGAGACACAAAAAGTCAGAATTCTGTTTATGCTCGAGGAGAATGGAATAAGGTCCGACCAGCTCAGTCTGCACTGGGCTGGCAGGTCCTCCAAAACCATTCTGCCTTTGGAATCCAAGCGTCCTCTATTTATTACAAGCTGGGAGTTCCCTAGTTACACGTCTGATGAGCTGATCTGAAGGGTGGGGGAAACACAGCTCTCAGTATTCAGTAATTGTCACAAGTTTCACACAATGAACATTCAGTTTTTCTAATCAGTGTCTGATCACACGATGTGCAACACAGACAGTTGCACGAGTCAGCAGTTGTCCAAGTCAGCAGGTGTCCTTGGGTCACATCAGGTCAGAACCAAGGTTTAGCATCCTTAAAGTCTCACGAGGAGACTTCAAAACAATACAGCAACTGTCCAGCTTAAAATGGTAAAATCTTTAAATGTAATAAAAGCATAAAGCAAGATAAAAGATACACATACAGTATAATTATCTTAACAGTGTGTGTGTGTGTTTTTCAGTCATGGAGAGCCATCACATCCACGTGGATAAAGAAGCCCTGAAGAAAACATCCGACTTGCTCGGGGTAAGGTAGCATCACTACACAAACCGTTACCAGTAATTAAAGCAGGATCGTTTTTTTATAGCATAAGATAAATTATATTACCTTAAATGCCCACTGAAGTACATGTGAATGTGCAGATATGTAGAAATAGAGATTATGCTGAAGAAAACATGTAATCTTTGTTAAATTTACTGATTTTAGGTTATTTTGAATTAACTTGATGACATCAGTCAAACTTAATTTAAACTGATGTTGAGTGCAGAGAGCCCTCTGGGGGAAGAAGTGAAAAATAATCCCAAACCCATGAAACCAAGATAAAAAATAAAAATTGTCTTCTCCTGTTTGGTAGTAGGAGTGGGAATTCTCCAGAATCCTGTCCTGATTCTAGAAAGATAAAAATGAATCATGATCAGATGGACGTCCCAAATAGTAGCAGCAAACACGAGCCCTTGAAACGCTCTTACAGCTGCTGGAAGCACCAGCAGGGCCGGTGTTGTGGATGCCAGCTCAGGATCCCACCATGCTTCTACAAATAGATCAGACCGTCTCAGTAGTTTTGTTTCGAGATGCATGAAAAAACATGTCTGTTGTCACAAACATCAGGCTGTATTTTTTTGCATCTGAGTCTCAAACAGTCTCGGTTTTGAAGTTAAGTGATGAAATTCAGACTAAAAGGCTTGAAGAATTGATGAAGGAGTCTGAAACCTGCTTAAGGTGACGAGTGAGACAGGAGGAAAAGTACAGATATACGTGTAATAACCTAGTTTCCCTCCTTTGGTACCCGTCTCTCTGCTTTGGCTCACAGCTCTGTCTGTGTTTGCTGTTTCCTCTTTTCTCTGTTTATTGTTTTGCTTTATCTCCTCATCCATTCTTCCCCACATCATCTTCTTTGTTCTTGGCTATTTTCTTCTCTTTCTAGTTGTCAACAGCTTTAACTTCACTTGTGTGTGCCACACATTTTATTAGGAGATTAAGACTTTATAAATTTTTATAACTGCCAATCTATGTGCTGAATTTTACATATTTATCAAACATTTTCTTATTTAATTGTGATTTTTTGTTTGTTTGTTTTCTCCTTTGTTATTGATGTTGGTCTTATTTCTTTCTAAATAATTTCTGTTCCTTTGATCTCTCTACTCTTTATTCTCCCTACACTTCCTGTCTCCCGGTGCCGTCATGGAAAGCCAAGTCCATGCCTTATGCATGAGTGGATCAATAATTCATCCTTTTTGTCGTTTGTATTAGTATGATGATGTAGAGTATCTGTCATGTGCGTGGGTGAGTGTGTGTGTTTTAATGTAGAGACAGTTGACACGTTTTCTCTCATACCCTTCATGTTTTGGCTGAAGTGTTAAGAAATAGGTTCAGCATAAAACTTATGGAAGCAGAAATAAAAATACAATCTTGTATATTTTGAGACTAAGCAGTGGAGATCAACCACTATGGGGTTTTCTGCTGCCGATACCATGACATCTGAATCGATTCGGTACTAAATCCCGGTACCTAGGAATCGATACCGGTACTTAACGGTACCAATTTTAGATACTTTTGAGTGTTTAATGTTTTACTTTTCTCTTTTATAATTAAATATATATTTTTCTCAATATATAACAATATTTGATAAATATCACGATAAATAACATACAACTGTTTGTATTTTAACATCGTCCTTGTAGTTTTATAAGCTGATAATTAAACTGAAGCAAACATCTTTACTGTGAACTAAATTTACAGTGTATCTTCATTCCTTTTGCCGTCCTTTTTCATTTGATTTTTTTCTACTGGAAAGTTAGAATTTCCGAGGAGAAAGCGAACGCATCATTAGCTGATAACAATGGTGGCAATGGAAGCTAACATATCAAGCTAACGTTATCTTAAACAGTTTATATAGCTGCTGGAGCAGATTAAAACGATGATGCCTCACACTTAAATCGTTGTCGCTGGTTTCATCATCACCAAGTTACGCATAACATTTAGTGAAGTGGACCTAAGCTTTAGCGTGCGTTCTTTCTACCTGTTTACAACTGGCTCGCAGCGACCGACGACATAACGCTCTTGCGCATGCGCAGCTGTCTAGGCAAGTTCTCATTATGAAGGACGGGTACCGAAACGAGTCACCGTTTCAAATGACGTGAATCGGTGCTCAGTCGGTACTGTGGAATTCGGTCCCTTAAAAAGTACCGAATTTGTTACCCATCGCTAGCCGATACAGATGATGAAATGTAGAGGTCATAGATGGCCGATATGTGCTGCAGATTTTTTGGGCTGATATCTAGATTGGGTCATACCAAAGACTTTAAAAATGGGAGCCAGTGCCTCTCCACGTGACACTCAGCTTGAAAGGGTTGGATTGGGGTTAAATAATCAAATAGTCTTCTAAGATCGACTGTGTCTGCAGGTCATCTGTCACGCTGAGGGTTGGAGGAGTAGGACCTACCCAGAATGACACGAAGCAGGGCATGGACGTAATTTTAAGGGGGGACAGGGGGGACATGTCCCCCCCACTTTTTCCAAAGTCATGTTTTGACCCCTGCACGTTTTACCATCCAAAAACAATATTACGCTATATTAAATTGACACTGGTTGAGCTCTAGGACCAAGTGGAAAACAACCGTTTGTGTTGAAGCCTGTTTCCCATTAGAGCAGGGATTCCCAAAGTGAGCTGCTGCTAGGGGGTGCACGAGGTGAAAAGTGTAATGGCTGCAGAGCTCAGAGAAGTCTGTCATGTGTCACCATTATTGTAGAAACTCATTTGTGGGTGGACCAAAGAAAAAGTAAGTGGGCACAATAAATGTAATTGAAAACAAGTATATTTTTGCGCGTGCGCGTGTCCTCCACATGTGCCTTAGCTTCATAATAACAATGCGTCGAACTTCAGCACTCTGGTCTGCGCACGCCGATATGTTCTGTATTTGATCATTTTTAACGGTGTTGAAGAAATCTGAAGGTGGCGAGTCATTCTGGCAGATTGTAATTAACACCCTGTCTCATGCAGGTGTTCTGACATTGTAAACCTCACACACAGAACATTGTGGATGTAACAAAATAACAAGAAATGATTCCCATTCAGGCTATGGACAGCGCGCTGAAGATCTGAAGTTCAAAGTGCGTCTGTCAGATCAGACACGTTCCAGCGGAACCACGGCTCACGGGTGCACATGTGAGCACATCTGGGCTGGGCAGAAGTTTAAATAGCGCCAATAACGAGACGCGGTGACTTGAGCGGGAAATCTGGTGAGAGCTGGAGGCAAGAAAGGGCACAGGAAGCTTAAGGGGAGAACCTGGAGTGGGCAGGGGAATGAGGGACACAGAACCTGAGGGCACACCTGGAGGGAGAACCTGGAGGGGGCTGTAGACAAGGGGACACATGAGGATAACAAGGAGACACATAAGGAGAACCTAAAGAGGGATGGAAAACACAAGGAGACACATGAGGGAGACGCAGGACGCAGACCATGACAGTCATCGCCCCCAACGGGGATGGGTCAAATGCAGAGGACAATTTTCACCACACCACACTAGTGTGTGACAACTATGGGACTTCAATCTTTTATGCTAAAATGTCACTAGTAACAGTATACACAACATTTCTCATCCTGAATGAGTTTTTGAACTTTGAATTTAGCCAATTGTTCAGTGTTTAAATCAAACATTTAACAAAAATGTATTATATTTATTAATAATTAATGGTTAAATTGAAATCAAATCAAATCAAGCTTTATTTATAAAGCACCTTTTATGCACAGGAAGCAACACAAAGTGCTTAACAGATTAAAATGGCCCATATAACCCACGTTCCCTCCCTTTCCCACATTTAAAACAATTGTGACAGTTTCACCCCAATCCACAAACCATTCCCAGGCGCACACACACACACACTTGTACACATAACACATTAAAATACCACAGTAAACACCAGGCTGAGCTCAGATTGGACATGTAATGAAAAAACAGGTGAATAAAAAGAAACATCAGTTGAAAATGCTTGACAGCATTTATTGAGCTGATGTTTTTCAGGAACATAAAATATATATTTATACTTCTGCAGCAGCACCAGGCTGCCTGACTTTAAATCAGCTTTACAAAAGAGGTACATTGGCCGCTACCATCCAGCCATTTTCTTCCACTTTTCCGGGGTCGGGTCGTAGGGGCACCAGCCTAAGTCGAGAGGCCCAGACTTCCCTCTCCCCAGACCAGACACAGGCCAGTTCTTCCAGGGGAATCCCAAGGCGTTCCCTGGCCAGGTAAATCAATCAATCAAAGATACTTTATTAATCCCAGAGAGAAATTAGAGTTTCAGTACACACAATTCAGAGATCAGACATACATGGGCAAGACACATGACAAGAATTGGTGACTGTGGTCATTCACAATCCTGAGTCGCGCTACCTTAATAGAGATAAGAGGGTTACATGAGGATTGGTTCAGGTGGAGGGAAAAAAAGGCACTTCAGAGTTACGCTGGGGACACACCGGCCGCGGAAACGCCGAGAAGCGAATCGCTCACGAAATTCGGCCGCTGCTCGCCGCTCCTTAGTTCAGATCAGACACGCCCCAGTCAAGGCGCGCCTTGGCTCAGCTGTAGTTTTTCTTTTAAACACTTGGTGTCCTCCATTTCCTCTCTGCCTTTTCTCAGCTCTTTTCCTCTACGTTTGAGTGTGTGTGTGTGTGTGTGTGTGTGTGTGTGTGTGTGTGTGTGTGTGTGTGTGTGTGTGTGTGTGTGTGTGCGTGTGTGTGTGTCTGAACCTATGGTATGAGTTGTTTCTGCCAGTTGAATCTCTTGGAACCCGCTCCAATTCTGCAGCTGTATCCTAGCAGTTTCCTCCGAAATGGGTACGTAAACAATCATGTTTTTCGGGGGTCGTACAGCTCCTTGTGTTTCTCAACTTCCATAATTAATTTAAAGTCTTCCATCTTAACTGCTTGCCTCAGACTTTCTGCCTCTCTGTCCTGTTTGCTCCGGTGAAAAGACACCCAAAACCACACACCCCTTCACGTGGTCACACACACACACAAGTTCAATGTGTGTGTGTTCGTGTGGTTTTTCTGCAGTGTCTGATTACGAACACATTTGACTATTGCGGAATTTTATTTTGAAATGCTTTATTTTCTTAACTTTACCGGCCTGCCTCTTATGTCTAGGTTTGACTTCCTGCCAGAATTGACACTATTCACTCGCGGCTCGTGAAAAAAATAAAGCCAACGCCGAAATGATCGCTGCACGGCGCGGGCTGGAGCGCCGGCTCGAGGCGATTCGCGGCGCTTCGACGGCCCATGTGGTCTATAGAATAGCTTTACAAGGGCGCCGAATGAAGGCGGTCCCATTTTCGCGGCGCTTCCGCGGTCGGTGTGTCCCCGGCGTTACCCTCCACAGGGAGGGCAGCTTTGCTATGCAAAAACCACCTCAGACAGATATGCAACAGACTTCAGACAACACAACATAAGTGTCCACTAGGTGGGGTGGTGGGTTGGGACTATCCCCACTTCAGTTCCTGCAGCCACGATAAGCAGCGCATGTCACCTCAGTGTGGATAGGGGGAGGAGCATTGAGGGTTGGAGGGTTGCAGTGACCCTGGAACGTTTCAGTGGCCTTCCCGCAGTCCCGTCCAGGCTGGGATAGGAGACAGAGTTGAGTTGCCATAGTGACGGCACATTCCACATATCTTCTGAGGGGGGAGTTTTCGTTGGAGCCTTGCAGACTCAAGGGCGCCAGATTCCGATTAGAAATTGTTTTGGGGCCAGACAGAGATAATTTCCTCTCTGTCTTACAGTTTGTGTGTCCTCAACCTCTCAAAATCCCAATAATGGACATTAAACTATCCCAATCTGTGCTGATTCGTCCACTCTCTCCTTGATGGCATCCATCTTTTGTGCCAAAGCATGAATCTCAGCCAAAGATCCAAGCTTACGACTCATCTCGACAATTATGCGAGTCTGTGAATTTACAGGGCGGTGCAAGCCATCTCTGAGCTCCGGGATCAGGCCAATATTCCTCGACAGTTCGTTAATTTTCCGGTAAGCCAGGTAGCCTCCAAGGCCAATGAGCAGGAAACCTGACACCAACACCACGAATATCCACATGTCTTCATTGTCCTCCACAGACAGCTGAGATAAATAGATCAAGTTCCACTGTTTCCAGGAGTCCATGATGTGTCCAACTGGGTCTGTCCCAGCGAGGCATCCGGGAGCCCCTTCTCCTGTTCTCATCGTTGAAAAAAATGTATCAATCGTGTTGAGTGATCAACTGACGAGATCCATTTTAGTGAATTTCAGTTTCCAGAAAAAATGCAGAAGCAGCCATGCATCCAGCACACAGACAGACAAAGGGCCTTGAGGATAAGATATGGAGGAGAGGAGGAAAAAAGCGTCTGCACCCTCCAAGAAGAAAAAGGTGAGAGACATAGTCCCTCCACCGTGTCCTGGGTCTACCTTTAGGTCTCCTCCCAGTTGAACGTGCCTGGAAAACCTCACCAGGGAGGCGTCCAGGAGACGTCCTGACCAGAAGACTGATCCAGCTCAACTGGCTCCTCTCGATGTGGAGGAGCAGCGGGTCTACTCCGAGCCCCTCTCGAATGATCGAGCCTCTCACCCTATCTCTAACAGAGATCCTAGCCACCCTGCAGAGAAAACTCATTTTGGTCGCTTGTATCCACGATCTCATTCTTTCGGTCACTACCTAAAGCTCGTGACTATAGGTGAGGGTAGGAATGTAGATCGACCGGTAAATCGAGAGCTTCGCCTTCTGGCTCAAAAATGGCCAAATTGGTCAGTCCGTCTTGAGCAGTGCCCAAAATTAATTTTAATAAGTTGGTTAAATTCAGAGTTCCCAAACTGGTTCAGGAGTATAAATGTTGTTCGTCTGCTGTTGTTATTGGTGTTATTTTAGCATGAAAACGAGGTAGAAACCATCTAGATATCGGTCGTGAAAATGGGCTCAAAAATCGGCTGACCATGACGTGTGCATATCAGCATTGGTATCAGGAATAGAAAAACCCATTTTGGTCAATCAGAGCTGAAGTTGTGGTTTGTTCAAACCTACACATGGAGAAGTGAAAATAACAGCTTTGTGGTTCTGTGTGTGGCAGACTAAAATGAAACAGCTGGAGCAAGAGGCACACAGAGCAGCGGGACAAATATTCCTGTTGACCAGCAGCACTCAGCTACGAACAGTATGGATCTGTAGTTGTAGTTGCTGTACCGTTTTATGGTTTACATATCTCGATGTTAGTGTTTTCATCATGCACCGTCTGAAGGTTCTGTTCGAGAAGCTGCACCTCCATGAGCGCTGTGAGAACAAGAAGCTGCCCAAGACCCTCAACAAACAACAGTCAACATCAGAAGCTGCTGTACGACAAAGAATGATACACACACACACACACACACACACACACACACACACACACACACACACACACACACACACACACACACACACACACACACACACACACACACACACACACACACAGAGACAAGCCAGTTTTACCCTCACATCTTCTCACAAACATTTCTGGTGAGGTTTTCGGGGCAGCAGTGAATGTTTGTTTTGTTGCAGCTGCTGCAGCTTCAGGAGCTACACCCTCTGCCAAAGATCATTCTGGAGTACAGACAGGTCAGTTTTGTTCCCTGACAATCAAAGTCACATTTGCTTTGTTGTTTAAGAAAGAATCTGCTGTCACCGACTTGCCTTCTTGTGTAAATTAATAATGTTGTACTGGCCACTGAAAACAGTTTCACCCTGAGAAAAGCTGGTTTAACACGTCATGAACTTAGACACACCTTCTTACATCTTCACAGCCCAACACACTCCAACATCAGTATAAATAAACGTTATTTGTGGTAATGCTATCCACAGAAAAACTTTAGCTTGAACTAATGCTAACACTAGCCTGAGCTGCTAATGCTAGCCTGACAATCTGCTAACAAGCTTGTTTAACAAGAGGATAACAATATGCTGGTGAAGGTTCTCAATCATCCAGGTCATGGTAATCCAAAAGGGTTCAAATGAAGGCAACTGGACTTCTCTGTTTTTTTTGAATACGTTTCGCTTCTCATCGTTCTCCGCAGCAGGGCTGGGCTCTCGCTTAGAGATAGGGTGAGAAGCTCAGTCATCCGGGAGGGGCTTGGAGTAGACCTGCTGCTCCTCCAGAATGTAAATAGTTCTACGATCTTTGGTGGATCGTCATTATATTATATTCCTTAACGATCTTATATCGATAAGAAGATTTTGTTAAAAAATGACTAACGTCAGCCGATACAGATGTTGATGCCAGTGTGTATCTCTCGTTTGTACAGACTGTTTGAAGTGTGTTAGTATGGCGTGGAATGGGGGTCAAAATTAAGACTACTGCCCAGCAGCAGGAGGCTATATAAATTCCAAAGCAAACTACCGATCTGATTAATGATAAGCTGGCGCTGGTAACTGAGAGGCTGGCGCTGCTTACTGAGGAATAGCACCTTTATCGGCGTTACTACTAGATACGCTAGGGACTAGCAGCCCTCGGCTGGTCATTGACTGGTTCAAACACTCCCTCTGCTGTCTATTAGCATGGATAGGCTAGCGTTAGCCTGGACGGGCTGGCGTTAGCATTGGCGAGGCTAGCCATTAGCGTGCCTAGGCATGCCACTAGCTGGATTTCCTACCTCCTTGACGGACCTTAAGCATGGATAGGCTGGCATTAGCATCGGAGAGGCTAGCCATTAGCATGTCTCAGAGAGTCACTAGTCAGCTAGTGGCCAGCCTAGGCACGCTAATGGCTAGCCTCTCCAATGCTAACACCAGCCCGTCCTGGCTAACGCTAGCCTATCCATGCTAATAGACAGCAGAGGGAGTGTGTGAACCAGTCAATGACCAGCCGAGGGCTGCTAGTCCCTAGCGTATCTAGTAGTAACGCCGGTAAAGGTGCTATTTCTCAGTAAGCAGCGCCAGCCTCTCAGTTACTGGCGCCAGCTTATCATTAATCAGATCGGTAGTTTGCTTCAGAATTTATCTAGCCTCCTGCTGCTGGGCAGTAGTCTTAATTTTGGCCCCCATAACGCGCCATATGTTAGCAGTAGTAGAGAGCCAAAGACTTTGGTAGTTTTCAGTTTAAGATTAGATTTTTTATTTGATGTTCTGGTTTTAAAATGCAGTAACAGAACATTCAGAACTGATCTTAATTTTAAAATAACTATTGTTCTTTTTCCCCCTAGATCCACAAAATCAAGTCTACTTTTATAGATGGGATTCTCTCCTGCATAAAGAACAAGGTAAGCCTGAAAGTGTTTTTATGACTAAACCCACCAGAGTCACAAAGCTGCACATTAAACTGACGGTGCTGCTACTTAGTTAATTAGCTCACAACTTTAGTTTCACCTCAAACATTTTAAGATCTGTTTCCTGAAAGAACAACCACAGAATTAAAACATTCTGTGTGGTGCTGCCCCTACAGAAGAGAGTGTCCGCATGTCTGGTCTAGTTTGTTATACTGCCATGGCATTTTTACTTTGACTCTCCACACGTGCCTCGCTTGATCGTCACAAGTCTGCTCTCAGACTTCACAAGGTCTGTCTGCCTGTCTGATTGATGGTGGTGATTCATGTGGTGGGGTTTGGGGCCAGCACGCAGCAATTCCAGCAAGAAATTATGTTTTAGGACACAAAAACACACTAATCCTAACTTCATCAAAATTTCTGTCAAAGCCAAACATGCAGGTGAGGTCGTGTAAAGGGACCACCGCTGATGTTTGGTTACATATCATAATGGAAGTTAAAGGTGGATCACATCTGCTGTTTTTGAGCTAATGTTAGTGATTAGTGAATTCTGTCATGTTGAATTTGCATATGTAAAGTAGATCATTATGAAAAGTGATATAATCTTGTCTTTTGAACACATCAGAACTACATTTCCTCTGCCTGGTACCAGACGAGTGCTGTCACTGGGAGAATCTCGGCTAAAAACCCAGTAAGTGTGACTCACAAACCCTTTTATCTTTATTACTAGGGATGTCCCGATCAGGTTTCTTTGCCCTCGAGTCCGAGTCATTTGATTTTGAGAATCTGCCGATACCGAGTCCCGATCCGATACTTTCGATACATTAAAAAAAGAAAGAAAAGAAAGAAACAGTTCCAGAATGTTCCTTATTTTTTATTTAATTACCTTTTTACTTTAATTTTTAACAACAGATCACTTCTGTGAGGTAGCTTGAACAACCAAGTAATAAATAACATAAATTCTTCACTTTTGGACTTTATTGCAAATATAAAGAGTCTAATATAAAACAGATAGTACTTCAACTTAAAATACCTGGCAGGGGTCTATTTTGCCTCGGCCCCCAAAATGCTTAGATACGCCCCTGGGCATGGGACGGAGTTTTGAAGATGATCTGAACTGTATCAACTACATAAATACTACATTCTGATAAATTATTGCTTTATACAGGTACAAACGTGTAGTGGGATAAATCTACCTACATTTTATTTTTAAGAACTTTGTTTTGTTTTCTTGGTTTTTATTTTCCTATCTTCCTGTCCCGTCTGTCTCTGATCTTCCTGCATCTCCCAGTCCTCCTGAAAAACTCCTGCCTGCTTCCTTCTTTTTCACCTCACAAGTAACTTTTTAACTAGCAGATCAAATTGATCTATTGACCACAAAAAAAGTGGAGTGTGCGCCGCGCTGCCCGGCTGCGCCAGTGACGAGCGCTGCAGCGCGAGTGCGTCCACACGTCATGCTCAAATACAGACAGAACTTACCAGAGAGAAAATGAACGGACTCGAATGACTGTGTGTTAATTGTATATTCTTTGGTGATGCCACTTAGAAAATGTTACTGTGGCCGTGTGCCGAACGCAGCTGGAGTTGATGAATAATCAGCGGTCTGCCTGCTGCTCTCTCCTCAAAAGAATCCCCGCTAATCTGAGTCCATATAAATAATATGATATAGGTAGAAACTGGATCTTTTTTGTGCCTGACAACCTTTAAGGAGAACCAAGTTGCTCTCCTGTAATTTGAACCCAGTATCCAAGTCCGGATCGGGGCTTGGATCGGGAAGTAAAGCCCGAGCCCCTATCAGTCTGAAACCACGTGATCGGGGCCGATTTCCAATCATGTGATCGGATCGGGACATCCCTATTTATTACTAACGTTCTCCTGGAGCTCTCCATGGTGCTGAAATACACTCCGCAATAGACAGCTTTCCCTTCCTTTGTGGGACTCTGCTAACTATCTCTGCTAAATCCTTGTTTCTCCATTGAGTTTGGGTGTAAATGTTTATGTTTCAAAATAGGCTTTGATTAAGTGGCTTTAGTTAAATGAATATTCACAATAACTAACAAACAAAACACTTTTCTTTGAAAGTTTAACTGGAACTGGACGTTAAAAACGTTGACAAATGAGAGAAAAATATCACTAAAAGAAAAAACAAACCTTTGATTTCTTTGGACGAACACTCCCTTTCTCTCCAGCTCACTTCGTCATTACTCCACTGTCAGAGTTCAGTTTTTGTCACTTTTCTGTCTGACAGAAACATAAACACATGGTCCTCTGTAGCCTTGGAGACACTGAGCGTTTCTAAACTCACCGTGTGATCTGTGAGCTGCACAGTAAACTGATGGTGCTGCTACTAAATGATTTACGCCCCTGTTGGTTCTGCTCAAACACAGATCTGGGAATTGATTGCTTCATTAGAACGTTTTATGCTTGATGCTTGGAGGCAGTTGTTGGTGTGTAGTTGTGTTGGTACGGGTCAGCTAAGTGGGTCTTAATCTTGTTTAATGTGAATTTGTTTGAATATGACTTTGAGGGCAATCGGTCTGAGATCAGATTTTATGGATGCACAGGGATACGATACAGTATGATACAATGCATATGTAAAAATCTGACTTTTGCAGCTTCGACAGAAAACAATGTGTCAATTTTTTGTTCACCAGAACTAAGAAACACCATAAGACTGTTTGATAAAATATTATAGAACATCTAATGGCGAGGATAACTTCTTTCATTTTCCCTGTTGATAGCAAACACGTTGAATATCGGGATATAAGACCATCAGCGGGATGTTTCACAAGAATTTAATGTGAAAAAGTGTTTCACAAAGCCAGGAGAGATAGGTTTATATATGTACTGTGTGAATTTACAGTTGAATGCAGTTCAGAAGGGATTAAAATGTGTCATTTTCCTTCATTTATTGGGTAAAAAGGAGGAGGATTAATGTATAAAAGGGAAGAGAAGTCACAGACTCATAAGAGAAGTCACAGACTCATATATTCAAATGAGGAGTGTTGCAGAGGGATGGAGCGTTCCTCTGTTTTCAGTTCAGATTAGGTGAAGCCGGTCTGCTGCAACAAAGGGAAGCCTGAGTCTCAGCAGGGTAGACTGAAAAACCTGGTGCTGAGTCAAAAAGTTCCTCAAGCAAAGAGTCGCATAAAAGAAGTATGACATAAAAACGCTGCACAGTTTAATCTCTGCTGTTGATTCCTGTATTTTTCTCCCTGGTGTGCTATTTTCTATTCATTGTAATTTTATCCTCTGGATTATAATTTTTATCTTCTCTGTGTGCACATACCCGTGTCTTTCACCAGTTTTCTATCTCGTCCTTTGCTCGCATGGCACTCCCATGTCTTTACACTATCAACATTAAAACAGAACTCCTGTCTTCTTTGTAAAAGACTGGCTTTTTGATGCAGTTCTTGACATCTGCTCTCGCTCGTCTTCTTCACTTTGAAAGATTTATACATTAAAGCCACCCACAAGTGTGTCAAAATGCTGCTACTTTACAAACAAACAATAAAACAGCTGTAAAGTTGTTGTTTTGCTGTGCTAGTTGTTTATATTTTAATGTTTTATTGGTGAAGTGCTCCACACAGGGCACGTCAGGCCCACAGAACATCTAAACGCAAACTTCATCATTTATTGGACTGATGAGCGTTGCTTGAAAAAAACATATATTTCACCCAACCGTAGTTTATACTTTCATTCATGACATCAGTTTGCAGTTTAAATTAAAAAAATGTAGCAAAGGGTGTGATTTTAAGTCGGCACACTCACAAGTAGATTTATTCTAGAGTGCAGGTGTGATGAAATCCCCCCACGCCAAAAGAGTGATGAGTGTTGCTTTGGAGAATCCCAGCCTGTCTCACTGTGGGACAGATTTACAATCATGGAAGTTCTGGAGAAGTTTACAGCCTGACTTTTAATCAGTTGGTACTCACAGTCTGTGTGAAATCAGATGCATAAGTACAGTATATCGACCTTTATCAGCTGCAGCAGACTGCTCTGACCAGTTTTATCAATAAAAGTTGAGTTGTCTTGTTAGTTGAGTTTGGTATGAAATATTGAAGGGCCAAAGTGGTGGTCTGTTCTAAAATAAAATGTTTTATTTTATTTTAATTACCTTAAAAGACTCAAAGTCTCTTTTTACACTTTATATTTATTTAATCAGGATCGTTGTCAAGTCGATGCCAGAAACAATGAAACACAACTTGAATATCAGATGAACAACAAGGCTTTATTCAACCGGCATTCATACAAGTTATCAATCATGAACGAAACATTTCTCTTACCGTTGCTTATGGGTGGAGAGCTGAACACCCCAGTTAGAAAACGTAATCCATGAACCTCGTCAGATAGAATCCTTCAAACAGCTCTAACAGCTCTGAGCTCTGCTCTGCTCCTTATACATTCCCTGATGTGCGTGCAAAGCTGCACACCTCCACCAGGATTACCTTGATTACATCCTCATGATCACATTATGTTCGGCTCTCCTTGATTACATCCTCATGATAAGTGTGATTGACAAACAGTAGTGATCAATAACTTGTATAAAGCAATTATACAACAGATGACAAGTTCATTTTTATTACATTCCACTCTTGAACTTTTCATCTAATTTATGTAACATATCCATCACCATTTCCCCATCAAAACCAACGTCATTTATAACATACCTTGTAGTTCCACTTTAATTTTCATCGTAGTCTTTGCATTATTACCCAATTTATTTCTCTTCTTAATCGAATAACATACCAACAAATAATAAGATTACACAATGTTAGAATGCTGATTATAATTAATGCTGCAATCATAGGTGGAATTAGCACTTTATTAGCGGTACTCGACATGCCTGTAAATATATCCCACCAATGATGAGCGGAAGCCTGTTCAATCAATGTAGCAACATGTTTTATTTCCCCTTGTGTCACAAGAGTAGACACCATGAGCCTGGAAAGGTTGGACCTATGAGAGTCAATCAATTTTGCCACTTCAGTGGAACCATCCAATGCGCATTTGAATCGTTCCAGTGAGAGTGTCCAAGGGGAGTGTAAAACCTCCCATTGTATCTTAGTCAGCCGACTAGATACAGTGTAATTACTCAACCAATAGGTCACGTTATTCCATTCCCACATATGTATACCCTTGAGACAACCTGAAAAGGGAACTGAAGGTACCTGTGGGGAATTGGTCATTGTAGCCACGCATAAGGTGTTAGGACCCACCTGCCAAAACTGTTCCTCTGGGGGTGTGACCGTCCAATCACAGAGTACGACCCTTGAATCAGTGAAACATGGATTGCTATGTCCTTTTACCAATGGGCAGGCTAAACCCTTATCAGTCTCATCACAGTGTTTTACTTCATATGTTCGATTTGTTTTAACATCCCACCACTCTCCACTAACATGGAGATACCAAAACCCTTTAGTGGTTATCACCGGCAGTATCTGATATCTACACACAGTCATTACTGATGTCATATTATACTGATCCCAGTATCCAGTACACATAGATTTATTACAAATCGTCATTTCTGCATGTAGCTGTAGCCATAATGAACTACTGATGTTCCATAATGTTCGCCATGCATGATAGTTATTACTCATTACCTGTATTTGAAACCTATTTCTCTGTGTCTCAGCATGAATAGTCTGCAAGGAACAGACTGTCCAATTACCTATGTGTGACAAATTATGC